CTGTTGAACTGGTCAATTGGCGGCACGCCATCTCTCGCTCAGGGAGGTCCAACAGGAATTCTAGGCAACGGGTTGACCGGATCGCACAACAAATACGAAGCCGATGCATCACCAACACGGCCCGACCTTTACCAGGCGGGTAACAACTACAAGACTGTCACTAGCCAGTTCCAAGAATTGATCGACTACTCCCCCGGTGGTGTGGTTACCCTTGAGAGCTTGACAAACTTCAGGAGCCATCGATTTGACGTTCAGAAGCAAACTAACCCCAACTTTTTCAATGGGCCGTTCTCGGGCGTGTTGGTGCAACCTGCTGCGTACACCTTCATCTTCCGCTTCATGGCCAACCACACGGCTGAGAACCCCACTGGTATTCTCCCATACGATGTCATCCAATCTTGGTTTGGAGTTCAGGGTACGAACGGAAACTACAACGCAGTGCAAGGCTCGGAGCGCATCCCAGAGAACTGGTACCGACGTGCTCTTGAATATCCATACGAGACCACATACTTCCTTGCGGATGCTGTCAATGCTGCTGTTCTCCACCCTAAGTTTCTCGATATCGGTGGAAACACTGGTACACCCAACTCCTTCGTTGGTGTTGACGTAGCTGACCTGACCGGTGGTGTTTTCAATGGTGCGTCACTCCTTGAGGGGAACAATCTCGGCTGCTTTGTCTACCAGGCCTCAGCACAAGCCAAGCCAGACATCCTTCTTGGACCGCTTGACGCACTCACCAGTGCCGTTGGAGGCCTTGTTGGACAGTTGGGTTGCCCGAAGTTGGCCGCCATCGACAAGCAAGTTCTTCAACAATTCCCTGGTTACACTAAGTCACCCGTTTATGGTTAGGACGAACGAAACAAGAGGTCATAGGAGTAGCTAGTAGAACAGAGAGTTCCAATGCTCTGATAATTAGTAGAAACGAAATTAATAATTTGCAACGACACTTGACCTTCTCTTCGTGATGACTTCGATTATATAAACCATGAACGGGCAGCTCCTAGTATACACGTATCTGCTAGGCAAAGCTGTCGGTAGGTTTTGCTCTTATGCTGTCTGCTTCTCTCCATCAATGAAGTCGCGAATCGTCTGCTCAAGCCCAACGTCTTCGCTAAAACCCAATTCTCTTGCTCTCGCAGTGTCGTACTTCGCTGGCCAGCTCAAAACGATCCTCTGTGTCGTCTCATCCCTCTTCTCTTTTACCAAAGCTCTTGTCTCCTTGCCCGCAACTCTCTCCAGGGCATCCAAAATTTCTCCACTCGTTGCTGTATAACCCGGTAGTAGTACCTGCCTAAAGTGCCCAAATTTCTCCGCTGGTACCTTGATGGCATGTACAAGGTTTGTCGCGAGTGTGCGTGGCGAAGTAAGCCAGATGCCAATACTTGGGTCGACTGGTAACTCCGACTCTTGTCCATGTATTGGCTCGCGTACGATACCCGAGACGAATGACGAAGCTGCTGCAGTAGGTGCGCCAGCTCTGACAAAGACAGTTGGAAGACGAACGACGCGTCCGTCGATGAGCCCGCGTCGTGAATAATCGTTAAGGAGGAACTCAATCATGAGCTTCTGGGTGCCGTAACTAGATTCAGGCATAGGCACGATGTCCGTCTCTGTTGCCACATTCTCAACGGCCTTCCGCCCAAAAACTGCGCAAGAAGAAGTGAAGACCACCTTGATTCCTGGTCGCTTGGCCCGAATGGTGTCCAGTAGTTGGCGCACAGACTCAAAGTTGACTCTAAGGCCTAGCTCGAGGTTTGCTTCGCTACCGCTCGACATGATGCCATGGAGAATGTATACAGCATCTGGTTGTTGAGCGATGAGATCTTCGCATGCTGATAATGATGTGAGGTCCGCTGCAGTACATTGTACGTTCTGTGACGATGTTGGATTTGGAGGTGGATTAACGTCGGCCAAGATGAGTGCATCTGCGGTGTTTGATTCGACGAGTCTTTTGGCCAAAATTTGGCCGACAAAGCCGCCGGCTCCAGTAATAAGGACTTTCATGCCGAAATTTGAACAACGAACTTGAGTCAGAATAATGCCACGATTTTCGGGGTTTGATTTTCGTAAAGCCGTTGGAAGATGCCGCACTTATGATGCTTGCCCGTTCGGTGACGATCCCGAGTACAAAGTGGGGAAAGTGTGGGGACGGCGCCTGCCCCGGATAATCATCGGCCGAGCTTGTACCTTCTCACGAAGGATGTGGAAGCAACACAGCTATGCATTATTATCTAGACCTGCTTGTAGGGTCTTGAAATTCTTCCTAGTGTTCTAAATCTGCTAGATTACAAGATACCTTTGAGTATCTTGACGGTGGTGACAGCATGTAAGAATTCAGCAAAACCTCTGCGTTGCAACCCTATCGGTCCAAGAGCCCCGATGCGGTGCATGGAGCTATGACATCGCTAGTGACGATGTTGATCCGTGATTCTTTGGGGGAATTGGGAAAAGTACAAATTAAAAGATGGGGTCTGGGGTAGAAGCGATTCGCAACTCCGCAATCCTTCCGTTATGGCGTTCGCTGCAACACTTCTCCTGGGACTCAGCCAGCTTCAAGCTGTGACTGCTGTCAGCTCTTTGAACATTGACACGTCTTCCGGACCAGTTCAGGGCTTTACAGATGACATCACACCAAATGTTGCACAGTACCTCGGTATACCGTTTGCGGAACAGCCCGTGGGAGCACGACGCTGGCTGCCTCCAGCCCCAAAGTCTAAAGAGAATGTAACGATCAAGGCGACCGATCTAGGACATGCTTGCCCCCAGTTTGAGGGCAATGCACCTAATGTCTGGCTCACAGACGCACCGGAATTCATTATTCAGCCGCGGGACTACCAAGGTGAGGACTGCCTAAACCTCCACGTTTGGGCTCCCTTGGAACAATGTGAGAAACCATTGCCAGTAGTGGTTTGGATTCATGGAGGAGGATTCGTGACGGGTGGGCCCACGGTACCATACCAGAATCCTGCCCGATGGGTAGAGAGGTCAGGGGATCACATCGTTGTCGGAATCAAGTGAGTCTGGCTCAGCAGATTTGATGTTACATACAGTTGACCAGAGTAACAGTTACCGTTTGAACATCTTCGGTTTCCCCAATGCCAAAGCGCTTGCGGATGACGAACAGAACCTGGCCTTCTTAGACCAGCGCCTCGCTCTGGAATGGATGTAAGTGCTCAGACATGAATCCAAATAAAGCAATAACTGACTTATCAAGTCGCGATAATATCGGTAATTTCGGGGGTGATCCAGACCGTATTACTCTTTGGGGCCAGTCCGCGGGCGCCATCTCCGTCGACTACTACAACTTTGCTTACCCAGAAGACCCTATCGTTTCAGGCTTGATCATGAACTCCGGATCAGCATTCTTGTCGATTGCTAGCGCTGATACACAGCAATCGAACTTCACATTCGTCGCTCAGCACTTTGGCTGCAATGATGCCGACGCGGATGCTGAAATCGACTGTCTACGAAAAATTGATTCTAGTGACATCGAGTTGTTTCTCAAAGGGTACTCCGACAATGGCACGGCACCTGGGCTAAGCTTCGTTCCAATAGTCGACGACCGGACGGTTTTCGCAAACTACACAGCACGTGCTCTTGCTGGTAACTTCACGCGTAAGCCGGCGATTATTGGTACAACGACCAACGAGGGTATCGCATTTCTGCCGTATAATCAAACATATGGTCCTGATCAAGCGCAAGCAGACGCTACGACTGCTTCGTTATTTCTGTGCCCTGTCACACAGACAACCCACGATCGTACTGCAGCCAATACCACAACATTCCGCTACCTTTACGGCGGAAACTTCAGCAATATCTCCCCACAATTCTGGGAGGGCGCATACCACTCCTCTGACCTTCCATTGTACTTTGGCACCTATGGTATCGCAAGAGGTAACGGTACGGATTTCGAAAGAGAAGTAAGCGAGCAGGCACAGGACTACTATCTTGCCTTCGCCAAGGATTCGATCAATGGGCTACCAGAGTTGGGATGGAAATCGTACGCTTCGAGTGGTGAAGGGGCGTTGCTTGCATACGATGGAGAGGTTGTGCAAAGCATCGACGCAAGCGTGTTGGAGAGGGCTTGTGATGGGCTGACGCCTAATGGCAAGCCGCTACCGCCTTGAAGAAAGATGGAGTATCGCCGGACGGTTGGAAAGCAAAAGCACTACGGCAGGCGTGGCGTTTGCTTTTTTCCCATAGATACCCTCCAATGCCACAATGTGATACATCGTCGATACACTCTGTGCCAAGTTGTCAGCCTTCAAGGAATCGACCGCTCAGGCGGCCTAAGATCCGTCTCCCCGTCCTTGCTTGTCTATCTCTCATATCTCGTATCGAACTCGGTGTGATATCCAGATGCGGTTGAAGGACAAGCCTTAAGACATGGATGTATGCAGCAAATACTGGGTATTCGCAATGAGATGAGAGGACAAGTCTCGGCTGCAGACGCCCTCGCGAACATCATGATATGGCTTAAGCCAACGAGATGCATTGGTTACCGGTGTGATAGGACCGATCCGTGGCATCTTAGACCCTTGGTGTCTGACAGCGGCCCGTAAAAGCAGATCGAGTTCTCATGCACGTCGTTTGCACATGGCCAGCCACCAAAGACGGTTCGGTGTAACCGACGTGAGATATTCACAGGGGTACGTGTTTGCTTCTGGTCGATTAGCGACAGCGCCCCAATCGTCTCCGCACGGCCAGGGTCATGATGCGATGATCTCCAATTGCAAGATGACCGCAGCAGGAGCGTGCATGATGGGTGAAAAGGGAAGTGTGGCGTCTTTGTGGCGTATTGGATACAACGATCAGCAAAACATGTGGAATTGGGACGCAAATAGCCAAGCATCAGAAACGGTTAGAAAAACTTTCAGAGTGAGTTGATGGGGTCTGGTAAGCCAAGACCCTGAGGAAGTTGCAGGTGGCTGAAGCGCGAGAAGAAAGTGCGACACGTGTCTGTGGCTTCAACATGTGGCTTTCACTGCCAGTGCGGGGTTTAACCTTTGAACTTGCAGCACGGCGCGTTTGAGAAGTGACGTCAACCTGGGTCTTTCCAAGATCAGGTAACAACAAGCAGGAACAACACGTGGTGGAGCGTGCCAATTGACGAGCTTCAAAACTGGCGATCAACCTTCCTTGAGCTTCTCTTCAACCAAACTCTCTACCTTCCGATCCCTATCACCTCTGAGCGCGAACTAGTACTGTTTCGAGCTACAATACCTACGAAGCTTAATCGCCACCAAACGGAACGCGGAGAAAGACCAGTTGAACATCATGGCTAACCAGGCGCCTGCATCCCTTGTCGATGTGTTGACCGCTTCAGGCGGTGCTGAACCAGCCGGTAAACGATACCAGCGACTGTCGCACCGCATGTACTAACTGGTATGAAATAGGCTTCCTTAACGACATCGTCAAGAACCTCTGGCCAAACATCTGCGTTGCGGGCTCTAACATAATCAAAGAAACTGTTGAGCCTATCCTCGCCTCAACTCTACCTGGTCCTCTTGGAAATCTGCGTTTCACCAAGATCGACTTTGGACATATTCCTATCGGCTTCTCCAACGTGGACGTTCACAAGACCAAGACCGATGGCATCAAGCTCGACATGGATATGGACTGGGAGGGTGTGTGTGACTTTGAGCTCGACGGAAAGATGGTTCCGAAAGTGGTATGTTTTGAATATGATAGATGTGGTTAGCTGAGCTGTAACTAATGTGACGTGCAGGGTGTTGAGAAGGTTCACATGAAGGGCCGGATCAGTGTACTCTTGTGCCCGTTGACGAATGTCATTCCCTTGGTATGTGCGAACTCTACCCTCAAGCCATCTCGAATGCACACTGATGTCAAGACTAGATTGGTGCAGCACAGATCGCCTTCCTCAACACACCAAGCCTCAAGCTTGACTTTACCGACGCCGCCAATATTGCCGACTTCTCTGTTATTGACAGCACAGTCCGCAAAACCATTCTTGGTATCATTGATGGAATGGCTGTACTGCCCAACCGCTTTCTTGTCAAGATGACGAACGACGTCGACTATTTCAAGGCTCACCAGCCTCACCACGGTATTATTCGTATCATGGTAGCTCGAGCAACTGGAATCGATGCTCCCAAGAAGGGTGAGAAGAAGAGCACAATGAGGAAGCTGCTCTCTAAGGTCAAGCTGGAAGATGTACCGGACTGCTACGTCAAGGTCAAAGTAGGTGCCGAAGCGGAGTGGAAGACAAGCGTTGTGGATAACAACCACGAGCCTGAGTGGAATGAGACCCACGACTTCTTGGTATCAGATTACGAACAAAACATTTCTGTGGATATTCAGGATGACGACTTAGCTGGTGACGATGACATGGGTGTCGGCTCGACCACTGTCAAGGAAATCCTACTCAAGGGCGGTTCGCAGGATCTGAGCCTCTCACACAAGGGCAATGCTACCCAGGCACGACTACTTATACATGCCAAGTTCTTCAACTTTGTCACCGACGCGCAGGCCCTCTCTTCCGCCAACGCTCAAGGCCAAGCTGAGGGTCAGATCTGCGGTCTGGCCACTGTACTCATTGCTAGCGCCAACGGACTCCAAGGCAACCGTGACGAGCTCAACCCCAGTGTCAAGGTCACTTGGGGTGACCAGACCTTCCAAACCGCGGTCCAAACCTATACCCCTGGCACCGATATCTTCAATCCAGCCTTCGACCAAGCATTCCGTATCCCTCTCACCGCAGCGATGTTGGCGAACCCAGGAGCCTTCAAAATTGCGCTGCTGAACAAGGAGGTGGAGTTTGGAAGTGCGCAAGTGAGTTTCCAAGATGTGATGGGTGCGGAGGGTATGGCTATACGGGACAATTTCGATGTCGGAAACGGCGCCCAGATTCGAGCTGCCATCATGCTGAACGGTGTCAAGCTGGCCGAGTAAAGAAATGATTAGTGGTGAGAAAGATGACTGATGGTGTCATGTAACCGGGTGTGGTTTTTAATGACAAGAAGAACATTATATCAGCAAGCAAAAAAGACGTAGCAAGATGTGCACCCAAATACCATTGTATACGTTTCCAAAATGCCTGCTAAACACATACGCATATGTATACCTTAACACACTCTCAACACAATCACATCGTCGCCCCTGCCGCTGTGTCCCCGTCGACATCCAGGATTGCGCCTTCTTCCCCATTCTTTGGTTTTACCAATTTGATACTTACGTCAGGATCCTGACTATAAACTCTTAGGCCTAGCACACAAACTGCGTTCCATGGCTTAGGCTGTTCCTTTGCAGGAGTGGCTTGTGGAGGTGGAGGGGCCACTTCGCCAGAAGTAGCATACCGTGGAAAGCCGCGGTAGTCTGGTGGTGGTAGAGGGCGGTAGTGTGATGCGATCGAGTGTTGTGAACGCATGACGCGGGATTGAGGGGATGTGCTGCTGCTGTGGTCAGGGCTGTCGCTTTCGGCATCGTTGGGGTGGACTTCAGAGGTGGGTGTATGGTTTGCGTCTCCATTGTCACTGGAGTCGCGTGGTTCGAGTGCGGGCTCAATGACTAGCTTCGTTTCTTGCAGGGCTTCTTTGCTTTGAATCGGGAGTTCGATGCGAGCCTTTGCCGTGCCTTCGGTATCAGATGAGGTGGTTTTGTCGGCGTCTTGCTTAGCTTCCTCGATCAAACCAGTGGTGGGGCCAGGTTGCTTTGTGGCTGAACCCCCGTCGCCACGTTCTTCTTCAGGTTTGCCAGATTCTTCAACCTTTTCTTTCATCTCACGCTCTTTTTTCTCCTTCTTCCATGTCTCGTATTCGGCTCTCTCTTCTTTCTTCCAAACTTCGAAGTCAGCTTTCTCTTTTCTCCAAGCTTCAAATTCGGCCCTCTCCTTCTTTTTCGCTTCCTCCTTCTCCTTTTTCTTTTCAGCCGCCTCCTTCCTCTTTTGTTCCTTCTTCTTCCGCTCTTCTTCGGTGAGTTCGAAGATACCTTTGGCATTTGCGATGTCGTAGTTCAGGCCTATCTGCCTAAGCTTCTGCGGGTTGCGCTCCGCGAGCTTGGTAACTACTTCGGGAACATCTGGAGCATCTGCATTTCTTGAAGCTTCGATCTTCGGTAGAACTTCATACACTCCAGCATCGAGCTCAACTTCAGCAGAGATACTACGGTTTCCGAACCAAGCACCGCGAGCACGCACAATATGGTGACCTGGTTCCGCATTCTTCTCTTGCAATATGAAGTGCAGGTCAAAGTCGTACTTGCCTTCCAAGCCCTTGAAGTAGCGTTCATCCAGCTGTGAGAGATTAGCGAATATTGTGAATGACAATGTTTCATAACTTACCTGACAAAGGACAAACACGGTGGGCCCAGACTTCTTGATCTCTACAGAGAACTTCGTGTTCACATAGCCTGTGACCCAAGCAACTGGAACGCTTGTCCATCGCTGCACTACAGTCCATTCCTCGTTGAAGAGAAGCGTACGGTCAAGAATATCAAATCGCTTCAGCAGATCCTTGTACGACATCCAAAAGAGGCCATCGTCTCCGAACTTGTGGCCCAACTTGTCTAGCCAGTAAATCGTCCATTCGCGAGACCCGTCAGACCATGGCCCTGTCCACTCTCCCATAGAGGCATTTACCCGTTTGCCCCAAGGATTGCGAATCAACACCAGCTGGTGCTTCTTTCCATCTTCTCCTTCAGCTTCTACCGCTTTGATGACCGAATAAGCGTGATTTAAAGCGAGACCCCGTCGAGCGTCCGAGTCATCACCATCAATACTAGGCGATGATGCTGAGAAGAGGAACTTCTTGCCGGCTTGGAGCAATTCTTCCCACAGTCGTTGCTTATCCAGGACCCGATCAGTGGGAATCTTGGTTGTTACGCCACCGGTCAAATCTTCTACTGCTTCGCCACTCCAGCCACCAGCAATAGAATCATAGTCCCCGTGCACTGAGGTTTGTTAGCAGATTGCACTTATACTCTGAGTAATTGCGATCAGCAAAAGTCCTTCATACCTTTAGCGTAAGCTTTCTCCAGCAACGGGAGCCATGTCTCGTTCTCATCAGCGCATGAGGCGAAATATAGCGCTTCAGATCCAGTTTGATGATTTTCCTTGTACTTCTTCTCTTTGGCATTCGTTGGATCATAGCGGTCACCCCAAGCGGCGTCGAAATCGCTATTTCGGAGGTACAAGTTGTCATCGACGACAGTCCAGATCCACTCGCCATCCCTGTAAAACACAAAGCCATAGACACCACATATCTCGTCTCTAGCGACACAGATCTTGTCCATCAAGTTTGGGTTGCTGCAGATGGTTGCAACAGCAGCAATACTTAGTGTAGGTGTATGAAGTCAGTGTATGTCTCACATGCAATTCGTATAGAGATACTTACAACCAGCAGTCGCCACTCGAGCCTTGTCGTAGATCGGAGCTGGAGAAGCCACCAAATACGAACTTTGGCTCATCAAAGATCCAATCAATGCGATGCACGGAATTTGGACCATCTTTACTGCTGCTCGACCTGTTGGTCAACAGCTTCGCCGTGGCATTGAAGTCGAATGCGGCGCCATCAGCCATAATCACGCCACTTTGAACCAGAGTCGAGAGAGCGTTGCCAAGTCGGGATGCGCTCACTGATGATGATGCTGTCGCTGGTTGGTCTTTGTACCAAGTCATAAGACCGTTAAGGCAGTTTCTGTCCGATAGGTCTTCGATATCAAAGTCTGCATCTGTAAACTTCTCATTCGTACGTTTGCATTCTTTGACAATGCGTTCCACTCGAGCGCGGCATTGTGCAGCCGCTGTTTCGTAAGATTCAGCCGCATTCTTTCCTGTGACTGTGCCCTCTTTTCGCTGTGGTGGGAGTAGGTGCGCATACAAGCTTGACGGGAAGATTTTGGTCACTTTCGCTGGTTGTTTCGTGATGAGGTTGTCCCAAAACTCGTTGATGGCTTCCTGGGGAGCGCCAATCTGCGCGTCATCGCTTGTCACTGAGGCCATGATTGCTTTCGCGTTGTTGGAAGATTGGTGTTACACTGCGGCTGCACTGTCTTGCCCAGAAAAGCAACTATATCGATACAGTAAAGAGCTGAGGTGGAGATTCTCCAAAAAGATGGCGCGATAAGATTGAATCGAGGGAAGAAGATGCGAAAGCATTGAAGATAGATCTGCCTCGGAAACGTTGACTATATTTCGTCTTGAAGATTTGGGGGCCATAATGCCAGGCTTGCAGCATTGGCTGCTTACGGCGCCATGCGGCTGAACAAGATATCCAACTGGCTCACATGCTGCCTTCTGCGCATGATACTTCGTTGAATGATTGGAAGCTCATGATTCTCTATTGATCATGTAGCTGCGGTGGTGCCTCGAACTTGCGCAACGTGGACAAGGTTGTCATTCTTTGCGCAAGGCAGTATCACAGGCCAGGTAACAGCAGAGAATGCAACAAGGAAGGAGTATGCAGGGTGAGATATAGAGGCCAGTTAGCATCGCGCAGAGTAAGCGGTGCCGGGTGTTAGTCAACTTTGCTATGCAGACTGTGCTTTAGTGTAGGCCACGAAGTGAGTGGATACGTGGCTGAAATCGCGGGGCTGGCTGGGCAAAAGAGGTGGCGGACTTTCGCCTCCCCCATCATTTTTACCCTGCCCTAGGATTTGGACTTCAGATTTTGTTTACTCATCAGTAACCTTGGTTCAATGCCATACATGGAAAACATCCGATTCCGAGGCGTTCTCGGGATGCACGCTAATTGACCGACTGCTCTTTGTGACGGATGCATGGATGCGATGGAGCAGTGGGATTTTCATCCGAGATATCTGGGTGCGACTCATGAGCCTTGCTTCATCGCTGAAAGTGCTGCTCATAATGTAGTTTGATAGGGTGGTTTTCAAATTGGTATCAGCATAGACTAGGCGCATGCCGCTTTGATATGACGAAGACATGCCTTTCGGATCCATCTCCCCTCGGCGGCAGTCGAGTCACTTCCATCAGGCCCGAATGCCGCGAAAGTATCCACCGCCTTGGAATCTGACTTTGCTGCGACGCGAGAGGACGGCTCGCGATATCTACTTTTCTCGGTCTCATGATGCGCGCTGAAACTACAATTATGCTGGGCCCTTGAGACGGCGCGCCCATGCCCAGATCTCTTGGGCAGTCGATCGGAAATAGTGGGACTCGAAAGAAAGAAAGCTGTTGGCATTTGGCATTTAAGCGATGATCACGCGGTAAGCGTCTAATTTACCGCCTGGGATGAACTCTTCGACAGCTCGCGTTAGCAGCAGACAGGCCCACATATGACTTAGCATATAATACCGAAGCAATGTAGATGCCAATCTAGCAACATGGTATTGAGTGAAGCATTCGAGACGAGGCCGAATCCTACAGCCATGTTAGTCAACACGGATGAGCTAGTTTGACATGGTATAGCACGAGGCGTTAACCGCAGCTCCTGCCGCAAATGCAGAAACTTGACGGGTCAGTGTAGTCGATCTGGGTATGATATGAAATAGTCTATTAAGCCGCCAAGGCGTGCCGCTCCATGGGTATGTGAAACAGCAACCCCCACCGATATGCATCTAGATGTACATATAGCTTAAAGTAGACAATTGGTATGGCAATCCAGGCCTCCCGATAATACCGAAATGTTGTGAGAGAGAAAGTGAAGACATTATGGCTTGCTGGTTTGCACCGGTCGTTGTACTGTAAAGCGACAAAGGAGATTGAGGGCCGTGTGTAGTTCTCGGCCGTGGTATGCTTAAGGAAAACCAAATAATGTAGGATCTGGCAGACATGTTGGAACGGCAATCGCCATCGGGCTTGCTGTGCAGGCCCTGTTCAGCCTGAAACCCTTGCAAAGCGGGTACCCCTTTGCTTCTGTTCAGCGAGTCGTAAAGTCGATTCCTGCCAGGAATTTGGCCGTTTCGGGATATTCCCGCCCAGGAATGCGGTGAGACGAAAAGTCAGAATGCCTGAACGCCGTGCTAGGGTAAAAATGCTAACATGATGGGTGTTGAGTAAAATCGTGTCGGAGATGCGTGTCGTAGATTAATCTTGAAAGATCGTGAGTCGCCAATGACAGCCCACATCTGGGTACCGGGATCTCGGGTGTTTGGATCGTAGTCGGCGATCTGTGCATTCCATCTGCAACCAACGAGTCAGCACCGACATACATCTTGCATGTTACGAAGGATCCTTCGCAACACCTTCGCACGTGCCGTGGGTCGAAGGTGCCATTCCCATCGTAGGGAGGATCTTGGCTAAAGGGTTGTTGTAGGACTTACCTATGCTTTGGCTGCGCAAGCCTGGCACGTCTTGAGCTTGCATCGCTCGCACTCGTAGATAAAGGGAAGATTTTGGGCAAGGCACAAGTGACAATTCCAGAGGACGATAGTGGTGTCCGACTTGATCAATTTGAAGCTATGTGAGCAGCCTGCGGGGCGAGCCATGGCGATGTAGGAGAGTTTGTGGAAGGCGTGGGTTCAACGGGAACGACTGTCTGCATTGGAGAGTGAGAGGCTGAGGGCAGGAAGGGTAGATATAGTGACAGAGGTGAAGTACCGACCTGGATGCTTGCGGCAGGATACCGGTTGAGGCTAAGGTAGGATCGGACTGGAAAGCGAAGGTGTTCAGGGTATCTCGATCCGTGGCTGGCAAAAGCAAGCAAGGCTTGGAAGGAAACAGCAGTCGCTTGAGGGTTGGTCACTGGAGAAGGAACGATTTCAGGGTTTGCTTGTTGCTACTGCGAGGACGCTAATGACGCGGATCGTAGTCCGTCTTATACTGACTCTGGGAGATGCTGGGCCCAGTGGAGAATAAACTTTGGCTACAGGAAGAGCTGAATGCATTTCCACCAGGCGCGGTAGTGTACAACACGCAGCAGCGTGTAGCCGTCTCGCGGTCTTAGTATACTGGACAGACTGCAACGAAAGCGGACGGGTGCTGTACAGATGAAGCAAAAGATGTACTTGATGGTAGCACGGCCAGGCCGGCTAGGGAGTTGCTCTCACTCGTCCAATACGAGGCTCTCTCAAAGGGAACGACATGGTGGGGTTGGTCAAACGCGGGCTGGCCGTTCCGCAGCCGCGGTCATGGTAGCATCTTGACGTCGCGAAGCCCCTGGTGCAGGGAAGGGCGCGATGTGAATGTTCCGAGAGGCTTCGAGGATAGCGCTGCCGAATTCTATGTGTCACACCAGACCGTGTCTGCATGCCGCAATTCTCTCATGGCACCTGTGCAGTCTGCTGCATCGAGAGACGCTGGCTGCGGTCCAACTAGGGGTCCCTTTTCGGCGGCCAGCCCGGCGCCTTCCAGTGCAATGGGATGCGGAAAGAGCTTAGGGCGCATGGGGTCGGTAAATTCAGGTTCGCACCTGCAGTCGCTCAGGGCTGCTCCTTCCCCAACGACCTTGTCAGTGCTCGTCACGAGTTTTTCTTTTCCGCCTCTGCGACACGGCCACCGGAGAATAGTCGCAAGCCAATCGCGTAAACTACCCGGCCCAACGACATGAACGACATGTCTGGCGCTATCTTGAGCCGCAAAGGCTGCATCGCGGTCCAGACACCAACTGCCTAAAACGTCGTCCTGCATGCGCCTCCGCCCCGTTTCTTCTCCTCTCCACCTGTCTTCTTTCTTCTGCCAACGCCGTCATGACCTGCATGCCTCCACTGGAACCTCTCCCTGCGCCAACGTCTAGCGTCCACTGCCATACGTGAACATGGATCATCTACTCTCCGTCGTGCGCTTCCGGCCTCTGCATTGGGAACTGCCGTCGGCAATGTCGCTGGCCTTTCCCTTCACAGAATCTGTGCAGAGCCTGATGCACGTCGGTGCATTTGGTATTGCCTGCTGCATCAGGTCAACCTCCAGCCCGCCTCAGCTCCCTCGCGCGGCTACATACAGCCTCACCGCGCGCGTCTTGCTGTGGCGCGCAGATCCACTGCTGGCCACCAAGTACCTCTCCTTCAATGTCGATGCTGCATGTCTTGTCGTGCACATGCTTGGACCAAAACGGCAAGCGCCATCTATGAGGCTTGCGGGAGATCCACTATCAGATTCATCGGCGTTGCTTGCTTATGAGGTAAAGCATCATGACGTTCCGTCACAGTATGCAACCTCGTCCACCTGAATATTGCACGGTAGAGCCATGTAGCAACATCATAGCCAGCCGCAGCTGTCTGAAAATACCCTTGTTCGGCTTATATACCTGGAGCCTATATGTGTATCAGATACATGCCAGGAGAAGCTCGGTCATGGCTCGCTGGTCTGGGATCCTACCTGCCAGGTTGCCTACCAAGGTTTGGCGTAACGAATCGAACTACGGCAACGCGCTGTTCATAGTCCTTTTTCCAGATCGGCTGTAATCTCCATCGCACGTGTCGCGACGATCTAATCTGATACCCACAAGTATTGTCACTTCTTAAAAGCATATTGAAGTACGCAATCGTCCAACGCTGACCCGGTTCAAGACAGATGATTGGAGCTAGATGCTCACTCCACACCCTCTTCGCTATACAATACAAGCCTCGACGGTACCTGACTGAACACCATGACGGGAACTATGTTTTGGAGGCGGCTGTTGAAGCCCTACACTCGCTTGCATCTCTCGGTTACACCGGATCGGACTGAACCTGGCGCTCGGTGCCACAATGCAAGATCGGTGCAACCATCACGTCCGCCTGTGATCATGGCGCCCGTGTGGCGTTCTGCGTGTGGACGAATGCGCGTCAATCCTGAACGGGGCGACTTCCCCCTTCTCGCTAGCTTCATTGCCCACCTCAGGCATGCCCAGGAGGCTTGGCTCACCTCCACGCGACCTCTCAAATTTCATCCAGGCAAGCGCTTGCGAGGATTTTCGCTAGCTGTTTGAAAAGCCGCCGTCGCAGTGAGCCGCAATTTGGTTTACGGCTTGACATCATGGCAGCCAGACACGGTTGTAACGCGATCTAATTTCTCTACCATGCAGCTTCTTGTGCAGGCTTTCATGATCGCCGAGGTCATCCCATGGTCGGCTTGACATTGTCTTTCCAAGATGCCCCCTCCCTTGGACTAGGATTCAGAGCATAGTCTTCTGCGTCGGGTGATTCGTAATTGGTGATTCAACCGGGTCCGTTGAGTAATACCTGATCACACCACTTTTCATGACCGAGTACCAACAGATTCGAGCACGCGTCAGACGGAGCACAGCATCTCACCCGCTCTTAAGCTTCATCACAACCTCTAACCAGGCTCTTGGGTATGCGTTTCCGCGTCTATGGCTGCTCGATTGGCTGGGCGACCGCTATATGTAGCTGTCGTGTACGCCGTTTTTTGTCAAATGCAAAGGGCAAACCGCGCACCGCAACATCGAGGGGCATGTCAGCCATGGAATCACAGCTGAGACCTGGTCATCGGAGGCGGACGACACAAACTAGTGTCCACACATACTGCGACCCAGACTACCAATCGAAGTATTCCTTTTCAGCCTTACCGCTCATCACACCAGTTGAAAATGATGGGGATCGAGGGGATCGTGATGATTCCACTATTTGTCTTATGGGGCGCCATTGTTCTTCTGCAGGCTTATGCCAGGGTAGGACAGGAGAAGCGCTGCTTTCTCACTGTTGCGCCCCACCGCGCTCTTCTGTTTACCACATCCGCATCTGGCCACTCTTCCAATTACAGATATCAGGGTACGTACCTGCCATGGTGACACCAGCTCACCGCCTAAGTACTGGCGTCTCCTTGTAGTGCGGCGAGAAAGATGGGGCTCCCAAAGCACTCACCACCCCGTTAGACAGCTTCTATGAACTAATGCCAAACAGGCCCTGATGGCTCAATCTTCACGAAGGGATGCCTCGAGAGGGACCGCCACAATCTGTCTCAGTGATGTATGCAGGAAATAAGTGTAATGGTCATGGCTTCAATGGATTGACGTTGGATTTGGCGACTATACCTTGCGACTTGTGTGACTAAGGCATAGTTCAACGCGCGCTCTGATATACCTTGAGCGATGCCTATGAAATTCTTTCGAGGAATATGTGGGGATCGTCGAGGAAGCCGAACGGCTGCGACCCTGCCAGAATGTAGTCACAAATCGGTTGAGTTCCGGTGTGGGAACTTGTATAGTTTGAGTAACGTTCAGCACCAGGGCCACAGGAGCACAAAGCAAGCGGTGAGCTTGTGCAACATCCACTGCAGTAGGGCAAAGCTGTCCTAAACAGACAATTACTGACAGTATTGATGTATAGCTCGCGAACGGACAACTTAAGGAAACAGCTGTGTGTCTGCTGAAACTGCATCATCCTGGTACGGCAAAGTCTCTTCTTCTTCCATCGAGCTGCGCTACCCGGTGACACGATGTATCTATGCCTACTTAGAAGCCTTGAATCAAACCTCTTCGGACTCCATGTGCTCTCCTACTTGTCCTTCCTTACAAATTTGTACTGCGAAGGCCAGTGCATAGCATGTCACGTCTCTCGTGTATATTCTGGTCATGGATGGATGTTGCAAGGCGGGGTCTCATGGACTGCAAGTACAAAGGCGACTAAGTGCATCGTGCGCGCACCGTTGGCTAGGAAGCATTGTGATTCGATCGCGTGACAGCGCAGCAGCTTGTAAGACGCTTGGTCGACGAAGGCATATGCATAAAGACAGATGACAATCTTCCTGCCTAGTCTTCCGCTCCCGTAGTTCCCTAGATCGTGAGATGGTCGTTTGAGTCCTGCTTAATAACCCTGTTGTTCAGTCAGCCTTCTGGGCACGTTGTTGATCGCGAGTCAGGCATCACGTTGGCTGGTAGCCTTTTCCTTATCCGGCGAATAGAGTGGGGCTGAGCTAAACCCCTCAAGGGCCCGTATCTGAGCTAGGATGTCGAACAATTTTGACAGACACGACCGGCCTCAGCAGCCCTCACCACAGTTTGCCCACTACGAGAACGTCACCCTACTCGGTCCGCCCACCATGAGGGGCGCACTCGTCTTTGGCGGGTCTTCGCACCCAAAGCTCGTCGAGGGTATCTGCGACCGCCTGGGCATGAAGCCTGGCTCTGCAACCCTGGGCAAATTCAAGAACGGAGAGACTTCCGTTACCATTCGTATGTCTGGCCACCACTCTGGCGTCCCTCAGGTGCTAACTGTCTGCAGACACGTCAATCCGGAACAAGGATGTCTTCATCGTCCAGAGTGGAAGCGAGAAGTGCGTAGCCCAGCCTTCTTGAGCGTCAACGGCTAATGGGTCAGAATCAACGACTCGATTATGGAGCTGCTGATCATGATCTCTGCCTGCAAAGGCGGCTCAGCCAAGTCGGTGACAGGTACTTGGCCTCTGCATGGGCTCAATACCAGCTACTGACACCACCAGCCGTCATGCCCTACTTCCCATACTCGCGCCAGTCCAAGAAGAAGCAGCACCGCGGGGCCATCACAGCCCGCATGGTCGCGAACCTTCTTCATATCGCCGGTGTCAATCACGTCATGACCATCGACCTCCACGCCTCCCAGATGCAGGGCTTCTTCAAATGCCCTGTCGATAATCTCGTCGCAGAGCCCCTCCTCGCCCGCTGGATACGCGTCAATGTGCCCAACTGGAGGGAAGCCGTGGTCGTCAGCAAGAACCCCGGTGGCACCAAGCGCGTTACGTCGCTGGCGGATGCTTTGAAGCTCAGCTTCGGCATTGTTACAACCGACAGGCGGAGGGCAGGCACGGCGGTACACTGGAACGAGAGCGCCATGTTCGAGCAGCTCAGGCTTGATGGCTCATACGAAACACCAGACCTGGTTGAAGCTGCCCTAGATGCCGACGCGGACATCACGCCTATCAGCAAGATGACCATAGAACCAAAGGCAGAACCAAGCAAATCGAGTCTCAAGCGCATACCATCAAATCCCCTACAAAGGCGAGCCAACGGGTGGTCAGAACCACCCACCAGCCATCCACTGTCCAAGTCAATGCGCGCAGGCTCCATCGTGGAGCCTGAGGTACCACTGGAACCTATTCGGACTGACGTAGAGAATAACAAGGAAGAGCCCGAAGAGCAGAGTGCGGATGAGAGCGGCGCCGAGGAGTACACTGATGAGGTTTGTCCAGACTAGAGTGGACCATTGAGCAAAGCTAACATGCACAGCGCGCAAGAAACGTCATTCATGGGAGACTCGTACAAGGTCATATTGTCGACGATACACATCCCTCCCCATCAATGTCCGCAACGTCACACAGTACTTGGCGCAACCGCCCTCCGTCTGAGAGCGACAATGACGATATACCTCCGCACATGATGTCTTCTTTCATGTCGACTACCTCTTCCACGCGCAACAGAGATACCGAGCACTCGCATGCCCTTGGTGGCACATACGATGCCGCTGCATCATCTGAAGACGAAGAAGAGGACCTCAAGAACCCCGAGCTCGAGACCATGGTTACCCTTGTTGGCAACGTCAAGGACCGTCCTGTTTTCATCGTTGACGACATGATGGACAAATCTGCGTCATGGATTGCAGCCGCTGAGACTGTGGTCAAGCGTGGCGGTGCGACAAAGGTGTACTGCTTCGCGACCCACGGTATCTTTGGTGGTGATTGTCTAGAGGAGTTGAACAACTGCGATGTCATCGACAAGATCATCATCACGAACGCGTTTCCGATCCCCGAACACAAGCTTGCACAGGCGAGCCCCGATAAACTGGTAGTCATTAACATTGACAACCTTCTGGCAGAGGCGATTCGTAGAAACCACCACGGAGAGAGCATGAGCCAGCTTTTTCTTCACTATGATTAGGGCAATGGCCATGGAACACACGGTAAGGATGGTTCAAGGATTTGAATATGCGATTAGCAAGGCGTACGGGCACTGCCCACGGGGCTTTGATGAGCGGTATGGCGTTATGGTCAGGCACCCAAAAGCCTACAATGTGGCATGAATTACGATGAAGAGGGATACCTGTGAGGCTCAAAGCCACATGTCAGTAAGTTACAACATCATAGGCAGTATTGATACTGCTTGACTGTTTTCCCGTTCCTCTATGTCTATCTTTCTTCTTTTTCAATTTCTCCCCCTTCTAGACAGCCTTTGTCAGCGCCCGAGTCTGAATGATGTAAGACATCGCGACAGCTGGCGATCTAGCAAGGTTGCAAAGCATGAGAACCAACGATGCAGGCCTTGAGCCTGCAGGAGTCCCGTGATACGATACGGTGTACTCTTAACGGAACGTTGGGAGAATATATACCAGGTAGAGCGCTCCTTCGAATGCCCAGCTTCTTATACCATGGGATTTCGGGTGCGGGAGGGCTCTTGTACAGACATGATGCATGAGTAACATTTTCGTGCAGTACCTTTGTACCAAAACACCACAGTTGTGTCGTCTTGGTGTGTGTTAGAGATATACGGTTTGGGCTTTCTATATCTACTTCGCTCTATGTTTGAGATATATTGAAACGACAATGAGATGAACCACTTCCCAGAAATACGACTGACTACTCTGCATGTATAGCCAGGGAATTATTCCCACCGGCTACCCCACCTGGTTACTTCTTTGCTCACCGGATTGCTAACCCCACACTAGCTGCAAGCCTAGGGGGATCTTGTTCACACCGCTTGTTACACGAGATGCTTAGTGCGCATCTCCCGCAGCTGCCGCCGCTATCTTGGTGTACTCCCACCGGAATGTGGCAAGATTCTGGATGCTAGAACTCGTAGAGGGTGGAGTGAACAGGTTAAGTCAACACGGAGAATTTGACATGTAGAATGGTCTTGGTACTGCACATGTGGCAGCTGCATATGGTTCGTATAGATATAACTTCTAGGCACAAATCGACTAATATCTCTTCATGATTTGATGTAGTTTTCTGCGCATACACGGTCCATATTGCCATGGCCTACTGTCCATCAACATCCAACAACAATCTCATGTAGGCCGACCCTACTCCATCCTCCTGGCAGTAGCTGGGCTAAAAACGATTTCGATGACTGTTGGCGCACATCCACGACACCACCCTTACTAATATGGTGTCTGCCGTTGGACTCCGGTTGGCCTCCGTTGCATGACATCGAAGTTCAGAAGTCGAGATAAGGCGACCGTTTGACTCCTAAGGTGGACGTGAAATGTGTTTCATCCAGTAATCATGCTAGCTGTTACACCGTAATTCCTTGCAAAATGAAGATCATTGTAAGTTGTAGAAAATGCTGCACACCATGCAGCCATGGACGCTGCATGTCTCGGCACAAAGCCGGTGGATTTAATGGATAAAAGGACACGCAAGCAGTGGTTGAATACAGGACGCGTGGTGGTGTTATCGCGAGCCTGAATCGTGTAGACGTCATAATGTATGGAGAAGGCCTGAGCTTGGGAGGCGTGGTGGTGTTATAGGCAGACATGGAATAACTCGCCGTACTCGCCTACATGCATCGTCGCTTATTAGGAAAAAACGGAGATAAGGTAGCGTCACCTGAGACTCTAGGAAGCTTCGGAAGATTTTCGACCTCGAGCTCCGCCAGCTGCCCGCGCATCTTTCCTTCATCACACCATGGCGCCTGCAAAGACTCCTTCGTTCCTATGCATCCAGGCTATCTTCGGCTTACTCTCACTAAACACACACAAGGGGCGCGGATCCGCCTGCGGCCTGTACACCCCCGCATGATGCAAAGCACGCTCCTCACGACCGGCTAGATTCCCCAGGAACGTTCATCGAAAAACAAATTAGTACCACATGGCAGAAATTGGCGTTCGTTGAGCGTGGCCGCCTTATGCAAGGTCAATTGTGTACTCAGCATGCGCAAAAGACTTGGCCTATGGCGCGAGGTTTCCCTCACGACGTGTAGGGGGTCGCGTCATCCTCTTACTCCATAGAGCCAGAAACATCCCACGAGATCTAACCACAGAGCATTCTAGCTACACCAACGTGGTGGGTTCTGCTAGCTGTCGGTCCACTCATCTCAGCATCTAGCGCTTGCGCACCGACTGGTGAGGACCCGCATGGGCTCGCAAAGAGCGGGTATGCATGCTGAGATTTTGTATCCCAGTTTTCCACAGCTATGCACGCCTCTAAGAGGTTGAGCTTGCTTCACGCGCTTCTTCGCGTCGCTTCTATCTCGGATTACTTATTCCTAATCCACCTGGTCATCCTGCTGAATGCCCTTGGGCCGAGGCGCGTTGTCAAGCCGAAAAGCTATACCTTCCCCTTCTTAAGCCCAGGAGCTTTCAGTCTGGTCTACAGTATCTGTTTCTCCCTCCACTACGAATCGTTGAATTCCCCACTCTGCCGCGTCAAACATCTTAACCTTTTGCCAAGATACCTTGATAGTCGCCCAAGAGGTCGAAAGTATTGAGGCCGCCAAGCGAACTTGTCCTGTCTTGTCGTTCCCAAAACCTTTCTGGAACCAAAACACACAGACGTCCCATCTGCGGCGACCCCAGATCCACGAGCAGCGCACCATTACTGGCGGACAAGAACCTGCCAAGTACATTTGAACCCACAGTCAGCCTCAAATTAGGTCGATCATACACGTACACGCAGCCAGACGCTTACGCACGCGTAACAAGTGTACCTGCGGTCTTATCAATCAACGGACGAACTGCGCCATCTACAGCGGAGCATCCTTAGCGCACCGGACGCACGATCGTCAGGGTCAACTACAGCTCCACGGCCAAGACACAGCGTGCGGAAGCATCTGCGACATCCCGCGCTGCAACCCCAAGCTTCATATTGATTTTGGACCCAGCTCTTTCATGCTAAGCGGAGCTATCCACGCTCAAATTACGCACTAAGCAGATTGACCGGAGACTCAAGCGCGTCGGACCTTACTTTTGGTAGATCATCAAAACGCTCCAGCCAGTTACAGAGGTCACTTGACACACGCGAGCCCCAGCGGAACTTGCTTGGCAGCGCTATCCGTGGTACCCACGCACAACACCGAACTTGAATACTTTCACAATTACAGCCAATCTTGTGGACATATATAAGAAGTGCCGATTACCTCTTCTCGTCCTCCAGCAAACCAACATTACCTTTACCAAAACAACTTCTTCTAACCATATTCCTCACCTCCAACCAAAACTCCACCACCCACATACCAATACCCGACATCCAACCTGGCGCAATGTCTTCCACTAGCTCAACCTACCACATTCCGTTCCCAAAGAACTTTCTCACTGTCAACACTCCCGTCAAGAAGCAGTCCGGTTCCGGTGTTCAATCTCCCACCGAGCCCGTCATGCCTGCTCACGGGTTTCTATCCAACCGACCAGCGCGCCACCAGTCTATTTCCTCAGTCTCAAGCATCACAAGTGTCGCAGCCCCACCCTCAGAGGCTAGCACTATCAGCGCGCCATCTTCTCCCACCACCAAGGCTGCCGATTCACCTATCCTTGGTCCGAAGATTTTCGCTCCTCTGGCGGTTAATGCAAAGCACGCGCTTCCACCGAGCACTTCTTCGGAGATGAGCAACGCAGAGAGACAGAGGCGCATGAGCTTCGAGAAGCACACTTTCTTGTCCAACAAGTTCTAAGTTGCGAGCGACGCAATAGCTGCTAGTTGTGTAGCAAACGAAGAAGTCGCGGGGAACAAAACACAGTACGCCTTTGAGAGCGAGCGGCATCATGCGATAGCGGGCGGAATCAGGCGTTAACGATGTCACGATACCTTTTCCTTTTTCTTATACAAAATTCGATATACCACAAAAGAACCCTCACGGCCATTGGGTATTGGCGAACTGGGCTGGCATGGGCAGGCGTTTACTTGAGGGGTCAGCTAGCTGGAAACAGGCAGCAGAAACACGGACTCACATACTACGAATTCAAATTTGATCCAAAATCACACTTGCCCTGGCCTTATCTCTATGTAGTGATTGAATCCGCAATCTCAGTTGCATACCTTAAGGCTGAACGTACGCTCCGCCCCATCAATTTCGTATATGGATCGGATCTAAGGCGCGATCGCCTCTTCAAGTAAAACACTTGGCTATTTATCATGTAAGAGCAACAATAGCCTTCTTCCCCCCCTTCTCAAGGTATTTCGTAACGTGGAATCTCTTCTCCGCCCAAACATACTTTCGCTTCCATTTTCCTCAAGCGGGCAACCTTCTCAGGTGCATCATGGAGCTTACCGCACTTGTGCTCTCCCCGCTCCTCCTCCCCCACAAACACAAACAAACTTTGTGCATGCTTATAGGTATTCGGTGATATGTAACTTTCGGTCTACATGAAGCACTTATTGTCGCCTAACTGACAAGGGAAATACGCGGGCAACTAAGCTGATAGACAAAACAATGATTGATTCGTGAAACATGCGACTCTCAGAACTTGAAACAACACGCCTGATAGCACACTACCCGCTCTCAACCCCCTATGTAGCAAATCCTCAAATCTTGCGTGCTTGAGTCGGCAAAGAAATTCCACGTCGTAGAGCAAATGACCATTTTTCGCTACATCTAAGGCCGACGGGCAGCGGAAACCACGATACCCCTTGCATCTCCCAAGCGCCTCACTCTTCTTCTCCTCACGTCCCAGCGTAGTGGGATACATAGGTGACGTGCTATGTCCTCTTCAACACACGTTTCTGAAAAAAACACAATGACGTTCTTCGAATTTCTCCGCCCGCCCGGTGCTTCGGTCGTTGTCTTGCGCATATGCGCAGATGTGCAAGACGAAGGACGCGCGGTTACGGATGTTGCGGCGTGGCGGCACTATTGGTTAGATTGGATGAACAGGGTGTATGCACCGAGGATGAGATGACAGTGACACAGCCACGATGATATCGTTTTCCGATTTCGGTGTCCGTAGTCTTGGCTTGAATGTAGGAACGGAATGTGGAATGGATGGAGCAAGGATTCACGTGAGGAGTATACGTGTCAAATATGCCACAACAACTATCTGTTCATCATAGTAGGGTCTAGCTACATACCAAAATTAAAAGATGTATATGCAAGTCAATATGATATATTGGCATTTGAAAATGGTGGCGTACATTATATCTACGCGAACGCTTCGAGGCCATGAAAAACCATCGCAAAGGGTCGTGGTAGTAGTTTGATAAACTAGAGAGTTCCTCCTCGTTGTTTGACCGTGTCGCGGGAATGAAATTGATGAATAAGACACAAATAAAAAGACATATCGTAAAGGAGAGACTATATAGCATACAAGTCCGCTCCCTAGCGGGCGAAACCCCAGCCTACATAGAAAGGGATTCAGAATGGGTGTGCATTCAACTTTTTCCTCTTTGGCTTTCTCTCAGCAGTCCATAGAAGATAAACCAGGAAACAGGAGAAGCAAGATTGGGGGACAAGGGGCAACCAAAGTTCAGCACTCGATGGGAAAATCCGACTGACTCCCACAGGGAGAAAAAATGTTGTGATGAAGACATTCCCATTATCCAAGACAAGAAGAAAAGGAGCAAGTCCCAGGGAATCTTTAAACGCCAAAAACACCAATGCTGCGCTCTTTGTATGGATAGCTAGAGGCAATAATATCTCCCAAAGTTCCCGTTTCGTGACCGAGGATGTGCATCATGAGTGGCACGATCGGGAGTAATGATCGTAAAGGGCTCGTGTATTATGTAAGTGTATGGGTATGGCGGAAAGGAAGCTGAGCATGTCGCAGCACTCGTAGGTCGTATGCCTGGCCGTCACGTGTGGGTGCGAGTGTTGTGTGGACGATCATAGTATGCCGGAGTCTTTTAGTGCGTTTTGCAGTATTGTTTCCTTGACGGCGGCGAAGACGAGTCGGATATTGGACGTATCGGTGGCTTGTGTGAGACTAGCGAGGTTAGTATGCGTGGGTTGGCTTGAGGAGAGGGCTTTTTTTACTGAGGGTATAGGTTCAAGTGAGCTCGGTTGACTTGGTTGAACCTCCACAACAGATACTTGGCCGCACGATTGACATCATTGCCGCCAGAGTAATCTGGAAAGTAATTGCCGAGTGGTGATCGTGCGAGTTTTGCCTTGAACAGATCGACCTTGTTGAGGAACAGGATGATACTCGTTCTCATGAACCACCGGCTATTGACTACCGAGTCGAAGAGCACCAAGCTTTCCATCATCCGGTTCTAGGGGCGCGAGTCAGTAATGGGCAAAATACTCCACTTGGTTACATACTTGTGAGCTTTCTTCTAACAGCACTTGATCGTATTCGCTCAATGCCACGCAGAAGATGATTGATGTGACGTTTTCGAAACAGTGTATCCATTTCTTGCGCTCACTCCGTTGACCCCCTACGTCGAACATGCTGTTTCATGTTAGCCTGAACACCAGAATATGGTTTGAAGGGGCGCACGTACTGTATGCTGAGCTGGCCCATCGTGAATCTTGTCTCGTAGATACCGGTGGTCTTGGTACGCGCTCGTAGGACGTCGGATTCGATGGGCACGTAGTTGGGGTCGGATATTCGTTCTACCTCGTCGAAAAAGCTGAAAGGGTCAGTGTGGTTGATGGAGAGGGATGCGCAAACCTACTATGGGGCGGAATCCATCAGGTAGAACTCGCTCGAGTGCTCGAGGACCTTGCCAACACATGGATCGCTCCACATGGATGTGATGGCTTGGCCTACCCGTACATCGAGGGGCTTCTCGGGATCAGGATCGACTGTGTACTCGAGCAGGTAGTCGCAGAGCTCGGCATTGCCTGGCTTCTCGGGGGTAACGTCGAATTGTCGCATGGCGCCAATGAGGGCTTTTGCGCAGTCGATGACGTTTTTGTATATAGTCAGGCGGTACATGGCGAGCTCATCCTGCGTGTAGCCGTTCTGATGTATGATCTTCATCTGCTTGACTATGGTCGACTTTCCGCTTTCTCCGGAGCCTGCAGGGCGTGTTAGCAAATGTAGCGGCTGCCAGGCTGGAGCTACTCACCCAGCAGCAGGATCTTGCACTCCCGCCGTAACCGTCGCGAGTCCTCCTCGAGCTTGCGGTCAATGGCCTGGCTGCGCTTCTTCTGCTCGACATCGTCATTGTTGGTGCTCATGCAGATGCCCATAATGCCGGCGTGTGGTGCGGCTCGCGGCCGCGGGCGCTGGGGGGGGAGTCGGGCGCGGGATAATGATGGAGCACTAGGCTCAGCGCGTCGCAGAAACGTCGTCGTCGAATACAGGCGGCGATGCGAAAGAGCGTGTGGTCCGGATGGCGGCGTGACGGTTGGCGCGTTGCTGGAGCTGTGGTGACGCTTCCGTCGGCTTAATCCGACACGCAGCTCCCGTCAAAGGGGGCCTCGCAACGTGGGCGGGCGCGGCAGCGAGGTCGCCAGCGTGGATGGCAGCAGCGATGGAAGCGGGGTCGGGCTGAAGCACAGGGACGGACGGGGGTTTGGTATGCGACGGTGGTGGTGTTGTTGTATGGACGGTAGGGTCGTCTTGGTGAGCTAGATCCGAGACTCCAGGGCTGCCTGTGGCTCGTGCGGAGGTGCCTTCCCCAGTAAGTTGATGAGGAAGGCGCGGGATCTGGAGAAGGCGCAATCACCACTTTCACGGCGTCGGCGTCGTCACAGGAAGCGTCGTTTGCAGCGGAGTGCCGGGCGAGTGCGTCGGGCAGATGCGCTGGCTCGTCTGCTCACAGTGCGAGGCGTGGATTACGAGAGGGTGATGAAGGCAATGATGGCAGGCGCGATGCTGCTAAGCCTCATTCAATCGTGGATGCTAGAGCAGCGATCAGGGTAAATGGCACGAGCCAAGCTGCGGAATAAGGCGCGCTGAAGCGAGCGCAGAAGGGCAAAGTGCTGGCGGATACTGGCAGTGGAGATGCGATGCAATGCAATGGGAGGTGGTGGTGCCCCAACGACGCTCGAGGCCATGTACGACGCCGTGGCTGCCATGGCTCGTGGCTGTCATATCCGAAAGGCATCTATCTCGGCTTACCACCCGCGGCTTTCCAACACGCAGTCCACCACGGCCCCTTGATACAACGGCCCCTGCACTACGCGCTGCAGCTGTGCCTCCAGACTTCTATATACAGGACCTGCAGTCTGCAGCTTCGCTCCTCTGCTCTGTGTTGGCTTCACAATGCGACCGCGAGGAACGGCTCAGCCCCCAAGTCTCAATCTGGAACGCCTCCACGATAGAGTTTACCTCGTCGCCCAGCCAGCGCCAACACCATGCAACTGCGTGGGACTGACATGCAACGGCGTTTCCGAGGTAGCCATGTCCTCGGGGCTGCCCTCTCCAATGTAAAGTGAGTCTAATTTAAGTCTGGCACGAATACAATTGCCTCTTGGTCCCCTGACTGAAGATGAATGCGAGCCTCTCGTCAGACTGCCCTGCCTCTCCATCAATATTGGCTAGCTGCAAGCGAGGCTAGCTGGAGGCTGACCAAATACATCTGTCGGGCCCAATTCCCCACCTTTGGCGACTACGGACATGTTTTGGTCGATGTCGTGCATTATCAGGACATCCGCTCGGGTGGGTTACAACAGAAAAGAGTTGACGGGGCCACATGTCAGCAATCGCGTGCATGTTTCAGACCGCTACCATGTTCCGTGATAGCCGCAGCATACCATTCACACGCTTTCGGAGCGAGCCGCAAACGAAGCATTACGCAACGTCATATCAGGGATGCCACGAGGGCTGGTAATCGGCCCTTGAAGTCAGGTACCGTTCACGCGTCGTTGATATTCTCGCCGCTAAGCTTGAAGACGACGACAAGTTTGGATCCATTGGTAGGAAAGCAGGGTGATGAGAAATCAGAACATCAGGGAGACGGGCCCAACAGATAAGATAACGCGGTACTAGAGGTCATATATATAGGCATGCGGATGTGTTCTAGGTATACCTTCTTCATACGTCAATATTGCAGGTGTATTCGTGCCGTCAGCAAAGTCAAGGTTGTCAACGCAAGGACAGGCTAGGACAGGTTATACAACCAAGGCAAGTCAAGCTGCCCAGGCATGTTGGTCGTTAAAAGAGCAAGTGTGGCTGCATGCCAGCTGCAAAGTCACCGTTCGGGGTGGGCGACTGATGTGCACGGACCAGACACGTGAATGGAGGGGAAGGCCGCGAGTGAATGCGGAAAGAGCTTCGAGGTCGCAGTGGGGTACAGTGACAGGACAGGATGCATTGCTGTGACGGCCTTTTGCACCGCCAGTAAAAGCGCAGGAAATGGCTGCGCTGGGTGTAATGCACGGGCTGTAATGGAAATTTCAAAATCCATCGTGACGTCACCAGAACAGGCCGAAACCTGTGTGAGCGACACTTCCGTGCCCGGGCCATGTGCATGCGTCCCTCCATCGCATTTGGTGCCTGCCCCTCGATTGTCTTCTTACCTTCACCTCTTCCTTTCCGCACTGATCTGCATTCTCGCCACGCCCTCGAGCCTCATCCTTGTGTAGCACATAGCTGAGGTCATCCCGTCGGTGCCTCGATTGTCTTCTCGCCGACCCGCTTACTGCCAAAGCTGAACATTCAAAGCGGCAGCCAAAGCATCCCAACGTGTCCAGCCGTCGACGTTCGCGACACCCCTGGTGCAAATTCTGAAGACGACAAGAAAGATCCCTCGGAGCTGTGTCGCGCAAGCCCTTGATTGCCGGACCTAGCCACCGAGCCCAATAAAACCTGCCCTGATCTAGCAGCGTCAACGTGCGACTAGAGAGCCCCGACGTATTCGCGAATACCCCACGACGTCCTACTCGCCCTCTTCCACCACCACAACCCCCAATTTTCGCCCAAGACCGTTTTTCGCGCCTGTCGCAGCATCATAACCACCAACAATCATCATGGCGGAATTCGTACGCGCCCAGATTTTCGGCACCACTTTCGAGATTACCAGCAGGTGCGGGCATACCCCACATTACGTCTTCTGGCATAACTGACATCGACAAGGTACACCGACCTGCAGCCCGTGGGCATGGGCGCTTTTGGTCTCGTCTGGTACGACTCCCGCAACCCTAGACACGAATTGAATGTTGACTCGGCCACAGTTCAGCCAAGGACCAGCTTACTAGCCAGGCCGTGGCTATCAAGAAGATCATGAAGCCCTTCAGCACCCCAGTCCTGTCAAAGCGGACATACCGAGAGTTGAAGCTCCTGAAGCATCTTCGACACGAGAATGTGGGCAATGCAACTGCCGTTCCCCAGCGAAAATTCTAACATAAACCAGATTATCAGCCTGAGCGACATCTTCATCTCTCCCCTCGAGGACATGTAGGCAGCCACATTACCACCGACCCAAGCAAACACTAATTCGCCCAGCTACTTCGTCACCGAGCTCCTCGGAACCGATCTGCACCGCCTGCTCACCTCCAGACCGCTGGAGAAGCAGTTCATTCAATACTTCCTCTACCAGATTTTGGTGTGTGGCAAAACCTCCAGATAACCAAGAAAATGTGCTGACTTCCAAAGCGTGGCCTGAAATACGTCCACTCCGCTGGTGTTGTGCACCGCGACTTGAAGCCCAGCAACATCCTCGTCAACGAGAACTGCGATCTCAAGATTTGCGACTTCGGTCTCGCCCGTATACAGGATCCCCAGATGACGGGTTACGTATCTACCCGATACTACCGAGCCCCTGAGATCATGCTCACATGGCAAAAGTACGATGTTGAGGTTGATATCTGGAGTGCAGGATGCATTTTCGCCGAGATGCTCGAGGGCAAGCCGCTCTTCCCTGGAAAGGACCACGTGAACCAGTTCTCCATCATTACCGAACTTCTCGGTACACCCCCCGATGATGTTATCCAGACCATCTGCAGTGAGAACGTAAGTAGGACGATGCAGACTCAGGAGCAACTCGCTAACTTTACCAGACACTGCGATTCGTCCAGTCACTTCCCAAGCGCGAGCGACAACCCTTGTCCAACAAGTTCAAGAACGCCGAGCCTCAGGCCGTCGATCTCCTAGAGAACATGCTGGTCTTCGACCCTAAGAAGCGTGTACGAGCGGAGCAGGCTCTCGCTCACCCATACCTCGCCCCATACCACGACCCCACTGATGAGCCGATTGCGGAGGAGAAGTTTGACTGGTCGTTCAACGATGCAGACCTGCCCGTTGACACGTGGAAAATTATGATGTACGTCTGGCCGAAGAATGTCACATACACGAACTAACACACTACAGGTACTCTGAGATTCTGGACTACCACAATGTTGATGCGGCGGCACAGGAGCAAGAGAACAACGGCAGCTAATTACAAATAATGTCTACCAATCTCGAGCTAGAACCATTTGCAGTCTCTAAGACAACGAATCATGCAGTTGCCGAGGCTTGACGTATCATCTGCCTGGCGCAGGCGGAGTTGGCTGTTCCCAATGATTCCCGGGGTCTCGTCTTGTGGACCTATGTGACATGAAGATGCGCGGTAGATGGGGCATGGATTTGTTATTGTCATTGGAATGACCATTGCGGGTACACGAAAGGAATGTTCATGACGGAAGTGAAGGCTTTGGTCCACCTAGGTAGGAATGTGAAATCATATTATCAAACATACGTTACTCGTCGCTTTGCACAAGATGACTGGGTGACTGTTTTGTGCGCTGAGATCAGTGGTGCAATCCGTTAGTGAGAAGCAAAAGATGACAAGACCCAACACAAAGACTGGGTATCCATGATGTGCGGTGCACAAAAATGAGACTAAGGAAGAGGCTCCTTCAGAGGTACCCTGGCACTGGTGTCCGTGAGATCTCGGGCGTGATCACTAACTTGGGAACGGGTGGAGATCGCCGAGGCTTCGGGCTAGCGCTGTAGGGCTGACTGAGGGACTGCCGTTTCGTCACCGCTCTGAGCGCGTCCGCAACGATTCAAGGACGCGAGCCTGGTCCCTATGGCCCTACAACCCTCCTCTCTATATCTTTTGAGTACTATGCGATAGCATCTCGATCGCACGATAATGGCGACTCTCAATCCACTTGTCTGCGTCGTCGACTTCCACCATGCGCGGTAAGCTTCTCCTTACAAGTAGAGTTGCAACCACAGATCGAGACGGCCAGGTAATGGCTAACAACCATATGCAGGGGCCCAGAAGTGGAAACATGGCTGGGTGCAGAAGAAGGAACCGACCCAGCAACGGACAATGACTGGTCGTTGCTGCCATTCATGGCCTTGAGTGACGGTGCGCATGCCTCTGCAGAAGACTACTCCTACTTTACCCTCCGCCGCGCGCAAACCTCGACTGAACCCGCGACATCACTCTTCGGTATATCGTGTACGCGACAACTCGATGCGAGCAAGCTTATCGATCGGCCGGCTGAGGTTACCAGGAGCACGGTGCAGAAGGCTGTCGTTGTCATCAGCGATAGTCCACAACATTTTGGGGCTATCAAGGCGCAATTAAGTGTTGTCACACAGCTATGGTTTAACCAGAGGTAGGTTGGGTCTCCATGATAGATTTGGCATACAACGTGGAGCTGACGCGTCCGTAGAGACTTTACGGATATTGAGATATTGGAACGCTTCACGGAAAGTCTTCCACAGCTGCTAAAGAACCAGGAGGGACAACAAGATCATTATTTCGGTATCTCTCTTCGCGAATTCATACACGAGTTCAAATGGCAGACTTTGGTTCTTTTCAAATGCGCCTTGCTTCAACCAAAGGTACGTCTTAGTCTATCCGAGCTAGCACGTTCAGTCGCCCTTTACAGAATGTCTTACAACCATAGGTTCTCTTCTTCGGCTCCCATTGCGAACGATTGTGCATGATGCAGTTTGCTCTTATTTCACTGATACCCGGCCTGATACGCCACCTACAAGATGCTGCAGATCCCAAGTTCAATTCTTGTGAGGAGAAGTGTGTCATGCCCACTTCACTCAAGACGTCTGAGCGTGCTTCCTGTTAGTTCTTGCCCTCGTTACTACGCTCAGATATACTAACTAGACCTAGTACTAGCATACATGGGCCTCCCGTTGCAGCTATTCGGTACAGGCTCTCTATTCGGACCATACACCCCACTTCAGCAACTCGACATACTCGCAGATCAAGACACGAAATCCTACATTGTCGGCTCTACAAACTCGCTGTTACTTCAGCAAAGAGATCGATACAGCGATATCCTTATCAACCTCGACGATCATACCGTAAACATTACCTCAGCCGCGCTGCGAAATGCATCGATTCTGTCGACACCAGACCGGAGATGGATCGACTTCTTGACACAGACGATCAACGATACATGGGATGAGAATGATCCAGCACGACCGAAGGACCATGGATACGCCGGCAGCGAAGAGTTCATCCGTATGCAATTCGAAGAGTACCTTCTCGCTATGCTCAGCTCGGTGAAGTACAAAATATACATGGAGAAGAACGCACACAAAGAGAAGTTGATCACAGAAGTTGAAGGTGACCCGGCGAGCGAGTTCTCAAATGAATGGGTACATGCCTGGATGCAGACTGAGAACTTCCGCATCTGGAATAAATTTACAGATTCACACCTCTTCGATATCGTCGATCCGAAACACCCTTGCTCTGGTGGCCTATCGATGGAAGACGTCCAACGCCGATTGGCACAGTACGTTCCCTCCTTCTTTTAGCAGCCCCGTCAGCCCGACTAAACCTCACCCTTAGTCTGTTTTCCAACCCAACCTTCCAAGTCGTGTCTCTCGGCGTATGTGTGCTGATGTTCGCGTGGCGATTAGGCAGGTAGCAGAAATGCATCTTGACGAGCGACTGGAGAAATCAAGAGAAGTCTTGGGTAAACAGATTGCAGTAGGCCAACAAAAGGTCAGCTCTGCGTACAACCGCTTGTGGGCAGAAATGGAAGCTATGCGTGAGGCGCAGAGGAAGAGAGCCGAAGAAGCACGACTACAGGCAGAGAAGGAAGGAAGGCCTGTCGACGACGGGAAGAAGTGTAAGCCAAACATGCTGCTTTTGTGAAGAGGCCAATGCTAAGATATGACCAGGGAAAGCACCTCAAGCCCCCGATCTCTCGAACGCGAAGGCAAGCGCGGGTGCGTACTTTTCCAGCTGGGGCACCTGGGCAAGCGAGAAGAGGAAAGGATGGGGGACAAAGACACCGGTGTCCTCGCCTCCACCGAGTGATCTCAAGAGAGCGGAAGACTTCAAACGAGAGAAGGATGCGACAATTGGTGATACTCCGGCAAGCCCACCACCTGCAGACGTCAAGAGACGAAGTTTGTTTTTCGACGCAGACGCAGAGAAGACCAAGGACAATGTTGAAAAGGATTGATACATGGACATGTAGACTACTGGCATGATTGCAGTTCAGCAGAGAGTGTAAACTGCTACAACGATCTATAGCATTTGTTCGGAAGAAGTAAATATGTGGTATTCAAATAGTCCTCACGTAGTGGTGGATGTGATGTGCATCTTCTTGCTAACAGTCACCGTTTCAATCTTGACCACTTAGCGTTCCCTAGATTGCCAAGGTGTTGTCAAGTTAACAGAATAGATCTGCGTGCACCGTGCCTGCCCAACATAGGTAGAGAAGGTGGGTTTGCCTCTAGCGTCTTGGCCTTTTTGTGTCTCTGCAAATGTCTGGTTGTCACCATTCTTCCTTCTTCCCATCTCTTAAACATTCCTTCTTCGATCTCAATTACTCGAGTCGCAGTAGAAGCAACGGTCGGGTACACCCGATTACCATAATTCATGCCAAGGGCTTCTGATCTGTTCCGACGCATTTAACAATGGTTCTGATGGTGATCCTTTCGAACGCAGAGGCAAACATATGGATAAGAGCTTTGGAAATCACTGTATCCATCGATACAGGACGACACATGTAGAAAGCGATGACTTCTTCGTCGAGACTGATGTAATGATCGTTCCTGTTCCTGTTGATTTCTGGTCGCTTTCTTCTACGCGGCTTCTTCTCACACTTCTCTTTCATCATGTCTCATGCTACAGTTGCAGTATCCAGAGCAATATTTGGTCTACGTTTGCAGATCTCAGCTCTACTTAGACGTGTAATGGATTATTTGGGCTTTCCATGAAGAAGTTCTCCTCGTCTACATTGTCTTGCATGACTGGCCTTAACAAGGTGTTCGATGAGAACTTGCGGTATATGCGCTTGCTCCGTAGCTACCCTTCGTTCTCACAGGTGTTACTGATCAATTTCAGGCTCGAGACAGATTTCTGAAAGCACCTGAAATTCTTGACGCAATCTGATCCTGCCGCACCCATGTCCAGTTGGCACAAGAACTTGTACACCCCTTGTCTCGGCTGCCTACAGTTTGTATTCATGACGCTGATGTTCGAGCAGATTCGAAGGTACACTCAAACTCGAACACTTACCGATACTTTTGGTTTTTTTTTTGGTGTTCTCGCCTGGCCCACTAACGTATCTATTCTCTCGTTCACCGTGAAGCCGAATCCGTCGTCTCAGCTGTCCGTACCACCGCACTCTGCTCCTCACCACACGTCTCTTGTTTTGGTAAACACCACTCACGTTCACTTTCATCAACAAGGCTGCCTGAATCACTACATCGACGCGTCTCAGGCCCAAGCTTAAGCTAGATAATCTTCTCATAAAGAGGCTTGCCCTCACATCCACCTCTACCTCAACACCTACCTTTCCTTCAATCCTCTCCTTTGATCAAGACTTTGTTTTGACAGCCGCACCTTCTCTTGATACTCCAAACACCTAAAGAGCACTCCTTACATCATGTCTGATACCCCGAAGTCTCTGTTCGGCGACGGCGGCAAGATCATTGTGCCCATGCCGAAGGGCAAAGCGAGTGTCGCGAGCAAGCCAGCTATCACCGGAGTCAACACCGAGAAGAGGTTTACCTTGAGTCAGCCAGATGACAAAGATGTCAAAGACGCCGCCGCGGCTACCAACGCTGCCAAACTTGAGGGCAAGTTCGCTTCTATCGGTCTTCTGATCATACTAACGGCCTCAGAACTTGTAGGACAGATCGTCCGGAACCTTGGAAGCCGCGGATATACCCTCCACAGTAAGGCTTGTATCACTCTAAACACTTTAACTCCGTCTAAAACGTACAGGCATTGGCCCCAATCCGTGCTACCAGCCTGCTAGCAAGGTCTTCCGATCCCACAGTGACAAGCCTCGCAACGCTACTAGCGTAAGTGTATTTCTATATTTCCTTTTCTGCTTCTTCTGCTTCTCTCTTGTGTCCTTCTTTCTTTCTCTTGCTTTCGGATCCGAGGTTGGTAAGTTTAATTCGATCATAGTGCTTCAAGTTTCTGCCCAACGAGGTTGTTGGCGAGATCGGCAGTGAACTAAACGTCCGCGATCTGAACAGCATGCGTCTAGCAAGCATGCGACTCAACTATGCGGTCAACTTCCAGTACGGTAAGAAGATCATGGTGACAGAAAACGTTACCATCTTTCCTACCTTCTCAAGCATTGCTTCATTCTTGATTGGTCTTGGTTTGGATGACGCATATCCTGCTACTGTGCGCACCATCACTCTGGTCGGAGAAGCACCCAAGACGCCAGAGTTGAGCTACGACATATCATGGATTAACCTGATGCGCGCCCACCCGGATCCGAATCGCCAGATCGTACCTCTTACGCGCCTGAACCGCTCGACGCTGAACTCAAGCGAGTACATCGAGGCTCAGAAGGTCCGTGACACCGATCGACGCATCGTCTTGTCTGTCAACGACAAGCACGAAGAGTGGGACTACATCAACAAAGACTTCTGTCACACTGGCGGCTACCGTACGATGCTCAGTAAGTCTCATGGCAGTCAACACTTTGGGAAATACTTCTAGTACGTCTAAGATCAACAAGAACTGACTTTTGCTCAGGCGTTATGCTCTCCAAGCTCCCTAATCTGAAGACCATCACCACTCGCAAGCTCCACGTAGGTGAGCACATTCCTGGTTGGGAGGGACCCGAGGCCTTGAAGCACCTGTCCTACTATCGCCCTGATCTCCCCATCAACAAGGTCTACTATGGCGACTGGCAGTACGATACCGTCCACAAGCGCATCACCATGTACACCGATGAGTACGGCGAGTACATCGAGGAGGCTAACGCTGGTCCCCAAGCTGGTTTCAAGGAAGATGTCCTTGCCGCTATGGAGATGTCTGGTACCTCGGCTATGCTTGCATAGAAGAACTGGTTTGAGATGTTCGGACATCATGGTTTGACTTCTTGATTTACTGGTTTGAGATGGACTGATCTGAGAGTCATCGATTGACCGATACCGACTGGATTGAGAAGGAATGATCTGAGATCTACCGGTTGATATGGACTGGCCTGAAGAAATCTGGTTTGAAACGATATGGAAATGACTGCTACATTCCACAAGATAGCTAGTCTCGACTGCAGAATACAACTGCATTTGCCTAAAACTTGACATCTTCTGAGTGATGACTGTCCTTCTTACATCATACCAAATCCTATCATCTATTACCCAAAGCAAAGGCTTCCCAGTTCCTTCCCAACTTCGTCACCCCCTCCTCCAAACCCCATCCTTTGATTCCACATATTCTACGTATGATATCCTCCAACCTTCTATCCATCTCCTCGCCCGCAGTGTGCAAATCGCTCTCCACGAGCAACATATCATCAGGAACAGTCTTTATGATATCTTGGAAAGCCTGTGGCGTATCTTCCTCGTCGATCGCATCAGACAGGTTAATCGCCGTGCTGAACGACGCGAAGATCTTGGCAGGGATCTCAGGACGAAGGTATTGCGCGAAGTTGGATGGTGAACCGGAGTACGAATGGAGGCATATACGTGGTGGATAGGATTTCGGACCGCTGTTTGCTTCACCGGTGTCCTTATTCCGCGTCTCATCAGCAGACAACGCGGCTTCAGCAGCAGGGTGATCCTGACCCCTCTTCTTTCTCTCCCGTTTACTCAAAACTTGTTTCTCGCACCCCTTCCACGTTTCGCTCAGTACCTCTAGAACAAGACCATGCGCTTGTACACCATGTACACTAACTGCTCTGCCCATCTCCGCAGCAAGATCCAATTGGAATTTAAAGATCTTCTTTTGGTGCGAAGGACTACATCGGAAGGGTGTTAGGCGCCGACCTTCGCGACCACCTGGCGTAAGGTTGTTGTTGCGCTTCGACCATAGATCTGTATTGCCGGTCCAGGATTCAGGAATTCTGAAGGACCGATCGAGACCGATTTCACCTATTAGTGCAAATGGATATTGTTGCAGATGTTTTCTTGTAAGGTCCAGGAATGCGGAGAAGGAGGTTGGATCTGGTAATGAAGCGTATATCTGGAGATCTTCTTCGCTGGGGTCGGAGCGGAAGGGTTGGAGGACGGATTGATAGTGGGACATCTTTGCTTGACCGGTGAGAGGACCTTGATCTTGCAATTCGTTGTCCTCGTTTGCTCCGGAATCTGGGCTGGGAGATATGTACATTTGGTATGAGAACCATGGGTGCCAGCCGAAACAAGGGACTATGCATTCTTCTTTCGTCCATCGAGACGGGTCGGAAGATCTGATGCTGTGCTTGTTCGCTGTCGATAAAACAAGGTCCTGGTCTTCGGATCTGGTTGCCATTACGGTGAGGACGCGTGCTTTCATGTTTTGGATGGTTTCGATGCTGGACATGGTGTCTGTTGGATGGCAGTGTGCATCGTAGACTCCGAGGTGCCATGGAAAGGACTCATCTCTGCTCTTGTCCGACGCCATTGTGTTCCGTGAGAGGAAGCAAGATTTTTTTTTTAAACGTGGAACTACAGTCTCCAGGATTGCGAACAGGTCACCGAAACGTTCTGTTGTCCAAAGCAAATCTACACTATGACGTACATGCAAGGCTGGTGGGCTGGACCCTGTCCAGGTATCATTGCCCCACGACATGAACCCCACCATGTACGCATCCCAAACTTCCGGCGGCTTTACATGGTCGTAACCACCGCTAGTATAATGTCTTAAAGCGCTTGATATCCAGGTCTGTCAGTCTCCGAGTAGTCTTCAGCCTAGCTTTTTCCAGAACCTTGGATTCTACCAGGTCCTGTGCGATATGTGACATCCTACCATTTGCTTCTTACGGACACACACGCATTCCTACACGCGTAATACAAAAGGCCGCCCTTTCAGCTCCACCAGGCAGGCAAATAGACGAAAGATATACCCCTTCTACGAAGCATGTCAGCTTGATAGTAAGCGCCACATTCCGCCCTGCTCCAACATACGGTACTTTTGCGCGAATCGCAATCTAGGGCTGTCGGGCGCCCCGTGCGGATAATAAACGATCTGGGATCAGGTGCCTGCATTGGCTTACATTCCACGGAAAGCCACGAGTCAAAGATTGCTGCTCGTGGTCTATTTGCAAAGCGCCCTTTTAAGGACCGAGGATGTACCTTCTCCGCATAAGCTAGCCCCTCACCAAGTAAGACCGTTTGCTAGAGAGCTACCTGGGTAAGATAAGTACATGTACCGCTACTCGAATTTATTCACTTTTTGCATCTTACTGATTCTCCTGTCACCACCCGTGTCGAGTGTTTTCCCAATATAAAATACTCGGGTCCCCCACTTACACCAGAAACTGATAAAGAATAACTTCAACCACCTTCACACTAAGCATCTATAGCTACCCCACCACTTCGACCAAAATGCCCGGTCGCCTCCAAAACAAGATTGCCGTTATAACGGGTGCTTCATCCGGTATAGGCCGCGCAACAGCCCTAGCTTTCGCTTCAGAAGGCGCCTCACTAGTCTGCTCCGACCTCCACGAAACCGCCCGTCAAGAGTATGCTACAGACACTTCCCCTTTAACCACCGTCCAAGCCGTTCAGAAGCTTGGTGCCAAAGCCATCTTTGTCAAATGCAACACCACTTCCTCCACCGAAGTCGAAGCCCTGATCCAAGCCACAGTGAAAGAGTACGGTAGGATCGACATCATGGTAAATAACGCGGGTATTGCTATGGAAGCGGGTGAGCACGGGAGCAGACCTATTTGGGACTACGAGGGAAATGCTTTTGACAAGACGGTTGATGTGAATGTTAAAGGTGTTTTTTGGGGGACCAAGTATGCGAGCAAGCAGATGGTGGGGCAGGAGCCAGGGGCTGGGGGTGATAGAGGGTGGATTATCAATCTGAGTAGTGTTTATGGGATGAGGGGTTCGATAGGTATCTGTAAGTTGCGTTGTTTTTCTCTCCTCCCATGTTTGTTTTTGAGTTTTATGTGGTGGGGGAGTGGTGGGTCCTGGGATGAGGCGTTGCATCACCGACAAGAGAAGGAGGATAACTAACGATAATGGCAGCTGGTTACGTGACATCTAAACACGCTGTCCTCGGTCTGACAAAAGCCGCCGCACAAGACTGTGCGCCATACCGCGTCCATGTCAACGCTCTTTGCCCGGGGTTTACAGCTACAGCCTTCATCTCGGGGTTGCTCACGCCTGAAGCAGCAGAGCAGAAGAAGATTGTAGAACAACGACATCCGTTTGGAGGATTAGGCACGCCCCAAGATATTGCCAAAGCGGCGGTGTTTCTGGCTAGTGATGATGCCGCGTGGGTCACTGGTATAGGACTGCCGGTCGATGGTGGGTTTAGTTCTATGTGAGGGGCTTGGAACTGGGGAGCGTTCGGAGGACTGGCTGCTGGGATATGAGACGGGAATTCCAGTGCATTGTGTTCAGAATAATACTTAGCCAAAGCTGACAGTAAGGATACACAAAACCTCTTACATTGAGAAGCTATGAAGAAACTCAGAATATATATCTCCGGAATACAATTTGATAGTAACGAGCTTCTTGGTGGTTAGGAGTGTTTGACCTGTTTCATTGTTTTAGGGGGTTTATACTAATCTCTCTCTGTACTATGCTATGTCTCTAGGCCGTCCGGTATCCCAAAAAAGCACCCTATATACACCTACTCAATCTGGCCAATGGAGAAACCTTAACGTAGGAGAGAAAATCGCCAATGCGGGAAATGCAGGACTAGGAAACCCAAACGCCATAGCTATGCTAGCTTTCAAGAGTAAAAAGACCTAATAGAAGGAGTACGAGAACGGAGTCGACTAGGAAAACGGAGAGAGTGCGAACGTATAGGGTATCGCCGCCGGGGAGACAAGGCCGACATACGCAAGAGGTCGTCGTGCTCTTTGGTACTAAGGCAAATGCGGATCAGTCAAGCTGGATGGTTGGAATGTAGTGCGAGGATACGGATGGCATGATACAAGGGCCGAGGGAATGTAGGAGAATGTATGGAGGTGTGTGAGGTACTACCTCGCTACACGGTGGATCAACCTGTGGATGTCAGTGGGTAATGATGACATGGGAGGCTGTAGGAGCTCACCTCAGAGTACTGATAGCAAAAGTAGCAATCCAGGCAAGCAGGGCAATCAGCAGAGTCGCTGTCAAGCCCTTCTGTCTCTCACAAATGCTCTGTCTGTATGGACAGGCATTTGTCCTGTCTGATTCAACGCATGCCCACTTGTCGTCTGTCAGGGCCTGGAAAGCCAGACTAAGGTTGGCAGACTCGAAAACGATGAAGGCTAGGTCTAGGAAGATGAGTGACATTTTGGCGTTGTGCGACCGCAGACCGAGAGGCTTTGACGTGTATTCGTCATAAGTGATGTAGATGGTGTATAGGACGGCCACAATGTCAACGAGTATAGCCATCCAGGTCGACGAATTATTGTTGCAGCCGTTGTTATCGGAGTGGCGGTAGATGGAGCACGCGAGGGAGAGGGCAAGGATGGAGAAGACGAGGATCAAGCAGCGGGAGAGGGCGGGGACCATAGGGTGGTTCATGACGGTGTTGTGGAAGCGCATCAGGCGGCGCTTTCTCTTCTCCGAGGTGAAGAGCCAGAAGCCCTTGATGTGCTCGTCGCCATGGTCCTTGTCGATAGGCTCCCACTTCTGCTCGAGGTCGGGCATGTTCTCCTTGAGCCAGTCATCGTCTACAATCTGGCCGCGCGAGGATATGGGTCGGTCGAGGTTGGACGCCTGGGTGAATTGCTTCCACTTGGGGGCGCTGTCGCTGACGGGCGTCGACAGGGTCACGGGCGCACCCTCGCGAGCGTGGTCGAACTTGCGACCCGGGACACTAGACTTTGGAGTCGGGCAGAAGTTGTGGTTGGCATGGCGGACACTGGTGGGTGTTCGTGGTAGGAGGAAGCTGGTAGCGTCGACATTGTCCTCTTCGTCGGCCGACTGGACCCAGGGCGGCAGTGAGCGGACGGCGCGCTGTCTCTCCCTGTTCTCCGCGCTCGCGGTTATGCTCCGGTTAGAGGACGCCAGCGTGCGAGGGGTGCTGGAGATGGACTGCGAGTGGCTCTTGCGGACGGGGACGCCGTCCTGACTGTCCTTGGAGTTGTCCGACACGGCACTGACTCGAGACTGGGGGCGGCGCTGCGAGTTGAAGGAGGAGGCGGTAGGCGGCGGAATGGGCGAGGGGAGCAGGCGGTGTTGTTGGGTGGCGGTGGTGGACGAGTTCAGAGTCGAGGCCTGGGATGTCTGACTGCTGCGGTTGGCAGCCGCGTCTGGGCGGAGGTGGGTGCCAGCTGTCGTGCCAGCGGTGCCGGTGCCAATACCATTGCTGCTACTGCCATTGGGGTCGACCATGGGCGTGCTGGTCATTCTTGTCGGGAGATGTGAGGGGCGTCCTCGTCGCACCAGCGGAGCCCTTTACCAAAACACCAAGCACCGGCGGGTCCCTTCACCTAAACACCAAGCACCAGCCTAGGTGTCGCGCCCTAGGAGCAAGCTTCGTGGGCTTGGCAGTGAATCAGCACCGGGGGAGATTACGTGGGAGCAAAGTAGACGACGCGCGACGACACCATGTCGGGGCTAGGGTGTGTATGGGAGAGCAACAGTGCGGGATAAACAAGACAAAGCGAGCGAGCGACTGTAATCAGCAATAGTAGATGTTAGAGTTTGGTGGTACGCCTGGGGGTAGTGGAGCGCTGAGGCCCGTGGGCAGGCCATGGGAGATTGCGAACAAGCTTGTTCGTCGATCAGGGAAACAGGGATTGCGCGCTGGCAGGCATCTTTTTAGTCCGCCGCCGTGAGGTCATGGGTCCGCCCTCGGTAGCTTGCTTGTTCGTCAATTCTCGACGACACAGCCACGGCTAGACATCCCAGCACCGCCTGCCACCTCACCTGCACTGCCTTGGTACGCCACAGTCTCGCCCGCGTCATGTTCTACACACTCGCCGTCCGACTCTGTTAAATACCTGCGCCATTGCGCGCGCTTACCTAACCACCGACAAGACAATTCTGCCAACACTCCCCCGCCAACCCCACGATGCGTCTTTTCCTCCTGCCCATATCCACCCGTCGCTCCCTCATCTACTGCGAGAAGCTGCATGAAAAGGCTCCCAAGGACCGCTCCTACTATGACAAGCTCACCATCAAGGCCAATGAGACATGGGTCGCATGGGAAAAAGACGAAAAGGCCATCTGGGACTGGAAGAAGAAGGTGACCTTCTACGGCAACGAGGCCCTGAAGCGCATACCCTACGAAGAATGGGGACTCAAGACGATACCCGCCCTATCGGCCAAGCGAAGACAAGACATATTGGACGGAAAGACAAAATATGAGGTCCTGTTCCCGGGCAAGTACCTGCCGCAGGAGAGGGTATCTGGGCTGCTGGAAAAGTTGGCCAAAGAAAGACAGAACATGCATCGGAGCAAGCTGATCTGGAGCGTCATCATCATGCCCTTCACCGCGCCCTTCATGCTCGTACCCGTCATTCCCAACCTGCCTTTCTTCTACGTCCTCTACCGAGCATGGAGTCACTGGAAAGCACTCGGCGGCTCCAAGCACCTCGAGTTCCTCCTCAAGCACAACCTCCCCAAGCCCGCTCCATCGCCCATACTCGACCAACTCTATACCGCCGGACTCATGTACCCTACCCGTGCACTCTCTCGCGCCGCTCCCAACCCCACCGAACAACAAGCGCAGCAGGTCGCAGACGTGGTGCACCAGCAGACCAACAACGAGACCAAGGACGTCATGGTTCTCCAACGGTGGAACGGAAAACTCCTTGCTGAGCAATTCGATCTGCCCGATATGGAGGTCGAGATCGAGCGCGCCGTCTGGCAGGTCGAACAGGCAATCAAGTCAAAAGAAGAGCTGGAATCAGAAAAGCTGGAGCAGGAGAAGGCGACCGGAGGCAATGGTATGAGGGCGAAAGATGCACTGCCCGAGCATATCCTAGAGAAGATACACGAGAAGGCCGAAGATGTCGCTGAGGAGGCCAAGGAGAAGGCCAAGCAAGCGAACAAGTCATGATTCCCTTTATGTGCTGATGATGTACGATATCATGGTTGATTCAAAATCTGTAAACATAGCATGGGCGTTGGGAGACTATGTTTGTACTATACCACTAGAAGAGTTTGCATCTGTATGATTGGATGCATTATGAAACGAGTTCGAGATATGATAAACAATCTTGTGTAATCTTTGGTAGTGTGGCAGCTAAGGTACCTTCAGTAAATCGACCCCTAGAAGAGACTGTGTCAGCAGATCGTACAAGGCCCCAGGCTAGGAGCTCTCGTTCATGGAATCAGTATACTGCTAGGGGACCTTACTGTTGAAGTCACCTGTCCGCCACAGTGAGATGTAGTATTGCAATAGTGATAAGGGCGCTACAAGACACCTCCAACACAATCACAGTTCACTCTTGTCCCCCCGACAGAACTTCTCGAGCTTCTCCTTAGCCCAAGTCACCGGGCCATCATTCCCATACAAGGGGTCTTTTTCCAACCACTCCACGTTCCCCACCGCCTCCGCTTTCTTCTCTTCTCCCTGCTTCCCATAACACATATCCCAACTACATCCCTTCGGATAACTGCCAACCATCTGGAAACCACCCTCGACATCTTCAATCAATCTGTGCCCGACACCCGCAGGCACAACAATAGCGTCTCCGGCTTTGACCTCCGTTTCGACCTTCCCAGGGTTAGATTCCCCGCCGAACGATAGTTTTGCACGGCCGTTGAATACACAGAGGACTTCATGTGTGGTGCTATGATAGTGCGTCGTGGTGTACATTGTGTAACGCCATTGTGGAGAAAGATTGTTGGTGGGGAGGTGCGACTCTAATGTGGAGGCTGAGGTTGAGGGAGGAAAAGCAGAGTGGTAGATGAAGAGGGGATGGCTATGTGGCGTTGTATTGGGGATGTGAGCGTGTGTGGGGATGTAGTGGGTGCTTAGGCGGAGGGAGGCGAGGGGAGTCAGGTTCAAAGACGGCATTTTGAAAGATGTATGAGTGGTGGGATTGGTGCTTGAAATTAGGGTTTGATATGGAATAGAGCGTGTTGGTAGGAAAGGAAATCGCAAGCCCAATTATTGATATGACATAGCAGATGATGATCCTACAAAGACGTCATCGGTCTGGAAGCCTAGATAAAGGTATAAGAAACCCATTGAAAGCTGCCGTAGATGAAATGGTTTCCATGCCAAGAGCATGCGTACAACTGTATCGTTGGAGCCCGAGCTCTGTCGCATTGAGCATGTATACCGACTGACTAGGTTTTATCAGCATTCGCCACCCGCGATGAGAAGTCCCATCAGACCGAACGGCCAGGTGCGAAAAAGACTGATCAGAAGATCTAATCGCTGGTCACTCAATATCCTCTAGTATGTTCAAAGGGGATGAGGTTAGGCTTCCAAGGTGCTATTGGGTCGCAACCGTGATAGAATGGTAATGAGCTGTACTGCAGTAGTGCAACATGCACTGGACACGTAGGTATGAGTTTGTCTTTGAGCCACCATCAACAACATCCTGTCCATGCGCGGGCAAGGGAGAATTCGGCGAGCAAATACAAAAAACTCATCTCCAGCTGACAAAGATTCCGGTAACTTCGCGATGTACAGCGGCTAGTGCAAGGCAGCGTGAACCACACCCTTGCAAATGCCAAGACCTAAGCTCGGTGCTGCCTGAACAGTATGAACCAACATCGACGTGAATCCATATCAATACGCCGCCGCCTCTTTGTCCAGGCACCTTTACTTTACTCCTCTCCCTCTGCATTGTGCTTCGCGTAATTTCGAGGCGCTTATACCAAATTCCGCGGGAATCTACCGCTTGGTACCTCATAAGCCTCCCCGCCCGCTCCATAGTCAACTCCCCTCCACTTCACCGCGCCATTCACCACAACTACCTTCTGCACCCGTAGAAGTCCCTCCGCCCAAGACATCAACTGCAGTAGCGCCTAAAGCAGTTGATAAATAATCCGCCTGTCTGCGACACAGCGGTTCCGACAATAAAGTTCCTCACGCGCAAGAAGTCGCCTCCGAAAAGTGCCCCAGAGCACGCGACGACACAACACACGATGGCTTCTGGTATGCCACCCGTCCCGGCTAAGGACGATGTAAATGCAACGTAAGTTCTTTCCCTTCCTCCAGCGTGTTGTTCTGCCCAACGCTGCGAGTTGCGGGGACCTTGGTAAGCTCCGGTGACGTCGCCAAAGGCTGGTATGTAGTCCGCTGCGGTGAGCGCAGGCGAGGGCTGTCATCACAGGATGGGCCACAACAGAGCGACCCCACTCCATACGTCCTCGTAGAGCTCGACCAAAAGCTAACAGCTCACAGATGGAAGTACCTCGAAGCCGGTGTCGACAAGATTATGACCAACCTGCGCGAAGGTGTTGACATGAAGACGTACATGGGCCTCTACACCGCCATCCACAACTTCTGTACCGCCCAAAAGGCCGTGGCCGGCTCGTCGTTCCACGCCGCCAATAACCGTGGAGGTGCCCATCTTCTCGGAGAAGACCTCTACCAGCACTTGATCGAATACCTGAAGGCGCATCTCGCTGAGGTGCAGGCAGCTTCACGGCAACATGTTGACGAAGCGCTTCTCCACTTCTACATCAAGGAGTGGAACCGCTACACAACAGCTGGCCAGTACAACAACCATCTGTTCCGGTACTTGAACCGCCATTGGGTCAAGCGCGAGATGGATGAGGGCAAGAAACACATCTACGACATCTATACACTTCACTTGGTGCGATGGAAGGAGGACATGTTCACGGGCAGCCAGGAGAGCGTCATGCGCTCAGTACTCAAGTTGGTCGAGAAGCAGCGAAACGGCGAGACTATAGAACAGTCCCAGATTAAGTCGGTCGTTGACTCCTTCGTATCGCTGGGTCTGGATGAGGCCGATAGCTCCAAGTCGACACTGGATGTTTACAAGGAATACTTTGAAAAGCCCTTCCTGGAGGCCACCGCGCAGTACTACGACAATGAGTCCAAGCAATTTTTGGCGGAGAACAGTGTGGTCGAATACATGAAGAAGGCAGAAATCCGTCTGGAAGAGGAAAAGGAGCGTGTACCGCTGTACTTGCTCAACGAGATTATGTCACCTCTGATGCGGACGTGCGAGCAGTCGCTCATCACCAGCCATTCACAAGCTCTCCGTGAGGAGTTCCAGATCCTTCTTGATCACGACAAGGAGGAGGACTTGGGCCGCATGTACAAGCTCCTCGCTCGTATTCCCGAGGGTCTTGATCCTCTGCGCCTGCGTTTCGAGAACCACGTCCGTAAGGCGGGTCTAGCTGCAGTTGACAAGATTGCGCAAGACGGAGAAAATTTGGAGCCGAAGGTATACGTCGAAGCCCTCCTTGAGGTCCACACGCAGTACCAAGCACTCGTCAACAAGGCTTTCAACGGAGAGTCGGAGTTCGTTCGCTCGTTGGATAACGCCTGCCGAGAGTTCGTCAACAGGAACAAGATCTGCAAGTCGGGCTCCAACAAGTCGCCTGAGCTTCTTGCAAAGTATACCGATACTCTGCTGAAGCGCTCCAACGCTAAGATGAGCGAAGAGGACGACATGGAGAAGCTCCTGACACAAATCATGACTGTCTTCAAATACATCGAAGACAAGGACGTATTCCAGAAGTTCTACTCACGTATGTTGGCCAAGCGTCTAGTCCAGACCACTTCCGCATCCGATGACGCCGAGACGAGCATGATTTCAAAGCTGAAGGAGGCTTGTGGTTTTGAATACACCAACAAGCTCCAGCGCATGTTCCAAGATATGCAGATCTCCAAGGACTTGAATACTGCCTTTAAGGAATGGCAGTCAAACAACTTGGACGATTCAGACCTCAAGACTAGCGTCGACGCCTCGTACCACATCCTCGGTACTGGTTTCTGGCCTTTGAACCCACCCACCACACCGTTCACCCCGCCGCAACTTATCGTCCAGACCTACGACCGCTTCGCCCGCTTTTACAACCACAAGCACCAAGGTCGCAAGCTTACCTGGTTATGGCAGTTGTGCAAGGGTGAGGTCAAGGCCAACTACTGCAAGGTTGCGAACCTGAAGACATCTCCAACCTTCCAGGTCTCGACCTACCAGATGGCCATCATGTTGCTGTTTAACGATAGCGACACTGTCTCTTACGATGATATTGCTGAGTCCACCAAGTTGAACAAGGAGACTCTTGACCCTAGCTTGGGTGTCTTCATCAAGGCCAAGGTTCTCCTCGCTCAGCCTGAGGGCGCGAAGCCGGAGTCTGGTACTTCCTACAAGCTCAACACCGGCTTTAAGACCAAAAAGGTGAAGATGAATCTGAACATTGGTATCAAGTCTGAGCAGAAGGCCGAGGCCGAGGATACGCACAAAACGATTGAAGAGGACCGCAAGCTACTCATTCAGGCATGTACCCATCGCTTACGTTTTTCATTGTTAACGTCATGCTAACATCTCTGCAGTCGGCTATTGTGCGTATCATGAAGTCCCGCAAGAAGATGAAGCACCAGCAGCTGGTCTCTGAGACCATCCAGCAAATCAAGAATCGGTTTATGCCCCGTGTTCCTGATATCAAGAAGTGCATAGACATCCTGCTCGAGAAGGAGTACTTGGAGCGTCTAGAGGCAGATGAGCTCGGTTATCTAGCATAAGTGGTCGGTACGTAGCTTGCGATCCAAAGGTTAGCACGTAAGGAAGGCATCTTGAGTGACGAGTAACGGGTTCTATTTCACGGGTTAGGCTTTCGTCATCATCATCACCATCATCGTCTTTTTCGATGTATCATTCGGGCGTTTCATTCATGGCAGCGGAGTTAGGTACCGCGTGGGAAAGGCGTGTGGGATGGGGCTTTCATGAGGTATTTGTTAAACGCCCAACAGACAGTGCGTTTGGTATCCCTTTCTTGAATGATAGATGGATGTAGGGTCCGGAGACAGTTCACAAAAGAAGACATGGTTTTCTTACATCACGTCGTCTGTACTTGCTTGGTGATGTATTTGATACGCTAACGCACTATCTGGAACTTTGTTTGGAGGTGATAAAGTGGGCCGATTCAGGGCCCGTCTAGCGCGATCCACCAAAACCCAGCTTCCTACCTTGTCCTCGCATTCCCCAGCTCACTTAACCAGAACACGCCATCAACTCCTGAAAATGCTGCTCGCTTTACGAAACCTAGCTCCTCAAACGCTAAATCGCAAACAAATTGCAACATCGTCAGAAATCCTAGAAGTCCTACAGTATGAACAGCACGGTTATGCAAGCGGTCATCGCCAGCGACGATGCGGGGAGGGAAGATATGGAATGCGCGTCGAAATCGTTACAAAGAAAGAGAAAGGAATTTGACCAGAACGTCATTCACAGTGCTACTCAGCCGCCGTCCGGGGGGAAATAATACCTCGGCAGTGCTTGAGTTTCGTCGCCGTCGTCTATGCGGTCGTGACGGTTTGGCTGACCCCCGCCTGCTGGGGGATTGTTGTCCTGGAAATGGTTTCTACCGTGCCGGTTTCTATCGTTTTGGTCATCACCCGATCCACCATTGCTATACGCCCCTGTTGCGATGCTGGTAATTAATCAGACACTATCAGAGTTTCGCAGTACGAAAGGTAAGGTCTTACTAGGGGGAAGGGGGCGCCAAGTGGGATTGATGTGCAAGTTGACCATATTGCAAGCTGGGTAATGCCTGCACATAGCGAGGATCTCTTGGCGGATACCCTGACTCAAGCGAACGCGAAGGCATGGGTACATAACTTGACCCACTTGAGTGGTACTGCGGAGAAGTAGTGGATAGATTGACATCCCTTGGTGGAGGTGGAGGTGGAGGAGATGGTGATGGAGGAGCGGTATTCACGTAAGTCTGCCTATCTGAATAGTAGGTTGGGAGAGGAGGTGGATGATGTGGAGGAGGTGGATGATGTGGAGGAGGTGGAGGTGGTGGTGGAGGTGCATAGTTTGTATGCATTGGTTGATCGTATCCTCGATGTGCGGGTGCGACAATATGCGGTTTCGAGTAACTACGATCACATCAGCGTTGTGTTGGAGCACACAGCAAGGCGACGAGCCTAGTCTGCGGTACGATTAGGCTATCAGCGTACACGTACTGGCGCTTCTGCGCGTCATACTGGTAGTAAGTTCCTCGCTGCGCGTCGAACGACCACCCCCCGGGAGTTGGTCCGTGAGGGCTTGCCATTACCGACGACAGCTTTCGAATTGATGCAAAACATAGGCGGGGCGCGCCCTGCCTAAACTACCCGTTGCGAATGAGGCTCACCTGCCGCCGACAGGTCCTTCGGTGCGGAGGCTTTCTTCGCTAATTGGTTAGCCAATATCAGCCACTCATCCTGGCCACGTCACAATCTGCCGAGACGAGAACATCGAGGATCGATATCCAGTCGTAAATCGAAGAAGTAAATATGATCCGTGTTGTTGGCTGACACAATGCCACGAGTTCTGAGGACTAGTATTTTCGAGAGGCTAATGCGACTTAGCGGCGCGATAGTCTTTGAAATATCAGACGTATTATATCAGTCGACCCCAGAGTTGTAGTCGCCCTTAGCATCACGTGGAGGCGCATCTGAATGGGAGCCTAGCTCTTAGGCGAATCCGGGCAAGACTCGTGGCACCTGACGTCTCACAAGCAAGCAACACCAGCCTGATTCTTTAGAACCCTAGGAGGTCCCTATCTCAGATCTAGGGACTACAGACGATCGTTGGACGAAGAGTCCAGGCGATGCGATTACTCGTCGCCACGTCCCCTATTTCACATTCGAGCGAGAACATGAACCTCCAGAAGTCGCCAGTGGTTTCCGAATGGTGAACTACTTGCATCGTACAAGACTGTCTCCAGCCACTCTACGACCGAGCTTGCGTATCCTCATATACATTAATCGTATTCGCACGTTGTGTAGTATAAGCTGAACCAATGTCGCTTCTCACTGGGCCACGAACCGGTCGTTGGACAGATGAGAGCAACCATCATCGTACGTTGTAACCGAAGCCTTACGTACAAAACTACCCTGAGGCGTTTTATAGATATTCAGTGGTTACAAAGCGACAACCAAGCCCAATGGCTCAAAGTCGCTGTGGCCATCTGCCTTACGCTTAGCACACCTTACATATTTCGAATATTCGTTAGCAGTTTCCTGGGCTTTGCAAGATGGATCTCTTCCGGAAGGGAAACGTCAAATCCGCCTCGAGACGAAGAGGTACAGCCTTTGACACCTACAAGGCTCATGAACGACGCGAAAACCGGACGGCAGATGCTACGACGCTTCTATGACGCCTTCCGCCAGAAAGAATCAAAACTCGAGATTCGACACCAGTTCTTCTATTTCTTCGTCCTCAGCACTTTGTGTTTTGCTTTCTTCTCCCAGATTATCGCAAGCTCCATCCTCACGGATAAGATGACGACAAATCGCATGGGCCTACTAGCATCAGAGACTTGTGGTCTCTACGAGTATGACAATGAAAGATGGGGCGAGGAGCAGGCCTCTCGTGTTGATAGCCTGATGGTAAAGAGAGAAAATCGAGCAGCGATCTATGCTCAAGAATGCTATGATTGGGGCAATGATAAAAAGGGCAAGGCTATGACGTGCGACTTCTTCTACAACTCGACCCTGCGGTACAATGTCAGTCCGTCATCTTGTCCGTTTGATGACAACGAAATATGTCGCTTCGGCGCATTACCTGGTAAAGCAGTCACGTTCGATACGGGCTACTTAGACTCCAGTCTCTTAGGTATCAACGCCAACCCCACTTACACTTTTCGGCGCACAACGACATGCGCTCCATTAAGTGACCAACCGCCTTACGTGCAGCATTTCTACAATAGTCCGGTCGATCGTGGATATCTATACCAATATGGTAAACTCTACAATGTTGATGACAAGTGTGAGGGAACGCCGGAGTTGTTGACGGACTATACTATGCGAATTGTGGGCCACCCTTTCGAATGGCTGGCGCCAGTTTATCGCTTGAAGTAAGTTTCCAAAGGTCCCAATGATACGGCTTTCTACTAACTTTCATGAACTTACAGTACATTCGCTACATCTCTGGGTATACCTAGCTGCGACTTTTATCAGCCTCATAGGAGTCTCAAAGCACCCGGACTTGATACTCAATCAAGGACCAAGACACTCACGATCGTCTTCATCACAGCTCTGCACATTGTTTATACCCAAAAGAGCATCGACCCTATCTTTCCAGCCGACGACCCATACAAGTTCCAAGATGGCACCGTCGAGTACTACAAGAACTCAAGCCCGAAATCACGGGCATTTGCATGCATAGACGAAACCCAATTCTGCGACCCAACAAACACATACTGCTGGCATGAATATGAAAAGATACCAGACCAAGTATCACACATTGCCGAAGATCCAGCGTATTGGTTCATGGTAAATGCACTTAAGAAGTCCAACACTTACGATTCCATCAAACTACGACTCGGGAGCAGTCTCCTGGCGCAGCAGCGTGTTGGTGAAGCCAGGTCACAGGCGTTAGCCAATAACCACTGGGAGCTCGAAGCGGAACATATGTTCAAGACATCTTTGGCGAGAGCTCAGTTCGACGCATGGAGTCTAGCGAGTGGAGAAGATCATGATCAAGACACTTACAAGAACACTGTCGATGAATTCGCGGAGGATATGTGCGGTCTCTTCAAATTTCGTGCCGCTGGACACGTAAACATACGCTTGTGGCCATTTTGGTTATTGTGCTCTGTATTGCCGATCACTTTCCTCTTGAGTGTAGAGCTCAAGACTTACGGGCAGATATGGCACAGCGCTATCAGTTCAGCGAGAGAGATACTCCCAAAGAGGAGCAATGGCTCAACAAGTGGTTCTGCGACAGGTGCTCTTGTTGCAAGCGACGACATCAATGAAGATGCATTCGTGGTGGGATCGGCGACATCTACTCGTCGCAGCTCAGATACACCAGCAGCTTCTGCCGTCACACCCACGGGGCAAAATGATCTAACAGACGCAAGCGCATCTGCTGATGGTTTGGAGATATCCTCGGAAGCCGCAAACAACCATCCAACACAAGAGTCGATGCCACCTGCCAGCACGACAACACCACTTGTTGCTCCAACGCACAAGTCGCGCGATTATGGGACATCCAGCGCCGCCCATAGTATGCACGGTAGTCGGAGCTCTGTACATACCCATCGCTCTGGCTCCGTGTTGAATAGGGAGGTTCAGTCTCTTGCGAGCGGTGAAGAAGGTAGTCGATCAAGCGAGCGGAACGATCAGGAATGGTCACCATTGCTCATACATGGTCCCGTTCTCATGGTAGCACATGTAACGCAAGCTGTTGGGAAGAAGAGGACGGAGTAGGTGTCTCATTAACTATGTATCTTATCGTTTCATCATTCATCATGACATGTGTGGAGTTTTCTTGTCGGCTCTTTTTCTGTAGTCCAGTTCATCGCTGGATTTCTGGAGTAGCTTAGCATTGCGCAAAATAGTTTGTGCTTATGTGTATACATGCGAGACTACGCAACTTCTTTTGATTGCCTAATTTAGTAGAGCTTGCGAACCCCGCGTTAGTCGCGCGACAATGACGAGGAATAAACACATGAACCCAGCCTCGCGAGCACATTCGCGTCCTCGTTAATAGGGCCACCCAGGCGAATTTGGTGGCATATCAGGCCGCCTGCTGCGCCATTCTCAAGGTCTACCACATTTGGCTTAGCGTCTAGGATTTCGGAAACACAACATTACCGAATGCGTGGCCATGAAGTGCGGTCTTATAGAAGCACATCTCTAAGATTCCTTAGATTTGATGGAATCGAACAGTTTGTCTCAATTGACATTGTCCGTTTCGTGATCTGGCCCTTTGCGACAAGAGTTGTACAATATGACTGCAGTGAACACAATTGTAGCAGATGAGGATAGAAGTGTTGCTAGTAAGTCATATGCAGCCTGAATACCCGAACCAAGATGCTAAAATTTGCAACCTAGGCGGCGATGCTTCGTCTTTAGTGCACGTTAGTCCAACTGCGGAGAATGCCGACCTGTACACGATGGATCTTCCAGAGTACACCCACCTAGCAACGAGTGGAGAGATATCAGTAGACGCAGAAGCGACACGGAACGAGAAGACACAAATCTCAGATCAGTCACCGGCATACGATGCGGGCCCAGACCAACCTTTACAGCTACAGGTCTCGGATCGTCAGAGTGAAGAACAGAGTCTCCATGGAGAATACGAATACTATATACAACAAGATGTCGGAGGCCAAGGAAACCCATCGGAAATACGAACAACAGCCGCCCCAGTTCTGACACATTATCTTACAGAACCTGTCGCAACTGCCAGCCTCGCTAGCGTACGAGCGTGCAGTATCCTCAATGACAGACCCGCAGTATGGCTCGTGAAGAGGAAAAGCATGGCTTTATCACCACTCGCCGCAGCAGTGCTTACTAAAGAAGGACTCGTCCAAGCAAAAGACTTGCAGCTGTAATCAACCCTTCTACACACTAGAGGCTCACGGGAGCTGACATCCCCTGCAGGATCTCTCAATACGCCGACATGAAGCGCGATCCCACCGACCCCGTGTCCGCCATGTTCTTGACTACCTACGATGTCGTAAGCGGTATGATGCTCGGTCTTGTAGCAGGCCCTATCGAATTGGGTAAGCAAACCACACCAATGTTAATGCAACACGAAGCAAAACGGAAAGAGAAGCGAGGCGGTAATATAGAGTCATCGGGCTCTGAAATTACGAAAGACCCAGGCCACGTGGCACGCCAAGTAGCTCTCGGTACCGCCAAAGGCTTTGGGCGCATCGTCACGACGAGTCTCAAGAGCCCTGCAGTGATTATGCATGGTATTACACGAGGCTTCCATAATCTTCCCAAGGCATATGGCGAAGAGGTACGGCAGTATGAGAACGTGACTGGATTAAGAAGCGGGTTGGTGGTCAGCATGAAGAGCTTTGGTTACGGTCTTGGTGATGGGATAAGAGACCTCATGGTAAAGCCTATCGACGGCGCCGAGAAGAACGGTGTATTAGGTTTCGCCGCTGGATGTGCAACAGGCATTGCGAATGCGGCCTTCAAACCCGCTGCCGGTCAGTAATCTTGGGATACATATGAAAACGGCCAAGCTGACTGAATATAGGCGCATGTGGACTTGTCGGGTATTCATCGGTTGGCGTATATAAATCAATCCGCAACATTGGTTCAGTGAAAAAAGACGACCCAGCAGAACTGGTACGGAGCATAGGCGAGGCTGAGTATCAACAAGCGAGTGACGCAGACAAACTGTATATCGTGCGTTTGTGGTGTCAGACGCAGATGCGAGTGCGTATAGGTTAGCTTCTTCGACTCTGTTGCCTGAACACGATGATGCTGGTGATCGACGTTTTTGAATGTTGTATTGCGTTAAGACAAGGGTTCGCTCGGTATGAAGCTGCTAGAACTTCCCAAGGAAGCCAACTGGGTATACGCATGTAGCATGTCGAATAAGTAACGCCACCAGCTTCTAAGTCGAGGAAGAGGCTTTCTTTTCCACCCCGTAGACTCTCTTCGTCAGGTAATGAGCAAGCTGCCATTTCTGTCTCTTTGTTAGCCACTTCCAACTTTACGAGTGCTGATAGTTGACATACCACAACTTGTTGCCCCTCAAAGTAATTCTTCCACCTGTCGTCTTCGGCAAGGTCGACGACCACATCCCATGGCCACTGCTCGGACTCTAACTCGACAAGAGTGAAGTAACTGTGTAGCTCGTCCTTTGATTTGTTCTCGAACTTTGCACCTTGCATGGTTGTCGCATTGTCGATCTTGAAGAGGCGAAACCGCAGTACGTCTGGTGAACTAGATATTGTGGGACCGACGACATCTTTGTAGTACTTCAAGACCTCCTCTTCTTTGTCTGCAGCCACGTTCCATTCCATTGCCGCTACGCTTGCGACGTATTCGATGTCTATCGACATTAGTCCGTCATCGCCGGCTTGATCCTGTCCCGTGATCTTACCACCACCGTCACCTGACCAATCGTCTTGTTTCCAAGCCTTGATCTCTCGATATGATCGGATATCGAATCGCAGATCCTTGAGTGAGCTTTGCAACTCGCTGCTGGGTGGGTGGTATGATAAATCATACATGTCCTTGTTGGACTGGTCGACAGACTTCACCTCCCAAACGGTCATATAGGGCCACGGCGAATCTAACTTGCCCACTGGCTCGTCCTCCATACCGCTCGCCGTTACCTCGCAATGTATGCCATGGATGGCATTTGGCGAGTCGATTGATGGTAGATATTCGTTCTCGTACCATTCCTCACGTCCTTCTGGGAAGGTTGCCCAGAGACAGCATAGGCCTGACATGCTGTTTCGATTTTGCGGCGAGTTTGTCGCGACTTTGAATGGCTAAGAATCCGTGGTGTCCAGGGTGTGAGATGTATAGTAATCCAGGCGGTTGTGCCGAGCTGTCAGTCAATGTTGGCAGCGGGGAAGGACAGATGAACGACTCGTCTGCAACATGACGCGGCTGCCACCAAAGTTATGGCCGGACCCTGAAGCATAGCTGCTGTATGATAGCCCTCACGAGACGGTCCGACCGCATTTTGCTACCACCCTGTCTCGGAGGACGATAAAGCGGTATGTTCACCGGCAGCTGGCCAATGGAACAACGTGCGACCTAACATGATTGGCCGTTGATACCTGAGACGCAAAGCAAGAAATTCCTTCAGGGCGTGGGCTAACGTGCATATGTCGTAGACGATCGACCGTTCCCCACATCTTGCCACGAATGCCTCAAGTCGGAGAATTCGAGGCGCGGGTAGCGCCCGCATGCAGTATGATGTGTGCACATCAGCTGCTCGATTGATGCCGATACCGCCGCTGTTGTACTTGATGATGGATATATCTCCAAGTCTACGCTCGTGAAAGTCGTGGAAGCGCATCGCGTAAGGGAGTGACGCTAGGTAAGGGGTTCCAAGGTTGGTGTTGGGCCTCCTTGCGGCGCGCTTACCCTAGTGCCGGAAGACAGACGGCGTTACCCCAGCTTAGTGGCTTCAACGCCGCTTCTTGGAAGACACTGACCTGTCAACACCTAGCAAGTAATCTTGAGGCAGGTCACGATGTCTCTTTGGTCTCTCTGACCTTCAGAATTTTTGTGGTCGCATTGCGGATCGGACCCAGACATACGCTCCGTCCCGCTGTCACGCATTCGAGATAATCCCTGCCTAAAGTGCAACGCCGTGCATGTGGGTTCGCTTAGAGGGCGCATGACAGTATTCAAAGCTTGCCGTAACCGTGGAAAGAGGCCGGCAGTCGGGACTTACCAGAACAGATCGGAAGGAATGCCAAGTGATCGATCATAGGCAGGGTGACGCACCTGGGCATCTCACCGTCTTATGGCCGCGTCCTGAAGAGTCTCTCATCTCATGGCGCAGTTCATTTGAGTTTCGAACCAGAGTGAATTCCGTCCTGGCGAGTTCCTGGAATGTGTGCGTCGTATTCGTGTACTTTCGCAGCACTACAAGCCCACATCTCTCAGCGTCGCAACGCCATAAACGTCTAAACGAGGCAATGTCCGCGAGGCCAGCTTCTGCGGTTGAAGAACTAGATGATCTCAACAAGTCGCTCGTTGCTCAATCTGGTACAATCCTCAAAACCAAAAGTATAAGTGTCTTAATTAAGATCGGAGTGGAAGTTTGGCTCGTGGCTTACCGGCTCTATGGGTATCGGATGAAGAGCTGCTATCTATGGAAGATAACCCGCAGTTACGGTCCAGAAACGAGTGCAATCAAACATTGTCCACACAAACGGGGCCAGTATTATCGCCAGCAACGTCGCCATGCCTCAGAGAGAATAGGCTGGGGGAGTGCCGGTACTCTTCCAACATCATCAAGATATGTAGCCATATGTTTTGTTGAGCCATGAGTTCAGCTGCCACGGATAGCAGTGTAACAACAGCGCTTTCGAAGGGTAGCACAAGAAACATGGCCGGTAGATGAAAACCAACATGCTTCCCGTGTGCGCAATTAACTACCTGGCCATATCAAAGATCTGATAAGTTTCCTGCAAGATCGTGCAGATATCGGGGGCCGACGTGTGGTAGGTGCCGTACCAGATGGAACTGAGAAACATTCCAGATGATAGCCATTAGCAGCTGGATACGTATATAAGCTTCGTACTTCAGTTATCATCAGCTTGCCTTCATAGCTACGCCTTCAGCTTCTCCTTATGTGACATCCTATAACAAATTCCACGATGCAAATCTTTACTCTTGTTGTCTCTATCCTCAACTTTCTTGGGATTGTCCAAGGCGCTGGAAGTGCAATCAAAGGCACGGGTTCAACCACTCGTCAGTGGTCTTGTTGCAAGAACTCTTGCTCCTGGCCGGGAAAAGCTCTTGTTGACAAGCCCGTATTGACATGCGATGCAAGCGACAATCTTCTCGACAACTACAATAGACGTGATGGCTGTGAGAGTGGCGGTGGCTCATATGCTTGCTCGGACCTCAGCCCTTTCGCTGTGAGCAACGATCTGGCGTATGGCTTCGCCGCAGTCAACCTTGCGGCTTCGAATGAGTCTGCCTGGTGCTGCTCTTGCTACTCGTAAGTTCCTTGCTTCGATGCTCGAACAGTAACTGACAACTTCCAGCCTGACATTCACCTCCGGTCCGGTCAACGGGAAGAAGATGGTGGTTCAAGTTACCAATACTGGATCCGATCTTGGGGAAGACGTGTTCAACATAGCTATCCCCGGTGGCGGCGAAGGTGCTATCCGGGGATGCACAAAGCAGTATGGTGGGCAAGACGTCTGGGGCGAAGACTTTGGTGGCGTAGCGCACAGAGACGATTGCGAAGCTCTTCCCACTGCTCTGCAGGCCGGCTGTTATTGGCGCTTCGACTGGTTTCGAGCAGCCGACAATCCAACCATCAATTGGGAGAAGGTGACTTGTCCTGAGGCTCTGTCGTCAACTTCTGGCTGCAGACGTAATGACGATCCAATTCCGGGGCAGAACACTCCGTCACCGACACCTACGACATCTGCTCCGATATCTTCTGGTACTGTACAGCCTGGGGGCCAGTGTGGTGGAAGAACTTACAAAGGCCCTACCCGATGCGTAGGAGGCACGGTCTGTACCTACGTCGATGAGAACTCATACTACTGCCTTGCAGATCCAGCCAGTACACGGACGACACGGACGACGACAACATCGGCTAGTGCCATGCCGACAATTGGTCTACCATACGATCGTTGTGGAGGAAACGGATGGACCGGCCCTACGACGTGCAAAGATTCTGTGTGCGTAAGAATCGATGAGTGTAGGCTACCTTGTTTCTCTTCAATCACCACGTCAAGTACTTGTCATTGCGTAACGACAACTGATCACTCTCAGGGTACTCACAATGCCAACCACCAGTTTCATCGCAGAAATCGTCAAGCTCGCGGCCTCAGACTACCGCTAAACCATCATCCACCTCAATTGTTCCGCCAGGACGGCCATCAACGCGCACCCGGCGCACAACCACGACCAAACCTGCGACGCCGATAGCCACAGGTCCAGTACAACTATATGATCAGTGCGGCGGGCAGACATGGCAGGGTTCGACAACCTGCAATCAGGGGTTAATTTGCTTCAAGGTTGACGAATACTACTCACAATGCCAGAAACCGTCTTAGACGAGTGGAACGTAAGGGAACGGTGTGGCAAGGACAGTGATTTTTCCGCTTCTCGACGATGAATAAGCCGTGCTGCTAGTACATATGTGTTGGAGCATGATTGGATGTAGAAATTGGAAAGATAGCTTGCCGCAATACAGGCTTACTTTCGTTGAGACTAATTGAAAGACGGTTGTGATCAGGGACAGGTTGTCGCTGGCGCTCGCATCGATGTGACAGCTCACCGGGATCTATTTCATATTTCTCCTTTCTCCTACCCCCAAACCTTCACAGCTTCGCCTTAAGCCCGAAGCTTTTCTCCACAGCTTCAACACCCTTCTTCGCAACATCCTCATCTTGACTCGGCAACCCAGTACTACATCCCACAGCCCCGACAACAACTCCGTCTTTTACAATCGGAACACCTCCCGCAATCGTCATAAATCTCCCTTGGTTGCTGTGATTGATGCCATATGCAGGCCCCCCGGGATACACGTTGTCTTTGTACACCGAGGTTGGCGCTCGATGACCTGCAGCTGTAAAAGCTTTATCGATGGCGATGTTGATAGAAGTGAGCTTTGCGCCTTCCATACGGGCGAACGCAAGCAGATGGCACGCATTGTCCATGATGGCGATGTTCATTGGTACGTTGATTTCTTTTGATCGTTGCTCGGCAGCCGCAAGGGCAATACGGGCCCCATCGAGGGTTAGTGTTGGGATTGATTTTGTACTCATGATGACTTTTGATGATAGAGCTTGGATAGTGTAGTGGAAGAAACGCGCTGATGAACGCGATGATAAGGTGCTGAACATGGACCTCGGATATTGCAGGAGACAGGCGTGTATGACGTAGACGCGTCATGATTGGCTGTCGATGCGGGAGCCGCTTGGATAAACGCGTCCCTTTCGCGGGTCCGCTCCATCCTGCTACATCAACCTTGAACCTGCATGCTTCCTACCCTCGCATCCGTCTCACTTATGATGATGTAGCGGCACTTCAGCGATAAATCTGTCTGACGTCGACCTGCACGGCGTAGCCTAGGTTGAGGCCCCGGATGAGACGGGCCCATGCGGCCAGTCCTGAAGAACTCAGCAGGTTCGAGCGCAGAATCTGGTGTATTAGCTGGGTCTGAGATGCCAGAAAACTTTGTTCATGAGACTGCTAGTATTGCTTTATCATTTAGTAACGATGACAGTCGTCGACCGTTGCTTCCAGATTGCTTGTCCGTCTTGTTCTAACTTTCCGTATTCTATCCTTTGTTCACACCTTGAAGTTTTCAGGTTACAGTTCTCCAATCACTTCACGGCTTGCAAACCAGTAATATCTGTTCTTGCAATTCCCTTGGCAGTCTTTAGAGCTTTCTCTCTTGTGATGGGTTCAGAGTGGAATTGCATTTTGGCAGAGGTCGTAATGGGCTTGATGTCGCAAACACAAAGTCTACAGTCGAATGCGCACTATCATGGAGCGCTGTCGAGCAATCATACGCCGTATTGCTAAGATGTCGCTGTATACCCCCGGGTTGTCTTATTCTTCCTTTCACTTCAGTGTTGTGAACATCGGTGTGGACGCGCACTGTGGAACCACACGTGCCTCTTCTACCTTCACTTACGTTTGCGCAGACTACCGTAGGCGGAGCCAGTGCGTCATGCGCTGTTCGTGATATGATATTCCGAAAATTTGCCTCTTGAACACTTGAATCACGCATGAGTCTCAACGTCTGCGAGCGACTTTGCGAGTTGCTAGTCTGTACACACCATGAAGGAAGAGGATATTCTTGCTCGCCATGCTCGGCCCCAGAAGTACTCGACTTGGATTCCGAAGAAACGCGACTGGCGTTACGCGACTGGAGTCTTCCAACACGACGATATCGAGGGCACGCCTAGTGATCGATCAGCATGGGACGACATGGACTACGAGTACCAAGCTACAGATACTCGGAAGAGTAGAGAATGTAGTATTGGTGATCAGAGTAACGGCTACGGTACAGCGCTTGACAAGAGCGTGTCGATACCAGGTACCCCAGAAGGCACGAAGGGGAGGCACTTACTTGGACTTCCAAAGACCATCGTTAGTGTCGAGGCGTTCAAGAAGAAGGCAAAGACCGAGAAAAGGAGCGCATGGCATTCAATATCGAGGTGTCACCAGGTTGGCGAGTCCGAGACAGAAGGCGAGCAGTCAGCCTACGAGACCTATAGCTTGACGGTCAGGCTACGCTTTTCAGGCAAACTCATCATCGAAGACGCGCTTCCGCACATGGCGACATCAGGCTCCATCGGATTCCCACAGCTACCAAGCACACCTACGAAGTTGAAAACGCCTTATTCTCCAAATTCACCAGCCACGGCTCGCACTGCGAAGTTACTTTTGACTCCATATGCACTGGACTCTATCAAATCCGTACACAAATACCCCCCTTTTCAGCGGACGTGGGTTGATGAGACAAGGGACTTTAATATGAGGGCAGTCCGTGGGGTTTTGCAAAAGTCTGGCTCTACTGGGAAGGACCTTGGGCCAAACTATACATGGTATAATGATGCCCTTCCAGTGGACGCCTTGCTTCCTCCTGGAATACCTCTATCCGCTAAAGAGATAAACGCGTACTATCCTCATCACGTTCGATGGAGAGGCGTGATGGTTCGAATGTCAAACAACGACTATCGTGGGTCAGACATATTGGGCATGCAGGTAAGCTGGGGTCTTCCCAATAATGGCGAGATGCATCATAGCTGACACCTATCCAGGCTTTCTTCCGTGGCCCTCCTACGACAAACATTTCAAGCGCAGCGATGAACCAAATACAACGCGACTCAGTCAAGAATGTCATAATAGGCTTCAAGACCGACACTACTAAGGGAAAGCATGATGCGAACTTACATACCGATCACCTCGAACCGGGCAGGTACATCGCAGAGAAGCGCAGCGGCTATATCCTACCAACATTCGACGACCTCCTCCGTGGCCTCCATCATCTACCGTCTGGTCTCGATGCTCGCGGTCTCACAGAGTGTCTGAGCTGGTATCTCGATTTCCGCAACTCTTTTACGCCTAAACTTGACTTGAATGTCCTCCATACTCAAGCTCTAATCCGTGCCCTTCGTATCCCTTTGAAGCGATTCGGTCCCCAAAATCTAGACTGCAATGCGCTTGAAGAGTGGAAGATATGGGGGAAATTCGAGGAACGCAAGGTGTTTTACGAATCAGCGAAGCCTGCGTCGGCCAAGGTCGACAATATGGAGCAGAAAAGGTCGCAACTTCACATGAACCTGGATGACCACGAAGTCAAACTTGATATCCAGCTGCCACTCCGTCACATCCTCGTCTTCCCTTTTCTTGCGCTACACGGTGTTGTAGGTGAAGCGCTCAAGCTTGGGATCGAGAAAGCCGAGAACCGCAAGGCCGAAAGGAAGAGCGCAGAAGGACGAAGGATGTTGGAAGCCAGGTGGGCTACCAAAGCAGCTAGTTATACTGATTTAGGAGCGAATAATCAAGAGATGGACGCTGAACAAGCACAGAAGATGGTGGTGGCGCCCGAACCAGCCGTGAAAGCAGAGGGAAAGACAAAGCAATCTCGTTTTATCCCAGAACGCGTCCTTACGACCGAAGCACTACGTTCTCTTGCGCCAGCACCAAAGAAAAATCTGACTGCACCGCCAGCAGATAGAGGACCACTCGGTCACCGCGGACCGCCTGGACCACTAGCTGCAGTGCTATCGGCACAAGCCTCTGCTAGACAGCCTTCCATGCCACCTGTATCTACGCATCTCGATAGGCCTCGGGGTGTACAGGCACCGTCCCCTACACATGCGCTTCATTCAGCATATGGACGGAGGGGGTATGATTCGATAAGGCCGACAGAACAGCGTGATGGGAGGGGCGGTAGTGGTGGTGCGAAATACTATTAGAGGGGTTGACAGTATGGAAGCTACAAGCAAATGATGCAATTTCGACCCAGTCGACACTAGGGATGAATAAGAGAACTGCCTGAAGCTTTGAACTGTGATTCCATAACTTTACTCATAGCCTGTAAATAAGAACTAGACCCAAAGACATTACTGAAGCAAGGATATGAGGTACAGTGCGGTTAGGGCATGAAGAAGCTCAATCGTTCCATGTTCTACACTCTAGAACTGAAATCTCCTCTAAAATCATACGCAATTTTTTTTTAATATAACATTTACAGAAATGCGACACCGCGTACCTTCTGGGTAAGTGTTGTTGGGATAGCGCCTCGAAAACAGATCAACGTCTCTATACAACTTACATCTTAACCCCGCGAACTTGGGTTCGGGAGTGTCTGGCCCAGGCTGCAGTTGTGGCTGTGCTACTCAAGGCCATAACTGACGCTCATCCCTGCAACAACCTACACGTAGCTACACATGCAGACTACGTTCGCTGGAGAGTCAGATTTTATGTCAAAACTTGCTTGTGTTGTATAACTGGTACTACTTTTGTGACCAAATAGAAACCTCATGTCGCAATTTCCGCTAGTTGGTCTCGCACTCACAGCAAACCATGCAACTGCATCTGCGCGATGGCCTGACGGAAGTTTCGAAAGTCTAGGTCGGGTGGAAGGAACGTACGAATATATGGAGATGATGCAACGGCTCTCTTTGTCCTCTTCAGAACACATAAGGTGAGCTGATAAGCCCATGTTCTTTCGCGACTAGATACTGACTATCTCTCTTGTAGTCCACCATACGACATTATGGAAAGTCTGTGGGACGAAGTCCTGCGAAGAGTTTGGCGTGGCGTACGCAAAACACTCGGTCTCGCAGCGTCTGCCGATCTAGCTGTGTTGGCCGGGATGCTCAAAACAGCAGCACAGATGGCGGAGAGTAAAGTCGGATGCCCTATATCGGTAATACTGAGCTTTCCCACATTGCCTGCCTTGCGCCAGGAAGATATCGCTTCGGCCATCGAGTACGCAGGATTGCGCACACCGACGTGTTGCGGAAAGCAGTTACACGAGCTTGTTGCTGCATATGCTGGCTATGAGATGGGCCTCTCCGAGAACAAACCTGAACTTGGAAACCGCGGTAAGAAGATGCACGAGCTCCCGAGACGCCACGTCGTCCTCGTGGAGTATACCGAGGTTGCTATTCTACTTTACTGCGCAGTGCTAGAAAAGGGAAACAATACGCCCGACGTCGCAAGAGGGATTCGGACAAGTTTTGAACTAGGCAGCAACAACGGAGCCTCGACAGAAGAGGTACATGATTTTGTCTTGGAGTACTTGCGTGACGTAAGTTCCAGTAACACACGTTGGGGTTTCCCCGAAAAAATCAGTATCATGATGACGGGAAGCCTAGAAAGTGTTGGTCGCGCAGGGATTCGACAGGCAATCGTGGGGGCCGTTGAAGCATTTGGATCGCGGGCCAACGTTTTGTATTCTGATCCGGAATATGTTGCAGCGAGGGGTGCGGCTGAGATGGCATGGCGAGCCACTCCGCAGATGGAGAGCACCGAGGTGTGAAAATCAATTTCTAGCGACGGATTCGATCCTTTCGGTGTAATGGCTAAGAGCCGAATTGCGACTTCCTTTTTCATCCTTGGATATGCATATCGTCTGTGCAACCGACTTGTCAAGATCGTGGTGACTAGGAAGACCCTCGTAGCACCTGACGCCACAAAGCAGATCACCCGAGGGGGAAATCAACAGCTTTGCGAGAAAGTTACCGGAATGGGCAGGTTGAGATCTGAAACTGCACGTTTTGGCGAGATTGTGGTTCGCTTGGATGAATCAGTACCAAATTGTGCTGTGGGACCAGAACTGAACCTGGTAGGTATGCAGGCAAGGCTGGGGACACCTGACCAGGTGAATGAATCATCGAGGGGCAATGATTAGTCTACAAGTATAGAGGTACCGGGGTCGTCGAGAGATGTGAATGCGTGCGAGTGGGAAGCATAAGAATTGCTTTTTGTAAGAGCTATGTTGAATTTGGGAAGACGCTAAACAGTGGTAGATAGTCAGAAACTACGGGAATTTGCTGCCGCGCTGCGCATTTGCGAGCGTTGCTGTCGGTCTAGCGAAGTCATTGATCTGCAAATCATGCGTATGATTGGCACAGGGGGCTAGGTTCCTCAACGATGACGATAGCGCCGAGCATGTTCAACCTCAATTCGGCCTGCAGCACGGCCGGTAGCCCTGTTTCTCCGCCACGCCATCGTGGCTGCCTCTCCTTATGCGAAGTAGTTGCGTCTCTCACTAGCTTGTTAATGTATGTTGTTTAGTGTTTTATGTGGTTTACCCAGCACTCTACCGTGACTTGAACGAGCGCACCTCCGCGGCCAAAACGAGATAGGAGAGGTCCAATGCCTGACCAGCAGCGCCGCTCATGGCACCAGCCCGACGTTACTAATCTGCCACCCGACTCGTATACCTCGCAGAAATTGGTATGCACAGCTACAGACTTGACATGTCGCACGCTAAGACGCGCAGGAACATGCGACGCCTGAGCATCTGCATCTTACCTCGAGACGCTACTTCATCGGGCCTATCCCAGTATGCCTTCCCCATTTCTCGACGAGGCCTTGGCTCACATACAGGTAGACAGCATGGCTCACCAAACACCGACGCGACTGGTACAAGCACCACCTCCGAATCAACTACTCGACGCGTACGGCGACCTTCTCTTCCGATCCACGCGAGGCCCGCCAACGACGGCTGAGCGGCCTTGAAGGACCCAGTTCCTCTGCCCTCTTCCAGCACAGTTTCCCCCAGCCCGAAGAACTCGAAGCAGAGGAGGACGAGGATGGCGCGCACGAGTCGGAGGCTAGTGGAGCCAATGGCGCAGCAGATGCGACTGCTGCCACTCCACCCGCCTTGCAGGTTCCGCGTGCTTCAGACCAAAAGAGCGATGTCATGGAAGATGCAGAGTACGACGAGTTCGTAGACGCACCCTCAGAACCAGAAGACGAGGACTCCGAACGCGAACCCCACGGACGCACTTTCCGTCGATCCAGCTCCAAGACCTTCGTTACTGCGTCCTCAATACCTACGGACGAAGATGAGAATGGAGGGGACTCGGACCAAAGACCGCTACACGAGCAACAGGAGCAACAGCAACAACAACCACAGGCAAGTGGCTTACATGTTCCTTCAGGCCAAGAGGAGGCAGGATCAAAGTCGCTAGGCAAACGCCCACTGTCAAATGTAGAGAGCCTCGGAAATCCTGCATCAACTATTGGAGCAGCCTCTGTAGATGCAAACTCCACATCGTCATTGCTGCGTAACGCTGACATGAACAAGGCGCCGGCCTCCGCTGATGTCGATTCGAAGCCGCCCGCGAAGGGTATAATGGAAAAAGTGAGGAGGAGATCGGGCATCTTATCGTCTTCCTCGGGACAACTACAAGAGGTCGACTCGGCCACGGGAGAATTGACGCGCAAGAAGTCAAACCTACGAAATCTTGTAAAGTTCGACATTCCAGAAGACTCCCGACGCGCCACCCTCCATCTCAAAGCGAAAAAAGCACAGATGACCGTTCAGCGAGCAGGTACCAAAGTGAGACGACAGAAGATCAAAGACGGGCTGGTCGTCAAGATGGAGCGCATGCTTGTGCGCGTTGACGCCGCTGCAGAGGTCCCAGAAGATTTCGATGAGAACGTCAACCAAAGGGTCGTGTCCCGCGTCAAAGAAAAGTGGCGGGAGTACATGATCGTCTGTCGCCACAATCACGTCAATGATGCCGAGTTTGTACTGCAGTTCTATCAGACTCGGGTGCGTCTCTCCAACCTTTTCCTCCGAACCAAGTTGCTGACTTTGTTGACAGGTCATCCCAGAGATCGAAAACGCGGGAGCAGGCAAGAAGGCTGCGTACGAAATTCCGCTGGGTAAGAAGACTTGCAAAGTCAATCTGTACTCGTCGTTAGACAAGTCGATGGTCGTGTCCTCACCTGGTTCACGTGAGACTTTGATCTTTATTATGCAAGCTCGGACTGCCTCCAATGCAGTAGAGTGGTATACCTTCCTCCGAAACGTCCTTGGCTGGCAACGCGCTTCCGAACTTCAGATCAGCATACCGGACATGAGCTTGAGTATTCGAATAGCCAATCCGTTTGAGAAGCTGGAGGCATCCCAGAACAAAGTGCATGATGCAGACAATATAGAAGAAGCCTTGCTCAAAACTATGCAAGAAGAGCAGGCAGTTGCGCAAGAGCTGATCAGGCGTTGCCTGGATCAGCTACAAGATGCACCAGAGTGGGCAGATGTGCTGGAGTCCTGGATCAAGGACCAGCGCATTGGCCTCGCTTGGAAGCGATACGATCGACTGGAATGGATACACGGAGCCAACGAGCGGAAGATGTATGGCACGATAGCTATGCTCAAGTCGCACGAACTGGAACTGAGACCGAAGACACACTACCCTACGACTGCGGTGACCAGGAAGAAACACAAAACATTGACCGAACCAGTTCCTGTCGAAGGTTTCCTGATCAGGCTGACAGGGCAGCGAGGACGGGCGCAGCGACTAGGGCTCATGTACCACAAGCAACTCTATTTCGCTAGCCACGACCAGTATCTTGTCTTCTCACGACCCACAAAGGTCACTCCACCTCCGCCCCCGAGACTACCTGCGTCGGAAAATGCAAACGTACCGACAGCAAAAGCGGTCAAGGACGCAGTGCCAGAAAGCTGGGCTGTCAATCCCTATGCTACGCAGGATGGCCAGATCGAGTGGTTGATGGAAGGACATTCGGGTACGACAGAGGCCAAGCGATTGCATGACGAAGACGCAGCGGATGAAGCTGCTCGCAAAGAACAAAACCTGCTCAACTGTGATGGCTACATCAACCTGGCGGATGTTGTTAAAGTTCGAAAAGCACAGCTGGGTGCTAGCCCCGCTGATCAGGACCTCGAGGAGGGCTCAGATGTGGACTTTGACGAAGAAGTTGATGATTCTATGCGCAATGATGGAGCCACAAGCGACCTTGACATCGATCGCACCTTGGAGTTGGTAATGAAGAATGGCCTCATCATTCGCCTACAGGTATGTGGCCCTAAGGTATACCATCTGCTTTCCTGACTAACCCGATCTTCAGGCCGCAGATAAAGCCCGTAGGAAAGAGTGGATACAGCACCTGCGCGCTCTCGCCAAGTATTGGAAACACCGCACTGCGTCTGATATCGCGCTCTACAAATCAACACGTAGTCGTAATCTCAGCGCCCTTAAGATTGACGAAGAGACAGAAGCACACGTTGGACAGTTTGCGAGAAAATGGGAGGTGACTCAGTCATTTGCCTCACCACAGCTCTACAACATGTGTGGCATCGCTTGTTGTCGCAGTATCCATATGAGCGGAATGTTGTATCGGAAGCCCCGCATACACGCGCCCTTTACACGATGTAGCGTTTTGCTGACCGCCGGTACGTTGCTGATCTTTCGAGATGTCTTGCGAAGCAGGGTCGGCAAACAATTGGCGCACATCCACCACGAGCGCATAGCGAATCTCGATCTCAAGGATTGCTACATCTATTCTGGTCTCCTCACGGAAAACGACCTCCTCTACCAGAACCAGACCTTCGATGCGAACAAACCAGGTCACCACGCTCTCCCACGTATCTACCTCGAAGACGGCTGGACGTCGACTGATGAGGATGTCATGACAACGTTCGTCATCTGGCATGGCAAAGCAAAGAGCTGGTTCCGCGCCGAAGAGGGAGCAGGTGGCGGCGAACAGAATCGGAAAGAAGGCAAGCGAACAAAGTTGAAGAGGGTGGCTAAGCTTGGTAGCAAAGGCCGTAGCGTGGTCTTTAGGGCTCGATCGCGTGCCGAGCGAGATCATTGGGTGCTGGCGATACAGAATGAGATCGAGAGGATCCAAGGCGATAATGCGGACTTCAGACTCGAGGAGAGTGGTGACAAGGGGACGTCGAATGGCAGTGTTAGTCGGAGTAATACGGGTACATAACAGGAGGATAAGTTGGGCATGGTAATGGAGCTTTGCATTGTATTTTGGCGCATCACTCCAGGCTAGTGTACTTGGTCATGGGCATTTGGGACTGTACACGGTGGCCTACGTTTTGAGCATATCCAGTATCGTATACTTGGTGTCAGTACTTTATAATAACATCGGAATTATTCACATACTTTTTCACTTGAAACGCCACCAGGCAGGTCAAGTATACATGCATCGAACACTGTCTTCTATTTCGGACACAAATACCAGATACGATATTTCAGATGGGGGATCTCGCAAGCGTGCGTTCACTGTACCGCTCCGAGGTGCAGAATCGTATTATTAGCGCTACTCTGCACACTCTTGCGTGGATGCTCTCACATTCACATCCAATTTGCCGCCACGCGTTGCTCCTGCCTGATACGCTCACCCACGCTGTAGCCTTGGCGATATCAGAACGCGCTCGACCCACTCCCCGCACCAACAAACGACTGCCCTTGTTGATAAATACCCCCAAATCCTGCACTCACCTTCTCTTAACCTACTACTTCTTCTACACTCGTTTAAAAGAATCCACTCGCTCCCCGTCAACGTCGAAACAACTCAATCCACACCTTCGATCTTCTCAACCACACTCACTTACAACAAGTTACCACATTGCAATGTCTATCTTCAAGAACCTCCTCGCGACCACCGCCATCGTCAATGTCGCTTTCGCAGGCACCGCGTACTCTTCGGATGTAGCGTCCGTTGTTACGTTCATCCAGCTCGTGACTTCGGTGACCTTTGTCGACCCGCCGGCGGCTTCGTCTAGCACCCACTGCAACACTTTGACTGTTACAGAGGTAGCTCCTCCTAGCACCGTAACTGTCGTTGCTCCCCCTTCTGGTGCTAGCGGCACTGACATTCCGGAGTCCTCCAAGTCTGATGGTATGACCATCCAGACCTCCATCCCGTCGTCTACTATCTCAAAGGTATTTGGAACTGAGACCTGCACCCATGTCACTTCTGGCAAAGCTGTCATCGCCATTAGCTGCAACATGCCTTCAAGTTCATCGTCTAACATCTTGTAGGTTCAGCCAACAGAGACTTGCGTCAGTAGCCTCCACACTGTCACGCACGGTGGCAAGGCTTTTACTATCACTGCCTGCCACCTACCTCCAGCAGGCCTGATCTCTGTAAGTACTTACCCTGCTACATGCACCAATTCCCAAGCAATCATCTAATATGCTCGAGCAGTCTACTGGCACTGTCACCGTGAGCGAGACCGAAGTTATTCCCGTGCCATCAGCTAGCGCTACCATCGACACCTCTCTTGTCCATGCTACTGCCAACTTCACTGGAACTGCAATTACTGGAAGCATCATCTCGCCATCTTTCAGCCGTACAAACACTTACTCGCACACGTTCCACACGAACGGCACCAAGACTGCTACCGCGACTGGCACAGGTGGTGCTAGCGCTAGCGCCTCTTACACGGCACCTTCTCTCCCTCCTTTCACCGATGCTGCGGATGCTACCAATGTGGGCGCTGCCGTCCTTTTCGGTGGTGTTTTGATGGCTCTTTTCGGCGCCTAAGCACATGACCTGTGGTTGATCTATAAGCCTTGTGTTTGGATCCCCATATTGCATGTTAGATGACGAGTAGTGACGTGCTGCTCGATAATGAATTTCATGATCCCAAAGCTCTTTCTTTTGACTGATTGCCTGCTTGATCTGACATGATGAAGCTCGAATATGATACCACCGTATCAAAGAGAAAAAACAAACTTCCTCTTTAAGAGTACTCCTTCTTACTATAAAAGAGCATATAGAGAGCTATGTAGATATATTTTAAAAACCTAGAAGACTATAATACTGTTAATCTTAATAAGTTCTCTTACTAGAAGATAATGTAGGCTGCAAGGTAAAGCTTATTATGTCTATACCTGTTCGGTTTTTCCCTCGTATACGGTGATACCGTATGTCTGTATGGTTACCCACCGAAAGATTTTCTAATGCATCAGCAGTACAGTAGGCTGGTGGGAAAACAGTCTGCATCCTTGAGGAAGGATGTGGTGAGGTTGCGGAAAGATTGGACGGGGGTCGCGCGTTACCGAAAGCGGTTTGGCCTATGTTGCCCCACGGCGGCGGGCGATCTCACACAGTGAGTGGGCAAATCTAGGTTGAGTCACTGCGAACCAACTACTTCGACGCTTCCACTCGGTCTCCGCTCAGCACACCGAAAGACATAGCGCTCCGCCCATTCCGCACGTCGCCCACATCGTCGACCGCACGACAACTTTGAAAATTCCCATCCACAAGCGAGGAACAACACTAGAAGCGACCCCACTCGGCGACAGTTGAACGACGTACCCAACACCACTTAGGAGAAAACGAAGAGCACACATTCATCATGTCTCTCACGAATTGCCGATTCTACGAGGAGAAGTACCCGGAGGTGGAGAGCTTCGTCATGGTCAACGTGAAGCAGATCGCAGAGATGGGCGCATACGTCAAGTTGCTCGAATATGGTGGGTTCAGGGCATATTGAAGGTATCCTGAGCAAGACTAAGAGAATCCAGACAACATCGACGGCATGATCCTGCTTTCCGAACTTTCGCGAAGACGTATTCGATCGATCCAAAAGCTCATCCGAGTTGGCCGCAACGAAGTCGTCGTCGTACTCCGTGTAGACAAGGACAAGGGTTACATCGATCTGTCGAAGCGCCGAGTGTCGCCTGAGGATATCGTAAAGTGCGAGGAGCGATACAACAAGTCGAAGATGGTACACAGCATCATGCGCCACGTCGCCGAGAAGACCCAGACACCCATCGAGGAGATTTACCAAACAATCGGCTGGCCGCTAAACAAGAAGTACGGACACTCGATCGACGCCTTCAAGCTCAGCATTACGAACCCCGAGGTCTGGAACGATGTCACATTCCCCAACGACGTTGTCAAGGAGGAGCTCCAGAGCTACATTGGCAAGAGGCTGACACCTCAGCCTACCAAGGTCCGATCGGACATTGAGGGTATGTTGGATGAAAAAAACACAATGTGGGCACTTTTACTGACGTCTATAGTCACCTGCTTCGGATACGAGGGTATCGACGCCGTCAAGACCGCCCTGCGATGCGCTGAGGCGAAGAACACGCCCGAGAACCAGGTCAAGGTCAAGCTCGTATCCCCACCTCTTTACGGTACGTGATGGAAGAGCAAGTATGTACGTTATCTTGCTAATTGTCTCAGTCCTCACCTCGCAATGTCTCGACAAGAGCGCCGGTATCGCATGCCTCGAACAAGCTATCATCGACATCAAGGAGAACATCTCAAAGGCCGGAGGTGACTGCCAGGTTAAGATGGCACCAAAGGCTGTCACCGAGAACGACGATGCCGAGTTGGCTGCGCTCATGGAGAAGCGTGAGCGCGAGAACCAGGAAGTCAGCGGTGACGAGGACGAGAGCACGAGCGACGAGGGTGGTGTTGCTGAGGCCGACTAAGCGGCTAAAGAATGACTTGCATACGAGCGACCATGATAATGAAGACCAAGGGGCATCTGCAAAAGTGGGCACGGGCGTTTGAGGCGTCGATTTGGTGGTTCACGAGCATGCACAAAAGGCGTCTCGACATGTACAGCACCTTGTCTTCAGCCACATGCATATCTGCGTTTGAGCATAGAGTGGAGGGTTATAAAAGCGGCTTTTAGCGGCTCTAGCAGCAAATCAAGAATGAACAAGTACTAATGTCCCATTTTTTTCTAACCGTCGAGTCGGATGCGTCCGCTGGTGTTGGCTCAGCAGTAGGCGGGAGCTTGGGCCGTTGGCTAGGTGGAGCGGGAGATGGACATCGTGCGATGACGCTGTGGACCGCCGAGCATTGCAGGTGTTAATCCAGGTTTAGCCAACACTAGCACGAACAACCCTGTCTTATCGTGGATCCTGCTGCTTTGCTGTCTCGCTGACACCGCAGCTTCCCTTCTGCTCAACTCTTGAGCGCGTTGTGTTGTATCGTTGTGCCGCGCATTATTCGTTTTTCGAAGCTCAACGCTACCTCGGTACTTTGTTGCTGAGAACTTGGACAGCTCGATACTGCTCCCGCCAAGCTTGATAGAACTTCTGCAAGACACGGCGCCTACGGAGCTCCGCCGCAACAATGGTGCGGTGGAATGAGCTTTTCAGCTCGGATGGTCAAAGCGGAAGGCACAGAGTCCAGGATGAGATGAGCGCGCGTAAGTTTTTCATCTTTTTTTTTCTCTTCCACCTCCAGTACTAACATTCGCCAGTCCTGCCAACGTCGCGTCGCGAACACCTCCCTCCTCCGCCTATCGACCCTAAGGATGTTACCATAGTAGCACTGCGACTGAAGCATCAAATCGAACAAGTTGTGCCCTGCGAGCTCGAAGAGGAACAGGTCACCAGGGCGCATAGCAGTATCATCACCGATGCAGTGCTAGAGACCGCCAAGCAAGCAGGAGCTCCCGAGCACAATGCCTGCGTCGTCTTCTGCTTGTTGCAGGTCAAGAAGTGGTTCAAGAAGCAAGCTACTGCAGAGCTGTGGGATGCTGACCTACACGAAGTCCGCGCTGTGGCGGCAGAGATCATGGCCAAGCGCCTGATTGAGGCTGAAGAGGATACCGCATACCTTTTCGAGGAGGTGCTACTTAAGCGCTACTCGACACTGATTGATGGAGAGCCAACTACGCCTGCCAACGCCGTTGAGAAGGCTGTCGATCTCCACGCTGTGACAGTCATCGGATCGTCCGGCTACCAGAAGTGCATCAACTACCTATGGCGCGGATGGGTAGTCCAGGACGACGAGGACCCCAGCCGCTTTGTGCCGTACGAGAACAAGACCAACACCAGCTACTGGGCACATCTGGATCCAGATCGCATGCGAGTTCCAAAGTACCAGAACTGGGTGCAAATTGCTACGTCCCTCATCTTCCTGGGCCTTTACACCGGTGCTATCAACACTATCAACCCCTCTGGTGACCTGGATGTCGTCGAAGGTCTGCTGTACCTCTTCACTCTAGGCTTCATCTGCGACGAGGCGAACAAGTTCTGGAAGGTCGGACGATTCTACATCTCCTTCTGGAACATGTTCAACAGCACCCTGTACGCGCTGCTCACTGTCAGCTTCGTCCTGCGCATGGTAGCTCTTGGACACCCAATCAGCGACGAAAAGGATACGAGACGCGAGTACCTGAACAAGATGAGCTACGACTTCCTAGCTTTCACCGCGCCCATGTTCTGGATGCGTCTGCTGTTGTATCTCGACACCTTCCGCTTCTTCGGTGCCATGCTCGTTGTTCTCAAGGTTATGATGCGCGAGTCGCTCATCTTCTTCATGCTACTGCTTGTTGTCATGATAGGATTCTTCCAAGCTTTTATTGGTCTCGACATCGCGGACGACCAGCTGGCAAACGACACTGTCTTTGTGTTCCAAGCTATGTTGAACGCTGTCATGCAGTCTCCTGAGTTCGAGGGCTTCGACAACTTTTCGGTACGTCACAACTTATTTGCTCAAATCAAGTATGTGCTAACAAGCAGTAGCCTCCCTTTGGTATCATCCTTTACTACATCTTTACATTCGTCGTCATGGTTATCCTGCTCAACGTTCTTATTGCGCTCTACAACTCTGCCTACGAAGACATTACACAGAACGCCATCGACGAATACATGGCACTTTTCTCACAGAAGACGATGCAATTCGTCCGCGCTCCCGACGAGAACGTCTTCATCGCTCCCTTCAACCTCATCGAGATGTTCTGTCTCATCCTTCCATTCGAGTGGTGGATGGACGAGAAGCGCTACGACAAACTCAACGACATGGTACGTACCCTTGCTAGCATATGCTGCCTACCACTTCGCTGTCTACATGATGAATATCTATGTATTTGCTACTTCAGAGCTTCGGCTATGAGACAATTATCACCTAGTACTGATTACAGCACTTTTTCACTCGTTTTTCACAAGCTGCTTTGAGTCCACAGTCAAGTTGACACCAGAACAGGTCATGGCAGTGATATACTCCCCCCTCCTTGTAGTCACCGCTATGCTCGAACAGCAAGAAGCCTGGGTCGTCAAAGAAAACCGTCGCCGCGGCGAAGACGACGAAGACACTACTATGGAGTGGGAACAAGTCCTCGACGGCTGTGACTTTGAAGCTGATGGCTGGGACAAGAAGGTTCAGGCCTCGCGTCCTAATGTCGAGTTCGACACTGCCGTCTTGGAAGTCCGACAACTGAGGAAAGAAGTCAAGGAGTTGAAGGACATGATGAAGATGCTTGTCGAGGGCAAGAAGGAAGGCTGGGGTGGTGACACACTTGGTCAGAGCGGATTGGCGCAATTAGACGCGGGAAAGTTGGGCATGCAAGGTGAAAGCAGCGAAAATGGGGGAAGGGATGAGTAAGTGCGTTTCTTTGGCAGATGTGCTTTTGTTATTGATTTGTTGTCGGTGCTGGTGTGTTGACTTTTGGGTTGTAGGCGCTACAGGAGCGAGTTTGGAGAGAGTAATGCGAGCGATTGGCATTCGGATTGAGCATGCTCCTCTCTCCTTCGTTCCTCTTCTTCGGTTAAATATTACGGAATACTACGCGATACGATATACGACACGATTTTAAGCGACGCGATACAATGCTTTCGCCATATACCCCTCCTTTACGACGGAATGATGTATGTACGTTTCTAGACGGAAACGCAAAAATATTAAGCGATTTGTTTCTACGTGCTGCATTGTTCTGGATTGTGGTCATTTGTTCGACGTTGCGACGTGTAACCGGAATACGTTGCTTATCTTGTGGCGGTGCTGAGATGACGTGGCGGTCCACCAATTAGCGGCCACACGCCCCTTAATTCGGGGCACCATCTGCCACCTCCAGACCCGGCTCCCGTTTCCCAGTTCCAGGTCCTCTCCGTCTTTGGAATTATCGCTCAAAGATAGCCCGCCATGCCATATCGGCCGAATCCTTGCAGCCGTATAGCCGCAATACCAAGATGTCCGTCCTTCCTTCAAGTACAATGTTCATTGCTCTTTGCACTTTTACATGATCACTTCTGGATTACTTACCAGCATAACATTCATCCTCGTTCGGCGGCCTATGCTCCAAACGCTAATTGTACGAGAGCACGCAAAAGTACAAACATGCGCATTGCCCTCATCCACGGTCCTCTTTTTATTACCTCTCCCTTTCCTCTCATCACCTTGATTGATTCGCAAAACTCCAGATCCCTCTTTCCCACGAACTGAAAGAGAGCGAACATGTCTCTCTACACAGCCCCCCTTACTACGACCAAAGGGGAGGAGGCCAAGACCACACCCAAAAGACTCCTCCAGACTTTCCAAGAAGTACAGGCTTGGCAACGCGACAACGAGTACCTCAGAAACCATTACCGGTCTACCACGGGTTCCTATCGAGAATGTCTGAAAAGCCTATCATACCTACACAACCAGACCGGCAACATCTATACGCATCTCATCGGCGCAGTAGTAATACTCTCCTATGGTATCTACGCTTACAACAGCGTTAGTGCGCGATACGTTACCGCTGATATCAACGATCTCCTCGCGTTCGGTGTCTTCATAGGAAGTGCGGTTGCTTGCTTCGGGATCAGCGCTACTTTTCACATGTTTGGGAATCACTCTAGCGCCGTTTACCATACCTGGCTCCAACTCGATCTTTACGGCATATTCATCCTGATTGTTGGAACTGTGTACTCTGGGACATACTATGGATTTTACTGCGAGAGACAGTATTGGATGTTGTATTCCGTCGGGATTACCACCATTGTCACGGGTGCCGCTACACTTTGTTCGATACCACGATTTCGTACGCCAAAGTGGCGCTGGGCGAGAGCGACATTGTTCTGTGCTATCGGTTGGTCAGGCGCGGTTCCTATGACGCATGCTGCGCAGTCATTTGGTATTGAACAGGCTGATAAGCAGATGGGATGGTGGTTGATGATCTGCGAAGGATTGTGCTATATCACTGGTGCTTTCATCTATGCAGTGAGTACATGACAAACAGGGGTTCTCCTGACTTCAGTCACTAACGGACTATATAGATTCGCTTCCCTGAGAGATTTCGTCCCGGCCTCTTTGACATCTGGGGTTGCTCACATCAAATCTTCCATCTTTGCGCTGTCGGGGGCGCGGCTTGGCATCTAGTGGCTCTTCTTAAGGCTTTCGACTACAACCATGATCCGGCAACGAGGAGATGCTGAAGGTGATGCGCCTTGAAGCGGTGGCAGAATACCAGCTTTGGAGTATGCTTAAAGGATTGACTGCGTATACTCCAGGACTTGAAGTCGCAAATCGCAAATCTCAAGTACCCGTGCTGTGGCGTCAGAGTTGCACCTATTACAACTCCATTCTTTCGTCCGACTCCGAGACTCGCCCAGACCATCTCCACTGGCCCTCTTGCCGAGATACAAGCGGGATCATAAGGTGGACCGTTGAGCGTAGACCTCATGCCAGCGCACCGCTAGTCTTACAGTTCTTCGTCGGCGCAAGATGTACCATTGAACTTCACCTGTACAGTACTTTGATAATGGACATCCTTCCAAACAAAGCTGGTACTGTTGCAGCATCCGATAACACTGCTCGTTGCACCGTATCAGCGATCACAGTTGCAGTGTTGCGAAAGTGGGTTAGGGTCAAGGACAGGCAGGAACAGGCTATGTTTGATGTATGCGTGAAGAGGGGTCGGTGCTTGAAGACGCAAAAGGCCTTTTTTCTGCCTACAATATGGAATACTGCAACCAAATATCTGTCGAGTACCCGCGGTTGAGGTGTCGCAACTCTGGATGATGCAACATGACTCATGTTGCATTGCATACGATGCAGCCATGCAGGCATTTTCTTTTCTCATAGGCTACCATGACACTGCCGGTAATGTTCGCCGCTTGTGTTCCCGTGAAGCGTACACCTGTACAGCATATTAAATACGCCGTTCACCCGCGATGCTCGTTCTCGGTATGAAATTCGAGGCCTTTACTGTAGGACCCATGTAACAACCCACCAAGCCGCTAGTACACGTCTCTTGTCTAGAACAACTCGGTCTGGAAACTTACCTATGGCGACTCCAAAGGACCATTTGCCCGGTCCCATTTCTGACGATGCAATTAACCAGCTTCTCTTGTCGTTGGGCCTTCCCAAGGCTCTTAACATTGTATCGCCCGAAGTCGCCGCCGAATATCACTCCATCTACATGATAACCGTGCCCCAGAACACGAAGATCTCGTATGGAAAGCTCGTACTACGCGTCTCTGGACAGCATCTTCCCAGAATCAAAACAGAAAACGAAGTCGCCGTGATGACCTGGGTCAAGCAAAACACGAGTATACCCATACCAGATCTTGTAGCATTCGATGCTAGTAGTACTACTAATGCAATCGGCCACGAGTACACACTTTTGTCGCTGGTCGAAGGTACGGCACTCAGCGAGAAGCATCAATCCTTGACTGAAGCTCAAATAAACTCGATTCTGGATCAGTTGGCAGACTATCTTAGTCAACTGCACACACATTCATGGAACACCATTGGCGGTCTCCGCCTCAACGCAGCTGGGGAAGCTATTTTGGGTCGAATCGTGGACGAGACGTTCTGGCAAGCCCCCGAAGTGAAGAAGCTGTGGCCGGCGGGAGAATCAGTCGACAGTCTGAACATTGGCGGACCATATTCTACATATGTTGATTTAGTGTCGGCGCAGGTCAAGACATACATTCACCTGATAAACATCCATGAAGGCCTTATCTTCATGCGCGATGCGGTCCCTCGCCTTGAGGCCTTCGTCAAGGCTCTGCCAGAGCACGCCGAACAACTAAATGACGTGAGACTGCGCCTCGCACACAAAGACCTGCATTTCGCGAACATACTGTACGATTCTGATTCCGGAAAGATCACCGCAATTCTAGACTGGGAGTTCTCTGGCGTCGTGCCATTCCCATTGTGGAACCCGCGTCGCTCTTTCCTCTGGAACGCGAGCAATGACGAAAGCTCTCTGGCGGCAAAGGAACAGTTTTCTAAGCTGTTCGAAGAGCGATGTAAGGATCGTGGTTTCCAGATGTTGGAAGATGCTCGGTACACCTCATCGCTGCAGGAGAGTATGCAGAAGGTCGCGGGTTTTCTACGCGCAATCACGGAGGTTGCGCCAAGGGGTCAAAGGGCAGATTTTGTGAACGGCTGGAAGAAGGTAGTTCTTCGCAACATCAAAAAGTTCGGGTGCTGATGGCATAATACTGCGTTCGGAAAACACACACCTACCTAATCAAAAGAACAAGTAACGGGGTTCTCGGTAACGCAATTTCTCGCGTGGCGGGACGCCACAGACACTCCCCAACATAATAGACTTGACAACAGGTAAGAAGCATAGCTATTCTCGGGATGGTAGCTCTAGACTATAAATCTTGTTTTTACCTACGCGACTGCCACAAGACACCGTAATTTTTCCGTATGCAGTAATCTACATAACTTAGCGTTAATTCTCAATACGGTCTATTGGCACGCATCACCGCCCGCCAAGATACGAAGGAGTGTTTTCAGTACAATCACCAACGATCTAGGGCACTAAAAATAAACTAACTGATAAACGCTACTGCTAAAGCAGCAGTGCTGGCTCCCAGGCTTCTCCTACGTGGACGCCACAGATGTTTCCAATAGTGATACCAACTCATCCTCCCGGACTGGCAAACTGGGCTATGGTCCTCTAGCGTCTGCCGGCACATGCCGCTGCTCGCATCCTACATCGAGGTGGCGTTGTCGTAGGATGCCGACGCCAACCTGGTTAAGTCGTGCGAGAAGATCACTGAGTTGACCCACTGGCTGTAGCCCTCGAGCGTTGCAGCCTCACCTACGACGCGAGATCCCAATATTTAGCGGCTCTTAGTCTGCGGGCAAAAGTGAAACAGTCTTAGCAGGTAAAAGTGAGGCTGTGTCTAACACAGCTGCACCTCTTTGATAGCTCGTCCGCGACAGCTTGCCCGCAATTACTTAGGTAGCTAAGTGAGCCGGAAATTGGAAATGCATATCTAGACTTTCTTTTCCTATAGTCAGCCTGCAAGGCTGAGGCATCAGAATAGGGTGGGTTAGTGACGCATGTATCTGCTGACGACAACAGCCTTGTTGAACACCCGAAGGTATTTAATAGGGCACTGCTCGCTCAGGTTGTCTTTCTCATACTTACATCGATCCTGTCTTGTTGCTACTATCACATACCTTACCTACTTGCTCCTATATCATTACTTGGTCATGGGGTCTAAGTCATCGAAGCCCAACAAAACCCAGGCCCGTGCAGTTACAAACCAACAGCTTTCAGGACCACCAGCGGGGTCATATCCAGTGTACTATTCATATGTCGAACCTGTTCGCAAACTCAATCCGGATGTAGATTGTACTGTAAGTTGTGCCACCATTGATTTGCACAAAAAGATCGGCGAGAACTGACGTAAGCCTTTTAGTGTCATTGGCATAAAGATGGAAGCGGGAATTGCTGTATTGTTCATCACGGTGGATGAGTGTTGATGCTGATGCAGGGCAACACAAACGCTTTCAAAAACTCAGGGGCAGTTTAGTAATTATGTGTATGCGGGCTAAGGAAATCTACCGCGTTCAGCTGGCTTGGCTGCATCGCTGCTGCCTTCTACCCCTCTTTTCTCGGCTTCGTCTCCCTCTCTCCATATCCTACTTCTGTCTCATGGTCGCTCACCACAAGAACCTCTATTCTCACTGCATCTGGTACTGTTGATGAAGGCCGAGAACATGCAAGTTAGCATTAATTATTAGGGATTGGGTTGGGCATCTTTACGAGGAGGAGGAGGAGGCTCGATAGAACTGCTAAACATCAGGAGCGCTTGGAGTGGTGTTGCTACCTGCGGCGTCCTTCACAGCCCATCGAAACAGTGGCTAGGTTAACTGGTGAGCAGAGAAGGACTTTCCAACGTTTTGTCTAGTCCACAAACGCGAATTTTATGCGTCCTTAGATTCCACAACAGCTAGGCTATGTTTGCTACGCTAATTTGACCATTTCGGATGTCATGATACAGTATTGTTTTGGTTGCCACTCGGGGCTAAGTAGACATCAACACACCACTTTCAACACGAACCCTATTATTAACCGCCGTGGCTTGCTCGAGACGTCAGAATCATATGCTACTGGAGCAATCCATGGGTGGCTGCCAGACAACATGCATAGGCTTCCAGCTCGTCACACACGATCCCAGACCTTGTAACCAACCGTTTACATTGTACGAGGAATATGGCGTATAGGCCTCCTTACGCGTCACTTGTATCCATAGCTCGCGGTGGCCGTCATGGCAGCCTTGTTCTAGCACCTTCCACTAGCTAGGCGGCTGTCACGATAGCTTCTCGCACCTATTCCGCTAAGTTCGATCTTGAGCTCCATTTGTGATTTCCCACGTGTCATAACGCGCTGGGAGTTGCCGTCTCAATGCTTCTTCTCGGGAAATGTAGCAGCTGCGACGTTATGAAAGAACGAATCTAGACAGTGTAATCTATTGCGACAGTATCGTCCGGAATCAAGTGCTCGCTCCAAAAGTAGAATGACTCTGTTCTGCGCATGACTTCTCCGATCATTACACCATCTCTACACAGCTTTGCTTGTTCTGCAGCACCTTTCCAATGGAGATATGTATGTTTATAGTTGCCATCCCTAATATGCGGTGTATAGAAATGAAGCAGACTCATGTAGCGTAGAGTTGAGGGGTAAACTTTGTCGTTTCCTTTCGTAGCTGCCGTAATATTGGCCTGTAGATTCTCAACCCAAGCATGAACCTGCGTGATGTAGTCGTGTATTGTGATCTAGATTTGCGTATCAGGAAGGGCTGTAAGAAGCAGGACGACGTGGGAGCGATTTTAATCGCAGCAATGCATAAGTGTCAGCGGACGCTCTTCTTCTCCACTACTCTTGTCACCACCTTCTTCAGACCATTCCTAGTACTCATCACTGCAGCTCTGGGCATATCTATAGAGCTGAAGAATTAGGATTTTCGAAAAGCGGACATCTAAAGTTGGTAGGTTGCTTGATATTGACCTGGGCGTGGTTTAGGTGTTGAGCAGGTTCAACAAGTGCTGAGAGCTCGTGAGCTTGAACGCTAGTGTATTGAATTATATGGATCAGCTTTTTGATAGGCAAACTTGTGGGCTCTGTAATCACCTAATTGCGTAAGTATCTTTCGAGTCAGCACAAGATATGGTGATTTCTCGGTCAAAGTATCGAAGGCACGAGGCAGCAAAGGAATGTCGGCATCACCAGAAAAAGAACAACCCCTCACGGGATAAGCTGACGGAACAGTCTTTGTGAAACCGTATCGCAGATTCATCCACCTAGCACTGATAGATCGAAAGGCTCAGCAATAGAAGGAATTGACAAAAAAAAACATACAACAGCGGGGATTCGCTAGTGGTCACCCACCTAACTACTAATCCGCCGGTACACTGCTTGTATATGGCTGAGCGGACGGGAAGCCTAATTTTCAGTGTCCTATGGTCGTATGTGAAAGAATTGCTGTGGTGTTGCGTTCATGTAGTCAGTGAACGCTGCTGCCGATATTAGTCAAAAACCGAATTGCATTAAATGATTCTGCGCTTAGAACGCCAGATAGTATGTATGTATAGGGTATCGTATCAAATCGTGATCATGATGAAAGAAACTAAGAAGTTGAACTCGTGGTACTGCGAGCTGGTGAAAGGAAATTTGACGTAAGCGCTATCCGGTATTTCGGGATGCGGTCAGGCGTAGGGGTAGTCTTGACGCCATTCTGAGGTCGATCAGCGACCTCTGCCTTTACGCTTTCCGATGCGTCCTTGGTAGGTGTGCTCTCATCCTCTATTGTTGAATCCTTCCTGCGTTGATTCGGCGTAGGGGTGTCCGGCGTCAGTGGCGGGCTGTCCTTGGAAGGTTGTGGTGTGATTCGCTCGCCATTCGTCCAAGCCTCGGACACAAGATTTAAATTGGCCGGCGTGCTAGCCGTAGATGATGCAGCAACAAGGTCGTCGGAAGAGCGCTTGGTTTGTGAGAAGGATGGTGACGTTGTGATATGAGCATGGGAGAATCCAAAACCTTCCATCTTGGCCGCCATTGCTTGGTTGTAGTCTTGTAAATCGTTCGTCTCGGTAGCCGTTGTGGAGGGGATACTGAAACCGTCATGCATCTCGGGAATGGTGCTTATCTGCGAGTTGCCATTCATGACGACTTGATGCGACACTACCGGGCCTTTCCATTCAGGATGCGGTATTCGTCCGATGATATTCAGTCTGCCCGTTCCTACTCTAGCCCATTCCCAGATACCTCGACGCGAGGGTGTCCTTTGTGGTGGTTGCACTGGTCCTCCTTCAAGCTCGCCGAGTGCTTCGTCTTCTATGTGGCTATTCTGGTGTGGGGGAGACGCGTCGTCTGAGCTTCGGCGGCGCTCTTCTAGGACTGGGCGTGACTTCTGCATCTCCGTTCCGCTGCTTTGAGCTCGCTCTAGGCGTCTGCGCTCCGGTGGCGTCACTTTGCGCAACTTCTCCCTGTCCTTCTCCCTCTCCCGAATCGCGTCGGGATTGGGCGGCTGACTGGCGACTGCCATCTCCGTCGACGTGACTACTGTCGAACTCGCCGGACTTGTCAGCCGACGGCGGAGAGGACCGGCGCTGCCTTCTTGTGGGCGAGCCGGTAGGGGACGAGACGGGTGAGGCGTCTTCGGGGGAGGAGGGCGGGGAGGGCGGTTCTGCTGGTCGGAGCTTATGTAAGGGACGGATTTGGCGGATGACAGGCCGGCTTTCTTCTTTACTGGTTAATGGATGTTATTATGCGTGTTGTGATTGTGACAGCAACGAGACGGCTGACATGGGATTGGAAAATGGGCTGGGTGGAGATCGGAGTCACACACCTTGCTTCCCCTTGCCCTTGCCTTTTGTGTGGCAGTTGGGCCCAGCTTCGTGGTCATGGTAGTCGCACTCGTTGCCCTCATCTGTAGGGTCGTCAAATAGCATGCCACCAGTACCTGACCTGATTGCCTTGACCAAGTCGATGGCGAAATCGGGGTTGTTCTCAAAGCATTCGCGGTAAGTCTCGACATCGCGCTCACTGCCAGGATCCATGATCTGGCGGGCTGCGATGCGCGTCATGAGCTTGCGGAACGGTGACCCTGTCGGGCTTTTGCGATAGATGTGGTCGATCTCGTCAGCGTCAGGTACCAGCTCGGCCTCATTTAGGCCTTTTCGATACTGATCCATGGCGACGTTCTTCAACTGAGCCATGTCGAAGCGATCGCAGAGGAGATAGAGTTTGTGGCAGCTCACAGCATACTCGTACTTTAGGTTGGCATCAGCCATGTCGGAGACATCGTCGAGGCTGCCTTGATACAGCCATTTCACCAGCAGCTCGAAGCCGGCGGGGCTGTGGTCGGGGAGATCGAGCTGGTCTTTTCTAGTGTGGCCGTCTGCATCACCAAGCAGCTCGTTCTCGAGGGTCTCGGAGTGGTGGCACAGGAGGTTGCGGTGCAGCGACCAGTGGCGCTTGGACTCGCCTACGTATATATCGATCATAGGGCCGGAGAGCAGTCTATCGCGTTGCAGCTTAGCTTTTGCCCGTACATGGAGGCGATGGGAATAGAGGCGGTGGGTCAGGGCCGGGCGCAACGCGATGCATCGCGAAGGTGCTTCGGGCCTTTGCGCCAGGTCGAATTGCGGTGCATCGGCAGACGGCGCATCCTTGGTCAGGTCGTCGTCACCTTCCAAAGACGCCTGCGATGCACCTGCCCTCTTACCGTGGTCGAGGAAAGGATCGTCTACGTACTCAGCAAAAGTCGCGGCAGGCACGTCGCCAATGCTCCCAGAAGCCATCCGTGACCGTTTGGAACCCGGAATGGCAAAATCACGATTGTATGATCGCAAAGTCTGCCACATGCAGCGCGGTGATAGCGCTCATGTATGCGCAGCAGCTTCTGTTGGGAATAGTACGTGTCGCGATGCGGTGAGGGCTGTGAGGTGTCTTTGGGTGAGGTGTACCGTGGAGACGGGCTGGAGTGGAGACGTCCATGGAGCATGCGAGGATGGCTGGGTGGCTTGCCGTGACGTCGTTGGCACGTCCGGGTTAGCTTCCGCTCTGCCTAGACCCGGGTCATCGTGATCGCTCCAGGACCTGCATTGCTACCGCGAGCAGCTACTTAACCATCAACCATCTACACCCTCTTATCAAATGTCTGCTCCGCGAGAACCCCATCCGTTGCATAGCGACAGTAGCGCCGACGGCTATTTCGCCTATCCAGACACCGCCGCACTGAGCATCTGCGGAGTCGCCTATTTACCATAGCTTCTCTTACCAAAGTAGGCTCGTTAGACAAGGGTTGCTCTCCTTACCTCAGAACCGTTGTTTCCAGCCACGGCAAAGTTCCAGCTAACACGGGCCTGTAATTTGACTCTTGTGTACATGATCAACAAACACTAGAAAAACGATTTATACAAATTGACCCATTGGTGGCTCTTGAAGCTTCGACCTGGGCACACCCTGGGCACATTGCCGATTTGCACTCCTCTCTTATTTTGCTTTCGCTTTGAAAATCTCTGGAAAAAGCCCTCTTTTTCTTTGCTCACATCTCCTCAATTCCCACCAAACTCGCTTCTATAACATCATGCCACCCACACTCAAAGATCGCACGCGATTTGCAGCGATCGTCCAGTCCAGCTCCTCACGAAACACCCAACTCAAGCAAATGTGGAGAAAAGCAATGCTGTGCTGTGGAGATTCGTCGTCCAAGCGGCCTTCCGAAGGAATTTCTGGCAGGCGAAAGCTTGCGCTGTACATGTTGCCACGACCCTCTACCAGGAACTTCGTCACAGACTCGAAAGGATACCTTTCGAGATAGTTTCAAACACCTATGCTGGGGCCGGTCTGCAAGGATCAGTATCCTGGCCAATGGGAGAGCGACTGTATGCGCCAGGGCCAGCCTGAGTCTACGACCCCATTCCGCGGACGCCTCATACCGCTTCCCGTTCTACAGCTGCACTACAAGGCGACCGTAGAAAAAGCACGCAACATTGCTTTCTTTACTCCAGCTCACACCGAATCGCTGGTATGACCAGTTCGCCGACTTTTCATAACACATTTGGCTGTGAGCCCTTTGATCATTTCCTCCTGGTATGCCTGGTCGCACTCCACTCGAGCCAGTCAGGACGGCTGAAGCTCCCTAGTCGCGGCTGACGCGGGCCAACAGGAAAAATGGGACTCAGAGTCGACTCTGCACCAAGACGAGCAAGAACGAAATATTGTCAAAGCATGGATTAGCCTCGGCCAACGTGGCCGCTATGTAGGATCTCCTCGTCCAACCATGGGGATACTTTGCAGGTCAAGCCACTGATGTGCACGTCAATCAGCCATACTTCGAGCGATGCAGGGAAGACGATATTTCTTTGCCCGATCACATCCCTTCAAACCTGTCAGTGTTTGAGAAGCGCAAGGCGACAGATCCAGACAATTGGGGTGTTGCTGGCGTTATCTGGATTCGGACATGGTACGGCAACGAAGCATCTCTGGACAACGTTTCGGATAAAGAGATCGTCACGCGTGCGAGTGCCGACGAAGCATATACTCGGTTGTGGCGGAAAGCTTCATGTCCTCCACAGGACCATTACAAGTTTGACGCTGATCTGTTTGGCCCAAATGTATTCAAAGATGATGCTACTGCTTATGGGGTAACAGCACGGGACGCAGACGATGAGGTGGAGCTGATGAGTGATATACCATCTTTCATCCTGAGCGCTCTGATCCAGTGCCCCGACGCGATGGAACCTAATAGTGGAAGTCGTGATACCGCGGAGGACGACGATGATCTAAGATCGCGACAAGCTCTACTTGTAGTGGTTGCAGACCGTGAGGCATGTGAAGATGGTTGGGTATTGCTTATAGCTCTCAACCATAAAGGCCAGGTGTTGCACATGCGTGCCAGATGTAAAGCCTATCAAGTCTCGGAGCAAGTGTACTTCTTCAGGGACGGTGGTGAGCCACTGGATATCACGGAAGGGGAAGAGAATGTAATTCACTATCTGGATGGCAATAAATCGGGCGATGGATGGGATGAAGACTGACCCATCACAAGGGTGCAAAGACGCTACTAGGCTCTCCACAAACACGAGCTAAAACTACCAACATTCTCAGGCTTGTTGCCTAATGATCCGGAAGTTTGTTGTACTGTCGCAGAGAAAGTAATGGTATAGATGTCTGCGTATTCTCATCCAAATCACCCCCGCTCGCAAAGCGCAACTTTCGACAAGATCCGCCGTGTTCGTAATCCCAAACCATTCTACCCAGTTTCTTATCGCCACCGCTCAAAGCGACCGCATTACAAAGCCCATCCCCATTCTTATGACACACTGCATCCATGTTCGTGGTAAGGGCCACAAGCGTTGGGTCTCGAACGGTTTTCGAAGTTTTGGTCGTGGTGGATTGCACTACCCACAAGAGCAGAGCTGCAAGTGTCAAAGTTGCATTCAAAGCCAACCACACATACAAACGACGCCGATTGACTAACGCACGCACTATTGGTTCTGATGGTATCGCGGTAATTGTCGTAGTGGAGTCTGTGGCTTGTTCTACCAGAGCGCTACGCGTCGCGTGGTACGCGACTGTCAACATTCCTGCAAGATAACCTTGCACATTGTCTTCTCGGTGCTGCGACCCAACGCCCAGCGAGACCAGATGTTGTAAAACGTCTGTCATCATATCCAAGGTGGGGAGTATAGCTAAATCAGGTATCAGGTCTGGCTGCGACTGATTCGCTCCGTTTAGTGGTGATGCTACGTGGAGGTTTTCGGAAGCACCAACCAGTGTGATGTTGTAGTTTTGTTCCTTGATCATTCCAATCCTCATCGTAACCTCTGCGACTAGAAAGCAATCCGTCGCGGTCCATTCACCGTCGAGGAACCATGAAGAAGTGAACTGGCTCACGCCTATGGGCAACTGTCCAAATCTACCCGGTTTAGATGAGCACTGGGTAGTATTGGTTCCCAAGTCTGCGTCGTCCTCTTTATTTAGGCCTATACGACCGACAAGAATTGAGACATTTCTCTTGTTCTCGTAAAAGGTAGTTGGCTTCTTGTAGAGTTCTTTGGCGCTCGTAAAGTTCCACTTTTCTGTCATCCAGAAACCTAAGTTTCCCATCTTTTTACTGTTAGCGGGAAGTTCCTGCATGCTAGCATTAGCGAGGGAACTTGGCTTCCAATCTCCAAGGGTTTCCGAGTCGAATTGTACGTTCATCCACTCGATATTCGAAACTTCAAAATATGGCATTTGCGTTAAAACAAGACTCTCCGAGGGCAGATGAGGATCCAAGTACATATAGCGTCGTTGAGTAGCTTGTGTGGCGCTAAAAGCGTGGTCCGAATCCCTGGCACCCATAGTAGCCGCTCTTAATGCGATCGCGACAATATCTTCGGGGTAAAGAAAGCTGTTCCACGCGTCTTGGGTCCTGATATCCGGAAGGTCATAGTTTCGTGTTCGAGGATGGACGAGCTGGGATGAAGGAATCCACTGCAAGGACGAGTTGGCGAGAGGTGCTGCAATAGAGGATGGCCACACGAGTACGACAATGATGACTGCAAACAGCGACCAGTATAGATGCTGGGTGGATCCAAAGCCAGACAATATCGGAAGCCTCATGTCTACCACGCGGCAAAGCTCCACAAGTGTGATTCCGGTTTTGCCAAGAAGGAGGAAGACAAGGCGCCAGATGATGAGTGACGAGCCAATCTCAGCTACGAGCCGCAGAAGGACTAATGCAGCGGAAACAAAGCCAGTCGCTTCCGCTTGGTATAGCCCAGACTCGCGCTGGAAGAAGTAGGCTGGTGTTGCGATTCTGAAAGCACGCCCATCGACTAGGGTGAACATGATCCCAACAAAGGCTATACACAGACACAGGTGAAGTGGGTACCAGTGCCATGCTTTACAGGAGTTCCAGAAACCTTTGTCGTCTTGACGATTGAAGCAAATTTGCGGCTGGTCTAGTTGATGCGTGGAAATCGTGGCCTGGGGTCTCATGTTGAATCGATGACGCAAGCTGATACCGTAGGATGGAACGATTGATCTTTAAGAGACTGTAGGAGATTGAGGAAGCGCCGAGAAGATGGAATAGAACCTTAGAAGGCTGGCTCTAAGACTGCGTCTTTTGCTTCGCATCCAAACACCCGAGGACCCGCATTGAGTCGATGCACAGTCGGGTCGGTTCCCCTCAGCCTGATGCACCTCTACTGATAACGAACGCCACTTCTCACAACGAAAGAGTTGAGGCGCTCCACAAACGAACGCTATTCCAGATGCGTATATGGAAGGATCACGCAACTGACAGTGCTTAATGATTATTGGTCACACACTGCATTTGCATCGCATCTACGCGTACTCGAAATAGAGGTTTCCAAGTGAAGCTCGAGTCCATGAGCATGTTGACAATCGCACGTCTTACAGGTTCACCGTTTGGAACTATCCTATAGACGTTGCATATGATCGACAAGGCTAGGTTGCGCAAAAAGCAATGGCTTCGGGAGCACCTCGCCAATATAGAACGGCGGAGATATGTGCAACAAGGCCTATGTTCGTGTATAAACGAACACAGCAAAGACCAAGAGATATTGTATCCAAAGGGAAGATCAAGACTTACCTGAGCGCAGACTGTCAGATCCAAGGGGGTCTGATATTGTATGATAGGCAGGCATGAAGAGACTGTCCGTTAGAACCTCCACCCCTCTGAACTCTTATTGCCATGCATAGTGCTCGTTGTTCAACCATAAAGGCGCCTCGTTGTCCGTACCGCCACACTCGCCGTACCAAAGCAGACTGGCGATACTATCGTTCTCCCGCTCCACGACCTCAAATTCCAGGCCACTCTGAGCCAGCATGTCCAGAACCAAGGGCGTCGGATCCCACAATTCGACGACGTCTAATCTCCAACTCTTCGCTTCGGCCCTTGCTGCTTGTAAAACCGCTCTGAGGTATTTCACTTGTTGGTTGTAAGCATCAAAATCAGGCCGTTTTACCGCATCTGAAGAGAGCCTTGTTGCGGTCTCGTCGATCTCTACGACAAGCCGAAGCACGTATAGCACGTTCTCCGATGAACTTTTGTCGGGTTGGTTGTAGTACCGGTGAGTCCAAATGGCCCAGATTTGACTGCCTGGTGGTCCGGCGATAGCACCTTTCACGTCGGGTGTTCTATTAAAAAGGTGTCTGGTGGCGAAATTTTCTTTAGATATGTGCCACAGCATATGGTCCAGGTCTGGAATGATCGTGAAGCGGGATCTTGAGCCTTGTGCGGGTACAGCCATACGAGATCGAACCATCCTTTCATCCCGCTTGCAAAGTGCCTCCAGTTCATTTTCTACGATTGGTAAAGCGAGCGAAGGCCATACGGTAGCATCAGGTTGAAGCTCGATCTGCGAATTTGTCGCGTTCGGTGGCCAACCCAGCTTCGTATAAAACTGCTTGCCGATGTCAGAGTATAGAGTGCTCCCCACACACTGCTGCCCTTCCGCCTGCCATGTGTGTAACACTCTCGCCAGCTCACGCATCATGCGTGCTGAATAACCTTGACCTCGGTATACCTCAGGGCAAAAGACACTGGCTATACCGTGTACTATGTTTTCACTGATCGTACCGCTAGTATCGCTGGTGAGCGAGCGCTTGTAAAAGCTCTCGCAAGAGCACAGAATTTGACGTTCCCCTGGAGCTTGATCTCGGTGGACTAAGATCCACATTGTCATGCCTCCATTGCGGGCCAAAGGCACAGTGGTGAGGAATTGTGACTCTTCCAAGAAAAGCGGGAGTGTGAGCGAATCTTTCCATATGGTGAAGGTATTCGTCGAAATTGCTGTGCACTCCTCAGTGGTAGGATGTCGGAGAACTAGGTAGGAACTATCGGACGGCGGTAGGTCTACTTCGGCGGACTTAACCATGGTGGCGGATTTCCAGTGCGCAGCTTCGATTTGATTCTGATAGTCGTCCTGAATGTCGTTACTGCGGCATGTGCTCTGTTGGAAGCATGCTTGGGTGTCACGAGCTCCGGGTACCTCTATATGCACAATCGGGCGTGACGGCGCGATATCATTGAAATCGGTATGGGCATACAGCCTTTGAAACTATAATAATCCAGTTCTTTAGACATTCTGGCCATTGGATAAGTACTACGTATTTGCGGGGGGAGGGTGTCAAAACGCGTCAATAACGCGCTAGGTGGGGGTGTGATGTCATCTTCATCTGCACAGTGGAAATCGCTTGCCGCGTCCGCCGCACGAGGACAGCCACAAGCAAGATCTTCCCCCTCACCCTTCTCTATCAACACTCACACTATATCTTTGCGTCCTCATCACGCATCATAAATACACGTTACACAGTGATCATCGTTCTGCTTCGTACACTATTACTCAACAGCCTCGCGAACACCACACAAGCATACGACAAATCGGCTAAGCGTGCATGAACGAAATAGTCCTTGCGATCAAGATTCATAGCTGCTAAGCAACAACAGCAGCCTCTCTTGGCTCACCAATACCGTAACATGCCATCTAGCTCACAATGCTGTTCACTCGATGGTCGGCGCCTCATTCAACAACACTGAAACGTTGCCTGCGAACGGATCGCTCACGCGCCTTTCATCGCGATATGCCGATGTACACCCCGTCGAGTCTCGGTCTAGATGTGATTTACATGTATACCTTATACTTTCCTTCTGCGAGCGTACCCAAGTGCCCTTCGAGTGAAGCTCGCCCTTGAACGTTGTTATAACACATAATTTCGTCGACGAAGACCTGAACTAGATGCTGCATCTACAAAAGTATGCGCGATCAATACACTCGAAACGCCCGCCGTCAGGTGCGCATAGAAAGTATTCGCAAAGTCTGCCGCGAACACAGAGCTTGTCAAATACCTCAAGACACCAGCCAACGGATCGGAGTTCTACGACAAGAGCGCTTCGGGTACAGGACAGCGCCGCAAGACTGTCCTCGCTATTCATGACAAGATCTGCGTCGTCTGAAATTTGCAACATTGAGTCCACCAGAAACCATGTCCGCCGCTTTCCACAATTTTGGGTGTCGATGTTAAAAGGCGTGCTTGCTGAGAAGACCAGAGTTAGTGCTCTGTGCCAGCAGGAAGCAGCACGGCATTCGTGATCATGGGTTCTTTCCTCGTCTTCTCTATCCTTAAAGCGAACTTGGATATCCGTGTAAGTGAACTGCTTGCTTTGTTTTGTATCTTTATTGACTTTCTCATCAACTTCCCCAGGTCACCAGTCACATTCACATATCGCTTTGGAAACGACTATCGAGAGAGCATCGCGTAAAGGACAAACCCAGAAACTCCGACTCGGCATCACGTTCAAGCACATCATAATGTGACGAGGGCGTTGCCAACTGTAAGCGATATCACGCTACTCGATTGGTTGCCTTTCCGATTGGCGCCCATCACCATTACTAAAGGTTAATGTTGAGGCGCCTCTAAAAGCGATACTTCCGATGCAACTACACGAATATCCGCAAACAAAAACGACAACTCCACAGACTGCATGTAATTGCGGATATTGTCTTATGTCCGATGCGGTGCAATCGCCCCATGTTGTCAGCCTAGCCGCCCTAGCGGAGATAATTGGTGGAAGAAGGAGTGTCGGGCGTATGAATTTGGGGCGTATTTAAGCAAACATCTACGTCGCAACCATAGGATGATCTAGCACAAACACCTCAACCCAATCTCCAACACAGAAACGAAATGTCTCCCTTGTCCGCCCCTAAGACAATCGCTGGGAAGCCTGTTGGTCCCATCGGCTATGGCCTAATGAGTAAGTTGCATATAGAACACAGCAATGTGCTATCACAATCGCTAAGCACCACCTGTATAGCCCTCACGCTGTTCGGCGACATCACCCACGATGAGGCGACCAAGCCATTGAAAACCGCTTTGGAAAACGGTGCTACCTTCTGGAACGCCGTACGAATCCCATGAGAGATTTGTTCATACAGCGTTTGCTGACATCCTCATAGGGAACCTTCTACGGATCTCCAGACGCAAATTCTCTCCACCTCCTCAAACACTACTTTACCAAGTACCCGGAAGATGCATCGCGCGTTGTGCTCAGCATCAAAGGCGCCTATGATGGAGCTACACAGTCACCAACTGCTAGTCCAGAGCAGATTCGGGCATCCGTTGACGAATGCCTCACCTTGCTCAATGGTCTCAAGTCCATCGATCTCTTTGAGCCCGCGCGCGTCGACCCCAACGTTCCTATAGAGGAGAGTGTCAAAGCGCTTGCTGAGTTAATTAAGGAGGGCAAAATTGGATCCTATGGCCTCAGCGAGGTGAGCGCTCAAACCATCCGTCGAGCTCATGCCGTATACCCTCCCGCCGCTGTCGAGATCGAACTGAGCCTGTTTTCGCAAGGAGCTCTGGAAAAGGGAGGCGTCGTCGACACTTGCCGTGAGCTCAGCATCCCTGTTGTCGGATACAGCCCCCTCGACCGCGGCTGGCTGACTGGGCAGTTCAAGACTCTCGATGATATCCCCAAAGACGACTTCCGCCGTTTTTACCCGCGCTTCCAGCCTGGAAACTTCGAGAAGAACGTAGAGCTAGCTGAGGCTGTTGGGAATGTTGCCAAGAAGAAGGGGACTACCAGCGCACAAGTCGCTATTGCTTGGGTACAGCAGCAGGGTGTTCTGCCCATCCCCGGTTCCACCAAGGTGGAGCGTGTCATGGAGAACACCAAGTACGTCGAGCTTACGCAAGCGGAGACTCAGGAACTTGACAAAGCTCTTAGCAAGGCCATTGTCTCAGGCCATCGATACCCTGAGATATTCCGTGCTCATCTGGACAGATAGGAGAGAACCGTGAGCAGGTCGATATGGATCTGATGTTACAAATGATTATATGTATACTCAACAACTCCTTTCAATCACATACGACCATAGGACACTGAAAATTAGGCTTCCCGTCCGCTCAGCCATATACAAGCAGTGTACCGGCGGATTAGTAGTTAGGTGGGTGACCACTAGCGAATCCCCGCTGTTGTATGTTTTTTGTTAGTTCACCCTATCGTTTTGCGCTCGGTGAACTCGTTTTATTATAGCTTTCACGTTATGTCAATGTAGACATATCAAAGAGATGTAGAACAGATGACTTGGAATTGAGCACAAATGGAGAGATTTTCTTGCACCCGACAAACAATTCGCGGCTATGAAATAACTCATACAGGACTTAGTCGATCGCATCTGCAGTTGCGTATTTCCTGATACCCTTGGGAATACTCTTTTGCTCTCACATACATTTTTGGAAACCCCTGCTAGCGCCTTGGTACCCCTTGTACCTGCTCAACAGCGTTTCCACAACGATGGCACACTCCTTTCCTACCTCATTCACGCCATGGACAAACTGCCACAGGAGCTGATCAATCGTATAGTGTGGTTCGCAGAGCGCTACCCAGACCAAGAAAAGTGGCATTCGGCGATAGGACAATCTTTCAAGCCCGATGGTGCGCCATCTCAGTTTCCTCGCCTTGCCATTCTCAATCGCACTTGGAAGGAAGCAGTTGAGACCATTACGTTTCACCATTTAGGTGTCAAGAGCGATGAGCTGGGATCGCTTCAGTCGATTGTAACAGGAAATCGTCGCAAGTACCTCTCCTGGATCAGTTTCAAAGCGGAACTGCCAACATATTCGGGAGAAGCATACGAACACAAGGAGTCACGGCTTGATCAGCATGCCAACAACGAGGCATTTACGAAAGCTGTTAGCGATCTTTTCACCGTGTTGCGAACCTGGGAAGATAATGGTGTGAAGAACGGAGTGCGGCTTAACATTGTGGGAGCTTCGTCGCCAACAGACTTTCGGGAAGTGGATGAGCTCCAGATTGAGCTTGGTGAATGCAGAGATATTCAATCCGCTCGTTGGGCAGACTCGCACCTGCGCCTTGTGCAACCCGAGAATCTGCCTACATTATCTAATGTGCAGCATCTCACTATCGAGAATTCGGGCGGGCGAAGACTTGCACCAAGCGTTGCACCAAATTTAGGTGTGGCACTGCCAGAGCTCAGGACAGTGGACTGGGAGTTTCCAGACTGCGAGGCTGATTCTGACGCGGGGTCGGATCAGGATTCATTGGATTCAGACTTTGATCCGGAGTGGGAGTCGGCGACATCTCCCAAGGCGCGCGCCTCAGCGCGCGCTGAATTTGCCAACAAGCTCTCGATGACGCATTTCCGCTCGCTCAATTCTGCCAATATTGTCTTATACCACTGCACTCCTTCAGACCAGAGGTACACAGTTCCGAGCATTGTGCCAGAAGGCTACACATACGACCCGTTCAGTTCATCAATCCGAACCTTTTCACAATGTCTTACAACTCTCACTTTGAGTGCGCACGTCGACCCTACGCTATTTTGGCCATCAGATGGAAACGCGATTCCACCGTCTTGGCCACACTTGAAGTCGCTTGACATCACATTTGACATGGTCGCTCCATCTGGTAAATGGTACTTCACTGGTCCAACACCGGCCTACGATTCCGACGACGACCCCGAGCACGGAGTTATTGGAAGTGTCGATACACGCGAATTCAGCTGGGCAGACTTTCGGCAGCACCCCGATCCAGAGACCTTCGATCCTTTTCTCGGCGCGCTCGCAAAAGCCGTTACTCAGATGCCAGTTCTCGAGTCCTTCATGCTTACGTCTGATATGGTGGGTAAGGCAGGGAAACTGCACATTTCATATCACGCGCCAGGCCAGAGAGCGGAGTGGGGTGATGAAAGGCCGGAGGACAAGGATCACAGAAGGATTTACTACGCGTGTGAGACTGGGGTATGGGTACCAGAGCCACAGATCTCCGAAGGGTTGAAACGCGCAGGAGTTCAAAAGTACGGTGGGGAAGCGATCGAGCGATATGTGGGAAGTCAGTACTATTGAAAGTGAGCAGGTTGGATACGTGCGTAAGAAAATACGTCTAAACGCGACTAATATCGCTGTAATAGACCGCATCAACAGTCATCTGTCGCAGTGGTTGTTGAATCGCGAATACTTTGAGCGTCATGCGCAAGAAGAGGTTGATAAGGCGGCGCATATTTCTTTGACTCTCATTTCGAAACGGTGCTCTTCCCCTACGAGCCGATGTCCTGCGTCTTTGACTATTATCCGTGTCCTTTTGCTATCTTTCGTTCTCAGTGTCTTTCACAACCTCTACTCCGCCTCGCTCACCCAGCAATCGCTAAGGGTTTTCTTCTTTGCCTCGCAGAACGAGACGTGTTGTATGTTGAACTCATTTGACGACTGGTGAACCTAATTTCGGAGACTTGATGATGCTGCCGCTGTGTAGTAAGATAGATAATGTGTGCGTGCACGATCGTCTCGTGCATTCCTCGTGTTAGCGTCCAGTGTGACAAACACCGCTGCGCTCTTGCCTTTACGCGCAACGATACCGCTCTCCGAAAATTTGGTTCCGACGCCATAACGCTCGCTAAATCTCACCTTCACTTTCGTTATGCCCTGATACTGTTCCTGCACGATTCCCCTACCTATCTTTCCATGCATACCTCATCATATATACTGTTACCTTACGGTCTGAACAGCCAATATCAGAGTTATCTTACGGGTGACGACGAATCGCGAACACAATGCGGACCGCCGCGATTCCACACTGCATCGTTACTGGAGCTGTCGAAGCTCAATCATCTTGTTACGCAAAGAAAGCTTAAGTCTGCTTGCCAGCAACAAAACAGCATGCGCTTCCAGCGCAACACTAAGAAGATCAACATGGGTCTAGCGACAGGAAAAGAGAAGCGTGGTCGAGCAAAGCGAAAACCTCAAATATCTGTTCGTAAGATATCCCAAGCCGGCTCCAAAAGCGAGCCCAGCATCCGAGTTGGCGCCTCACAAGACTTACCAATCACGCTCGATAGCGATGATGATGCGCCAGCAAGAACTCCTTTGCGGTAAGTTCAATAGATAGTACACACAATGCACCTCAGATCAACGCTAACGTTAGTAGTTTGGCCCGTCATCATCCTGCCATTTCGCTCGTCGATCCGACTTTAGGAGGCTTTCATCATGATTTTCAAAGATCCCAAAGGAACCAAGATACGTTGAATGGAAGCGTCAACGCGCCACTCCAGAACACCCATGCGCCCACAAACTGCGTTCCGAGCCGCTCCTCACCCGCGTCTACCAGCAGCACGAAGCATCAGGAAAGAATTATTTTGCAAGGCACGACAAAGACACAAAGTCCTGTTAGCACCTTCGCGTACCGAGGCGCGTCTTCGGATGCTATCCAAAGCCCTCTTAGTCGTGGAGAAGCAGCAGCAACTCACAAGCCTGTCATATGTCGCAAACGACATCGGTTTCACAGTGCTACTACAGCAAATGACGGAAACATGAGAACACAAGGGCCGCGCACTGATTCTCGGTTTGTGACGACTTCGGAAGCATCGTAACCTCTCTAACAATGAATGGTAGATGTTCGAACGCTAGTTCAAGAGTCCAATCGACCATGATGGCTGATGCCAGGACCTCGCGACTCCCCACTCATAAAAGGTCCGACACGTCTACTCCCTGGGGGACCCAGTCGAGAGCCAAGCCTCTTATGGAATGCAAGCATGGGGATAAGAACATGAGTCTCCTGGATATTGATGACTTCATTATGAGGAGCAAAGTCGCTCAACTGATGGTTGTAGCACCGGCGCTTGCTGTCATAGATCTCTATCACCTCATTATCGATAGTGAAGGCGACTTACCTCGAGCCAGGAAACAAGCTATTAGGATGAGCGAGGCACCAACAATACGGTATCGACATGGGTTGGATGAGGAAGGTGATGGAATCATGGTCAAGATAGATCCGAATGATCCAGCATTCGAATGGGATGACGACGAGCCATACTCCGAATTCGACACTGCTACAGCAGCTCGCCTATCCAAACCAACTCTGAAAGCTACAAGGTCCAGAATTGTAAAGGGCTCTACTCGAGCAACTGAAAGTACAAAGTCAAACACGAAGAATCGCTCCAACGTAGGCGCCAAACGAGCAAGATCAACATTCACGAATCCTACGCATGCAAGAGAAACCAGCAGTGACCGCGACTTTATCGTTCTGGACAACGTCATTCACTACGATCTCGACTCCGATGTCTAATGACTCCCGCCACTCTACCAACACTCATGCCCACGACAGGTGCGAGGATAGCGACATTGAGAAACTTGATGTTGACGATCAACTGGATATAGACGTAGATATGCAGCCGCATTTTGCACATCAGAAGAGCTATAAATGTATAAATGGTTACATGGCTGATTCGTATGATATACAGATAGAGCAGGTTTGACCTGAAGGTACAGAGTGCATATGAAGAGCTAGGTTTCAGTCATTATGTTGCGACGTCGTCTTTCTTGCACTTGCTCTTTTAGAACCTTCTTATCCTTTCTGTTTCCTGTCAAATGTTTGCCGAAATTCGGTAGTCTTGGAGGTAAGACAACAAAGATAAATCAAAGTCCACGCGCAAACGATTCTTGCGACTAGCAATTTTTCTTACCTTGGAGTAGCAAGCTCTTATTCACCTCGCTTTTCCCGTGAGACAGGTGGTATTCGTCATCGCTCACTTTAAGTTATGATTTTGTTACTTATAAGTCTTACTTTACTAGGTTGATCATTGTTCTTACTCCAACCTCTCGCCATGGCAATTCAATGTCCCAATTTCTCATCTACTAAACCAAGGCGCCTCCCTAGGAGAAGAACTAGGCCATCGAAGGCCGCATTCCGCGCTGCAGTAGCTCATCTGGATTTTATCAATCGTAGAGCTGGCAAATTTCTCGTTCCTGCGATCGTGGAGCTCCAGGATGACGAAAACATAAGCCCCGAGGACGAGTACAGAATGGTGAACGATGCGGCTCAGTAAGCCCGGTACACTTCAAGTCGTCATCATAGTCACTGATTACAGCACTAGGAGAGCACTGAGGATGAACAGCGATCCAACTACTAGAGACCGGATTGAACGTAGAAAAATGGGGAAGAGCAAAGTCATATCAGAAATCACTGCACGACAACGGCGTGTTGTCGCAGACTCAGATGATGAGGAAGATGATAGTAAGTTTCCATATACCACATCTTACATTCGACATTCTTTTCGTACTCATATCAGCACTATCAGCTCACTCCTCACCACCCAGTGAGAATACTGGCAAAGGAAAGCGATCCGTGATCCTGCCTCCTGGTAACACAAAGCGACAAAAGGATGGCTTCCCGTCTAGCGCCGACAGCAATAACGGCCAGAATGTCAGGAAGTCAAAGAGGCCACGACATGACTTGAACGCGGAGCTCGAAGATCTTGGCATCGACATGGAAGGATGGACTGCATCTGAAGATGCGTCTAGGACACTACGGCGGCGAAAATAGACATGTATGGCTCGAAGCGGTACGTCGTTCAGTAATAGTAGAAGATGATTGAAAGTCATATCGCTTGCCATCTAGGGAAGAAAAGGCCAAACAAGAGCCGCAAAGATCTAGTCATCTAATCATTATCACATTTGATCAATATCTAGAAAAAAAAAATAGCCTCATTGCTATACAACCATGGAACTCTCTGCTTAATCTAGCCCCTTCCTTTCCCAACAACTTTTCACAACACGCCTCCCTCTTTACTCAATAACGAAGCACCTTCACCACAACGAGAGCGATACCGAGCAGCAAGACAATCCCACCAATAATGATACCGATAGTAGCACCAGTCGATATACCGCCACCATCAGATCCGGGGGCTTCTGCTTTCATAACCAAATCAAGTGTTGAGGTAGGTTGAGCAGGGGTATCTGCCGCGGAGATTCGGTGCAAAATGTCCTCAATAGTGTGTGAGGACACTAATGTCGAGAAGGATGTTGCGACGGAGTCTACTGACGATGTGACCTTCGGCGTAAGCAAAGAGAAGGGAGACATAGAAGGCGCGCAGTTGCAGTTGTGGGTTGGCGTGGGCGCGACGGCGCTGGGAATGTAGGGGTAGAATGGTGGCATGTTGTTGTGATGACGTTCTGTTGGATACAAAGGTGGTTGAAAGTCCAGCTTTGAGAGTATCTTATGATGCGTTGAGAGAGAATGATGAAATGTGGTGAAGAGACTCCAAAGGCCTATTGTAGACCAGGTGGGAATGTGATGCGAAGACTTGCGAGACATGTTGCATTCACAATATTCGCTTTGAAGACTCTGGAATCATTTTGTAAGTAAACAACGTAAGGTCCTTAAAGTCAGTGTGCACTACTCACTGCTGGTTTGCGCAATTTGAAGCCGGCATAGGACACCATTTTTCGCCTCATCCACATTTCTCTTGCCATGGAATTGCATCTTTATAGAGTTGACTCATCTTTACTCTCTATCTTCTCACGGCTCTTTCTGGTGCGCGAATATATGCGCTATCTGCGCTGGCCCCAATGAACTGTTGCATCTGCGTCTCTACCTCTTTCTTCGCCATGCGCTCCTGCTCTTGTTGCGCCTGTAGTTGCTTCTTGTTTTGATATCGCTTCACGGTTTGCAGGTAAAATACCCATACTATAAATGCGAGGAAAGACGGCGCAAAAATGCACATTGGAATAAACCATGGTAAGGGAATAGGACCGATTTTGTGGTCCTCGGCGTTGATGGATTCCGCGCGGTGGTGGAATTTAAGCGCTGGCATATTGTATTATCTATGTAAAGAACGTGGTAGGAATATTATGCGGTTGCGAGAATATATGTAGAAACGACTGTGGGTGAATTGTTGAATGAATGTGGACGAGTGAAATGTCGAAGGGTGGTTCACGATAGTTAAGCCGTGATAAGAACAATGAAACCCAGAAAAAGTAATATAAAGAAAGGAACATTGATGGGAAGAACTAATCACTGTGTTTGAAGTAACGAGTATTAGGATTAAAAGCAAGATTGCAGGATATATGTGCGAAACCCAAAACCCCGAGGTCCACCCGCTGAAAACGCGTCTCTGACAACTGCTTGTGTTTCATCTTCAGCGACCACACCACATTTTCGGGTGCACCCTCACAACCACCCAAAAGGACCACGACGCATTGTAGGCGAGTTAAGAGGTGAGACATTGTTGTAATCTCGCGTACGGTTGTGATCAATCTGTCCATCGTCCGAACTCAACGGGGAGACTGGCTGATCAATTATATCTAGAGGGCGCAGGTCGGATGAGGGCACCGGCAGCTGGGTTACAGGACGGGGTTTAGGTACCAGCTTGCGTGTTGGGATGGAGCTGGGAAGCTGCGGAGATACATACGCGCCACCGTTACCGCCTCCGGAAATGGGAATCCACTGAAAGTTGTCAGCGCTAATGGCTCGATCTACACAGTCTCGGGTAACATGCACACCTTTTTCAGAGAAACCGTCTTGCCAATTCTGAGCGCGAGCAAGATCGACGGGATCCATGCCATAGCCTTCGGAGATTGGAATGTCATCAGGACGAGTGACTGAAGGTGAACCATCCCGGTAGCGACGACGACCGCGAGTGTACGGATAATTTCCCTTTTCCAAATCGTGGGGCCCGGAACTTCTGCGCAAACAGTACTTGACTGACAAGAACAACGCAAGAACGATACCCAGAACGATTACCACAGCACCGAGAATCGGACCTGGGTTACTCGCGATTCTGGGAACGGCCCGCTTTGTCAAAACTGACGATAACGCCGTAGGCATGTCTTTTCCTACAGAGGTAAGATGGGGCATTTCAAATGGTGTTCCACGGTCGAAAGCAAGCCCGGCAACTTCAGGTAATGCAATTGGTGGTGTGCTGTAGTCAACGAATGATGGCACAGCATCAATCGGCGGTGCCACATTAGGGTTCAGAGGGTTGTCGAGGTGTGCGGTTGGGAGACAATGGGTACTAGGGTGCGAATCAACAGTGGATGTAGGGGTATCAGAGAAAAAGAATGCTCCGCCATCTGATGCCGTTGAAGTCCAGGTAAAGACGTCAGATGAGTAGAAGATACCGGAATCTGGTGCAGTCGAGGTAACTACCATAGGACCAGTAGCAGATGCCAAGATGTCTGTAGAAAAGAATGTGCCTCCATCTGATGCAGTGGAAGTCAATACAGAAACGGAGGATGAGTAAAAGGTACTGGAATCTAGTGCGGTTGAGGTGGGTGCTGCGGGGCCGGAAACGCCAGGAGAGAAGAATGTGCCTCCGTCTGATGCTGTTGATGTTGCTGTAGGTGTTGTAGAGGGCGAGCCTAGAGCCGATGAGGCAGAGGCAGTCGGAGCGGTGCTTGGACTGGCACCGGGCCAGATAAAGTCAGCCATCCTCCTTGGTACAGGACTATGTTGACAAGGATATCTTCGACGGGTTCCAGTTCTTGGTTGTTAGTCCATCCAGTGTCGTGGATCTAATAGTTATCAAGTCGTTGTCAATATTGTTGTTGAGTTGCTTCGTCTGGTTCGGTATCAGCTGGTAGCAGGGCCTGAGAAAAGAAACGGACAGAAGTTCATCATAAGCCGTAAGTCAGAAAACGCTGTATGCGAAGACTGGGTATTGTACAGCGACAGTGACTGACCGCAAGGCAAGTATGTTCACAACGTCGGGTTCAACGACCCTAAGCTGCTCAAACCTTTTTTCAAAACTTCTCTCTTTGCCTGTTACTCATATCGGCGTACCACGCGAAGACGACCAGAACACTCACGGCGATGGCAACCAGAGCTGCAAGTAATAACAACACCCACCCGATTACTCTACAAAACACCACCTCTGTCTTCCCCACACCACCTCACCCTCCGGACACTTCTAGTACTGAATTTCGCATATTTCTTGGCTTTTTAGTCTTTGGCGCCATAGCCGGTGCCGCTCTTCTCCTTTACCCAATTGTTGTATTTGCGCTGGATCGGCGTGGTAGGAAGCATGCTTCAGCGACTTTGACTAATTCACAGTCCGGTTTGACGATGAGCGAGGAGGAAATGCAGGAGAGGGTTCGGAGACCGCAGCCTGCTGTGCTACATTGAGAGGAGGACGGAATGGGCGGACGTGTGGTTCTATTGTATGCTGCTCTTGGTGAGGGATCTGCATGTGATTCCTGCGAGTAAGAAATTTTGTCTCAATCCAAGATGATACTATGGCATTGTTTTGTTGTTTCCAACATGCGAATTAGAATCTTGAATCGTGCAAGTGAAGCCCGTCCAGACATGCCGAGATGACACGGCCAACCTAGTAACAAACTTGGCATGTGACAAAGGGTTTAGTCAAGTCGTCCCGTTGCGCCGAGTGGTGTTGGATGCGAGATGCAGCGTCACGATGCTTTGTTTCGAGCGGGTGCTGTCGTTGCTATTCTGCAAGGACATGGCGAGCAGATAAGAGGCGAGGTATTAACCGAGGGCGCAAGAGTGAATGCAGGGCGTTGGGCGGACGGGATGCCATGACGGAGGCGGAAGGTACCGGTTTGACGCACGAAGACATCCCGCGGCCGGTGGAGCTTTCTTTTTCTGTATCCGAGCTTTGCGCAACCCTCCCGCCGCCGACCAACCCACCTTGACGACTTCCACAGCAAAAGTGTAGCTTCAATTGGATTGTAGCCACACTGCGATACCCTCAATATGTTGGCTGCTCGTTCCTTCGCCGCCCCAGCGCGCCAATGCCTGCGCCAGGCCAACCGCTCCCGATGGGCGCCCGCGCTCTCCCAGGTGAGCTTCCAGCGAGCGGGACAGACGAGTCTTGCGCCTCGACACGTCGAGGCGTGCAGGTTCCAGGCGACGACATGTTGAATAGTATTGACCGCGGCATAGGTCTCCGCCCGAACATACGCCTCCGAGGTGGCCAAGTTCCACGGAACCAAGGGCAGCGACGGCAAATACTCTGTCACTCTCATCGAGGGTGATGGCATCGGTCCCGAGATTGCGCAGTCGGTCAAGGACATCTACTCGGCCGCCAACGTCCCAATCAAGTGGGAGTCGGTCGACGTCACCCCGCGCCTGAACGAGGACGGCAAGACGGTCATCCCCGACGAGTCCATCGCCAGCGTCAAGAAGAACTTGGTCGCCCTCAAGGGCCCGCTTGCGACGCCCATTGGCAAGGGCCACGTCTCCCTCAACCTTACCCTCCGCCGCACCTTCAACCTCTTCGCCAACGTCCGTCCCTGCAGATCCATCGCCGGCTACAAGACTCCCTACGACAACGTCGACACCGTCCTGATCCGTGAGAACACCGAGGGAGAGTACTCTGGCATTGAGCACATTGTCGTCGATGGCGTCGTACAGAGCATCAAGCTCATCACCCGCGAGGCCTCTGAGCGCGTTCTGCGATACGCCTTCCAGCACGCCCGCGACATTGGCAGGAAGAAGGTCCGCGCTGTCCACAAGGCCACCATCATGAAGATGTCCGACGGTCTCTTCCTCAGCACTGCCCGCGAGATCTCCAAGGAGTTCCCCGACATTGAGTTCGACGCCGAGCTGCTGGACAACACTTGCTTGAAGATGGTTACCGACCCTGTCCCCTACAACGACAAGGTCCTCGTCATGCCCAACTTGTATGGAGACATTCTCTCCGACATGTGCGCTGGTCTCATCGGTGGTCTCGGTCTTACTCCCTCTGGTAACATCGGTGACAACTGCTCCATCTTCGAGGCTGTCCACGGTTCCGCGCCCGACATTGCTGGCAAGCAGCTCGCTAACCCCACCGCGCTTCTTCTCAGCTCCATCATGATGCTGCGACACATGGGTCTCACCCAGGAGGCCAGCAACATCGAGCAGGCCATCTTCAAGGTTCTCGCCGAGGGCAAGGTAAGTTGCATCCACCACGTTGAAACGAGCATGTATGCTAATCCTTCTATAGACCATCACCGGTGACCTGGGTGGCAAGGCCAAGACCTTCGAGTACGCCGACGCTGTCATCAAGGCCCTGAAGTAGATTAAATTATGGATTTGACGAGCATTGAAACGACCGAATGGTAGCGATTGCATGCTGTGGATATGTACTAGTCCTTGTACTATAGCTACCATTTAGCTAGATATACGCCGATACCTCTTGAACTTTCCACGTTATCATCAACTTGTCAGCTTGTGCCAATCTGCATGTGCTTCAAAACAGCGCCTTTGAGCTAGCAATATCATAGCCATGCAACATCTAGATGTGCAAAATGTGGGTGATAAATTTATAGCTCTCCAAAGAAACATTGCGAGCACATTGCATGTGCGTCCACAGACGCAACGCGAGCAAGTATTGCCGAGCAACTTCGCTTCGCCTTCGACGACCCCGTCGCAACGCCAATCTTTCCAATGCCACCCAAACCTCCCATCCGCTTCCCTACGATACCTCCTGCTGCGCCAAAACAGTATGTGAGGCCTTCCCTACCAATCAGACTGGCAAATCGAGGTCCGCAAGTCCCGCTGCGATCCCTATCCGCCTCGGCATCACCTTCGAGCCCCGTCCGTCGTCCTCCTCCACCACCACTTCAATGGCATGAAACCAGCCACGCCCGCACAGGCCGACGCTACATAAAATGGGGCATAAACGGTTTCGCGGCGATCTCCGCCATGCTCTTCATCCGCGACAATTGGTTCGAAATACAGCACGTCCGCGGTTCCTCCATGGCACCTACACTCAGCCCGGATGCGCACGAGACTGGTCGCGAAGACTACGTCATTGTGATACCGTACCATGCTACGATTGATTATAGTACAGTTCGTAAAGCAGAAGAAAAGGAGGTTTGGAGCGTAAAACGTGGTGACGTCGTAACGTTTTGGAAACCGCATAAACCAGGCGAGATGGGTATCAAACGTATTGTCGCTATGGAAGGAGATACGGTTTATCCTGCAAGGGGATATGCGCTTGATCCGCAAATCTATGAGGCGAGGTTGAAGGGTTTACCGGATGGGCTGGTAGATCATGATGAGGACAGTATAGCGGCGAGGGATGGTCCAGAAGTGGGCAAGGTGGTTGTGCCATATGGACATGTGTGGCTTGAAGGGGATAATTGGAGGAAGAGCTTGGATAGCAACGACTTTGGGCCTGTTAGCAAGGGCTTGATTCAAGGTAAGGCTATAAGGGTTTGGAGGGACTGGTGGAGATTGAGAGAGGTGGGCGATGAGAGGAATAAGAGGGAGAAGCGGATGAGAAGTAGGGTCGTGGAGGGACGGAGTGAGGCTCCTGAACTGTTCTTGGAGTGAGAGTAAGATAATCTTTGCATATGAAAGTTGGCATACAAGTGGTATAATTTGTGTTGGTGATGGGTATGTACATATATCTCATATTGCGCAGTCGTTCATGCTGACGCCACTCAGCCACTCTTGAAGAGTGTCTCAATCTCCGCACACACCGCATCTGTGACGCCCTTGGTATTCTCACTGCCACCAAGATCCTTCGTCTTAACCCCTCTTGCGGTGACATTCTCAATCGCCTTCATAAGCCCATCCGCTGCCTTTTCCTCGCCAACCCATCGCACCATCTCAGCAGCACTCCAGAATGCGCCTACTGGGTTCGCAATACCCTTGCCTGCAATATCCGGCGCAGAGCCGTGGATAGGTTCAAACATGCTCGGATTCTTTCTTGTAGGGTCGAGGTTAGACGATGGCGCGATACCAATCGACCCACTCAGCGCAGCAGCAAGATCAGACAAGATATCTGCATGTAAGTTGGTAGCAACGATAGTGTCCAGTGTAGAAGGATGTAGCGTCATGCGCACAGTCATAGCATCCACGAGCATCTTGTCAATTTCAACATCTTCGTACTCTTTTGCAACCTCGTAGAAGACTTTATCCCAGAGAACCATGCCGTGTCTTTGGGCATTGCTCTTGGTCACCATGGTCAGCTTCTTGCGTGGTCGCGACCGTGCTGTCTCAAACGCATATCGCATGACTCGCTCGATGCCGACGCGCGTAAAGATGCTCACTTCGGTGGCAATGGTATGGGGACTTTCCTCATGGGAGGTGCCGCCTTGGCCGGAGTACTCGCCCTCACTGTTCTCGCGGATAATCATCCAATCAAGGTCCCCGGGTTTACAATTGGATAGAGGAGACGTGGTTCCGGGGAGGATGCGTGTAGGCCGTACATTGACATATTGATTTAGAGACTTTCGAATCGGCAAGATGAGTGACCAAAGGGAGATGTGGTCGGGAACATTGGGCCAGCCTACTGCGCCAAAGTATATGGCATCATAGGCTTTCAACTGCTCTAAGCCGTCAGGTGGCATATACCATCCTCGCTCGAGATAGTTTTTGCTGCTCCAGTCAAAGGTATTGAAGTCGAATTCAAAGCCGCCAATGGTCTTGGCGAGAACGTTGAGGACCTGGATGGCGGCTTCTGTTATGTCGACTCCGATTCCGTCACCTGGAATGCAGGCTATGCGGTGTATGTTTGTTACTGAATGGATATGTGACGGCATCTTAGTGGTTGTCGTTGCTCGTAGGTTTCGGGAATAGTCAGGGTAAGGATCAGAAGGTCCGATTAACGTTATCGTGGGTCCGATTGATGGTTCTTTACGAGCAAGACGACTGTAGCAAGCTCGATGGTTTTATACTACAAGCAAGTCATGACCATCGGACATTCTTTCTCCGCGCAGGACATAGTACGTCCGGATACAATTCTACGTCCCGAAGTGGCTCCCAAGACATTCTCCAGGTGCGTGAGCTGAGTTAGGCGCTTGCATGTTCCCCTCGTCGAGACCCTGTGCGTCGCGCCTTCCCCGCGCTAGCTTACTGCAGCCGCATGCCCCACCAAAGCCACGCGTGTTGAACGGAGCAGAGCTCACCGCTTGGGCCGAGACCACCTTTCTCTGATACAAACATCTTCCGCCTCTCCCATACATACAGGCCTCAATTGCTTTTTCCACGCCACTACACATCTCACATACTTCAAAATGGCAGCTGCATACCCCCCTGGCGGAACCTTCTTCCAAACCCTCAAGAAGAGCTTCGCAGACGTCCCTGTCGACGAGGCCAAGGACAGTGCCATCTCGACGACCGAGTTCCTAGAGGCTGCTGAGAGCACCACCACTCTTTTCGATGTCCTGGGCTCCGTGGCCTTCAAGCCCGTCAAGGGTGACATGAGCGGCAACATCAAGGTGCGTAGAGGCTGGGAGCTTGAAGTGATGCCATAAGAAGCGTGGTGCTAACACGGTGCAGAAAATCCGCGACAGGCAGCTTGCTGCACCAGCCCAGTCAGAGACGCTCCAGGAGCTTTGCTTGAACGAGCTCAAGGAGAAGAAGCACACTGCCACCGAGGGTCTCCTGTGGCTGACCCGGTAAGTCATCCTCTCCACTCGACAGCATCATGCCACTAACATGCATGTCACAGTGGCCTCGACTTCACTGCTCAGGGTCTCCGTCACAACATCTCCAACCCCTCCAAGGAGCTCGCCGACTCCTTCCGCGACGCCTACGGCAACACACTCAAGCCCCACCACTCCTTCATGGTCAAGCCCGTCTTCAGCGCTGCCATGAGCGCTACACCTTACCGCAAGGACTTCTACAGCAAGCTTGGCGATGATGACAGCAAGGTCCAGGCTGAGCTGGAACAGTGGCTCGCAGCGTTGGAGAAGCTCCTCGCTATCCTGAACGCGTTTTTGGCAAGGAAGGAGGCCAAGTGGTAGAGGAAAGCAAGGCAGCTATTAGCATACCCTACTACATGAATGATGAGCATGAGCAGCTACAATATGCTGTATGATACAATCTCTGCTTCCATCAGCCGTGATGCGTCCCTACTTCTTCCTTTCAAACACAAAAAGTGCCTCGTCTTTGCCCGCAAAACTCGGCAACGGCATCCTCAATGTCAGCTCAAATGCCTTGAGATTCTTCTCTACCCACTCATCCACAATCACATCCTGAAACCCAGTAAATCCATTCCCATTCTGCGTTCCCGCAACTACTATCCTGTCACCCTGGAAAGCTTTGAGTAATGGACCTGTGAAACCACCTGTAGCCTGGGGATAGACGAGTAACAGAACACAACCTTGGCCACCATCGTGTTTCTTCAGATACTCCTTGCCATCTGTGATGATAGTGTCTTTGATCCAGGAGACGCGGTACTCGCTGATCTGGTTATCGATGGCACGTACATCGAGTGGCTTGGAGGTACCGATGTGAGCGATCGGGAAGTTGCGTAACATGTAAGTCCAATACCCGTTTCCACTGCCAATGTCCAAGATCGGGAGCACATCTTCTTTGGCCGGTTTCGCTGGCTGAGCCAGTTTGGCTAGGACATGCAGGGCGGCATATGAGGGCACTACGCAGCCAAAGTGATGGTAGAAAATTGGCAGAATGTGATGAGATATACGGGTGTATGTAGTCGATGGTAAAGGACCAGCCCACTCCAGTTCCTCACACGAGTACTTCCAGAGATCCAGATAAGGGTTCTTGTGTTGTCGAGCTGGTTTCTTGGGATCTCTTTTTGAAGGAATCAGATTGGTGGACTTGTTGAAGAGCCGGTCGTTTAGGTGACTTCCTATGCTTTTGCGGAGGGTGTCGGCTTTTGCCGATTTGGCGAAGTTGTTGAGCGCTGTGGGGAGGTTGTTTTGGGGAGAGAAGAGGGATGTGTAAGCTTGGATTTCTTCTAGGGAGGGATGAGGTGGTTCGATAGGTTTTCCACCATTGCCATGATACCATCCATGCAATCCATGGCTTCTTTTCGCTTCGATAGCTCTCTGTGTGGCATGCAGTGTGGTCTCTGCTTGTGCCCGATAGACGTATTTGTCTGTAGGCGGGATGCCGAATGACTCCCCTATACATTGCGCGAGAACCTTCCCACTGCAAGATGGAGAGTACTTTTCTTCGGACCAATCTTCAAAGAACGCATCTGGGTCAAAGTTCTGCAAAGCCATGATGGTAGATGCCCGTCCGGAATCGACGTTCGCACTTGCCCGGCACGAAAACGGGTAAGATTAGTATCCTGCTACACTAGTTCTTTCTCGTACCTGCACGTCAACTCTAAAAGGCAGTAAATAAGCAATACCCAAATCGCAATGACTTGCAGCAAGTGCTCTCTGGTCGGACATGTTCCGCGGCGCCTGTTCGGCAAGCGTCCAATGAGATCCAGCTGATGAAGAATTGGGGCGATTTCGTCATCCATCAATAATCAGCTTAGCGTCTTCCCCCTTCCCCACATCTCTTCTATTAGCAGCATTACAGCGCCTTAGTCACTCATTGCAAATGCTATGCGCGAAGCAAATGGAGCTTCGACATGATGCGCATGATGCGCATGATGCGCGAACTAATCGCCCATTTACTGACAGCTATAAAGAGCCCCAGACACGTTCGATGCCAGAAAATCCCCTTTCGTGATGTCAGACACAACAACTCAACATCGCTCTACCACAGCAGATACATCTTACTCAACTACTACAAAGGCACTTACAGTCATCGTAGCACTTTTTGCAATCACCCTGGCGTTCTCAAGCACCTTCCGTAGTATCTTTTTTCCTATTTCTACCAAACCTACCGTACGCGCCATGTCGACCGCGACTTCAATGAACGTCACCAAGCGCCCTTGGTCACAACGCGGACATGCCGATCACGATTGGCTATACACATACCACACGTTCTCGTTCGCGTCGTACTACGATCCCAGACATGAGAGCTTTGGTCCGCTCAGGGTTATCAACGAGGACAGGGTGAAGGCAGGCACTGGTTTCGGTATGTAAACGGCGTCTCTATCACTAAATTATACCCATGATCATTACTGACAAATGTTTCAGGAACTCACAGTCACGCCGAATTCCTCATCTTCAGTTACATCGTCAACGGCGTCCTCGAACACAAAGACAGCATGGGCAATCTCGAGAACCTGAAGCGTGGCGAAGTCCAGTTCACCTCCGCCGGCACAGGCATCCGCCATTCCGAATACAACCGTAACCGCGACTCTGAAGTCCACTTCCTCCAAATTTGGGCTAAGCCAAACAAGAGAGGCTTAAAGCCACACTACGAGACGAAGAAGTTCACCGATGAGGAGAAGACTGACAAGCTGGTCCGGATAATGGAATACACAGATCGCCTAGACCAGAACAAGGGCGCCATCGGGCTACAAGCTGACCTCAGCATGGACGCGTCGATTCTTTCTCCGGGCAAGAAGGTCGTACACGAAGTCGTTGCTGAGGGGCCGAGGAAGCTTTACGCACATCTTGTTATGGGCGGGCGGTCGCAGCCCAAGCAGGGCGGAGCACAGATCAAGATTGGAGAGACAGTATTGGGAGAAGGCGATGGCGCGTACATCGATGGAGTCAAAGGACCAAACAAGATCGAGATTGAGAGTGTGGGCGACAAGCCCGCTGAGTTCATTTTCTTCGATATGGGACCTGAGGATGCGTAGACGGGCATCTGTTTTAATTCTTACAGCTGACTTGTTCATCGTGTAGTAATTGTAAATACAATACCATTTCTAGCGCAGTATTTCATGCTGTCCATCCGAAATATTCTTCATCCGTCATCTCTCTGGCTGGAGGATACCCAAATATCTTGATCTTCAGCTTCCTCTGACAATCATCCAGCACCCAATTGTTCCGCCAACTGAATACTTCCTGTCTAATCACAGTCGCCAACGGGACTGTAGGTACTTTGGCGACGCTACAGGTCACCATAACCATGTACAGTCCAAGCTTAAGGCTGCGTTGAGGCTTGAATATCATGGTATTTTAGTGCAGACTGCAAAACCTGCTCCAGTAGGAATGATGCGAGAGGGTTTCCGCAGATAGAGCTTCCGATGATGGAGCAGATCAGACTACATAGCATACACCCACTCGTTTGATGCCTCATTCCCTTACGAGCACCCCTCAAGCAACGCCTATACTCAAAATGTAGAGGCAATCTCTCCACCAGCCATCCAGTTCCCAGGCGAACGCTAGAATCCATTTCTACAGCGCACGATGCAAACGCAGCCGCTTGCTGGTCTTCCGCCTCCAGCTCATCGCCAGCATGCAACAAACAGATCCATCAATCAAGCCTACTGAACTGGATTTCTCTCGCTTTCCTCTCTGGTGACACCCCAGGTGTGGTCGCCATCAGCCCAGCCCCTGCTATGGATGTTGGATTGCTGGATACCAGTGCACATAAGATTGCTTTCTTCATCGTCGCAACGCGCTACTGATACCATCCGACACGAGCTCTGGCGATGCCATGCTTCTTCCCGTGAAGATTCTATACTCTAGCTGCGAATGGCCCACAAGAGCAACGAGAGGCAGATTCCGACTACGATTCTGATAACGAAGAAGGGAAAGCACAAGGAAGTGTGGGGTGTTTGACGGCTGGGATTGTGGATTATGCCAGCTACTCTTGTTAGTAAGGTGCTTGAGTTTGGCTTTCTTCGAACGTTGACTATGACTAGTGCAAAGCTGATACGACGGGATTGTGAACTACTACATAAACTACGTGCAGTAAGCTATTCGCGACTTCAGGAGAAGTAGCCTAAGCGCATACCCAACAGCCTCATACTCTTCTCGCCCATATTTCGTTCAAAATGTCTTGCTTCTTGGCACGTCTGACTGTTTCGTAAGAGGGGGCTCCAGACTCGGACTCTAAGCCAATATGGAATTCTTCGAGAGCTCTCCTCCGACCTGCAGCACTCGTGCCGTCCCGTGAATCCGGCGCACGAGAGTGAGAGCGATCTTCGGAGCCCGGAGATAAGTCGCTGTTGTTGCTTTGGACACTATATATAGAGCTCGTAGGATATACAGGTCCAGGCACTGTAAGAGCTTTCGGTTCAGGACGAAGTGGTGGTTCAGCACCCTCTTGGGTAGATTCAGACCCAGTTCTTGTATCCAGGATTTGCAGACCTTGCTCTTCGTCTCTCTTGTGAGCTGTGTGGAGGTGCAAGAACAACCGGAGAGTGACTATAATTTGGACGATCAGGACTACGAGTGTGATCAGGCAGATTACCACTATGCTTTCGACCTCCATCTCGTGAGCGTTACAAGCTTGAACTCAGACATACTGATGGGGTTATAACGTTGGGTAACAAGCGTATTGTCGTGGATACACGTACAAATTACGCACTGTTATGGTGCTGTTGACAGCGGAACAGCAAACGCAAAACAAGGTTTTGAGATGAGAAATCATTTTGAATTGAGAGAACGATTTTGTGATGAGATCCGATGTTCAGCTCACAGAAATATCCGTCGTGGCCAGCGCGATATCATCACCCACGCGGTCTTCGGTCAAATTTCCTGATCCCCATCGCTTTCGCTTACGATTCGTTATTTCGACCTTCTCCGCACATCGTATCATATCCAATACTAGTTCCTTTACTTCTACGCGTAATACTGCACCCCAGGATGTGCATTCTCTGCCGTCTGCGTTGGTCTTGGTTTCGTCGTCCTGAAATCGTAATATAAGTCTGATTGGGGATCTCTTCTCTTAGGTCCACCGTGGTGGTTGCGCGTTCTGATTCTTAGACGTCGAAGCCACTCCTTGAAGAGTATCCAGCGCCAGATCAGGGGTACCGGGTCATCTGCCATGGTTGGTAGTATCTCTTTTGTTATTGGGCTCAATAGTGCGAAGTTGGCTTTGTAAAGCGGTGCAAAAGGTGGAAAGTAGCGAAACTTGCGAAAGCTAGCGCAAGTGTGAGAGATTGTGACACCAGTAAGAGCAGAAGTGAAGCCAATGGCATATGTCATGGGCTGTGACGAGCAACAATGTACGTATGTGAACCTTCGCACAACTTGTTTTGTTGTTCAGTACTATCCTTGAGCACAATCCCGGCCAACCGAAAAGGAAGACAGAAGAGTCTGGAACAAGCTTTACATTCTAGGTGTGCGAGTAGCTTGCTGCACACCAATCATCCGCTACACCTACTTTACGCTAGGCACACGATTTTCCCCATGCTCACGATCATAACTCGGAGCTGCTCGTCAACTCAGTAAAACCGATCGCCGTGTCGTGCAAACTTTCCGGTACCATGTAGGTTTTCGTATTCTTGGAATAGACATGATCAGCTACGGACTGGCATGGGCTTCTTCACAGCTATAAATATAAGGTAAAATATGAGCGGGGTGGCGAGACAAATGCCAAACAGCATAAAGATCTCGTAGAACTGGTCCATCATAAGCGTGGGCGCAGGTGCAGGTGAGCTCGACAGAACACTGCTTAGGCACTGGATGGTTGGTACGATGTTTAAATTGCTACAAAGAGAGCAGAAGAGCGAAGGATACGTTAGAGAGGCAACTGAAAATGACAGAACACCTTGACCATCTCTCTTCATGTTGTTACACTCAATGCAAGCATGTCATCCTCCCGGTGTTCCCAGAACTTCTACCAAATCATTCCTTCACATCAGATTCTTTCTTTCTGGGATCCATATCTCCTCCGGGCCAGTGATAGGCAACCACATAACTGTATCTCCCCTTCTTCTTAACCTCAACAGATTGATCACACAATCCCCCTTGTTCGGTACCATACCGCGGCAATACCGAGACTTCGCTACTTCTTCTGGTCAATGCTTGTGCTGGCCTTTGTATACCTGCATCATTGCCACTTAGCTGCAGTCTTGTTCGCTGTTGCACTAATTCAACGAGTTCGTGCTCTCGATTTCTCTCATGCTGTCGCTTCAGTATCCCCCCTATAACATTGTAGATGATCCGGAGGAGGATAAGACTAGCGATGATGATGACTATGACCCAAAGCGCGCTAGCTTTTGCCCAGGAAAAGTCTTTGGCTGAAGCTGAGTAGGAACTACTTTCGGATGTCATGGCTTCGAATGGATGGTAGACAGAATGACTGGAATGATAAATGACGTACGGGAAACAAGGAAAGCCAAATAGAGTCCTCAATGAACTGTGATTTGTTTGAACATAGCCGTGCCGCAGCAAGCTACACCGCTGGCGAGATGCCGTGCTGGCAATCGCAACAACGCGTGATCATCATCACTGCCAACATCTCGTACGTCACAATCTTTAGGCAAAGCCGGCGCCACGAAGCCTTTCATCAAATTCATAGAAACACAGCCACGCTTCGTGCCCACCATTCCGGACTATTGCGCTTTCTTTTCAGCTTCTGGTTAATCTTCATCATGATAATCATTTATACTCGATCCTTGGGGTCTGTCATCTCACACATCCGGATCTGCAAACGGATCAGGGAAACCCATCTGAATTAGAACGCCATTTAGGTAGATCGACAGAGCCATGAAACCTGCGATGAGCCATATGATATTCTCCTGAATCATGTTTGTAAAAAGCGGCTAGCATCAAACAAGATAACAGATATGTAATGAGAGAAGCTGGAATGGCTAGAAGAGTCGAGAGGTATGCCGTAAGGAGCCTAACAGCTTTGGAATGATATTTCAACCTTGTATATAGCAAGGAAGTGTAGATGTGTGTTTGCTACTATGTGCGGTGTGCTGGAAGGTTATTGATATAGCAAGTATGTTTTCATCATACATCAGCCAGTTCATCACGGTGCTGTTAAGCAAACCGCGAGCGAACGACTTCAGATGCGTGATTGAACACCGCCATGTTTGGCAATATGCTCTCTACACGGTTCCCACCCCTGCTTCTATGTTCTCCATTCTCTGTTCTTGAGAAATGTTGTTTCCAATGCTGTAATCATGTGTCCGACAATTACGGCATCTAGAAGAGTAGCCACGACCTGGATTGGCAGTACGCTCTGGAATGTGACTTTATTCTGATTGTAAGAATACAGAATTGGAGAATCCGTGCCCAGGTCAATACGAAAACTATTGTCTCTACTAATGGTACAACAATACAGGCCATTCGTGACCATCAAAATCTGTCAAGCCGAGATGCCAAAATCCTAACGCGTCGCAAGGAAGAGATAAGGATATTCTGGCTCTAATGTGCATGAAGCAGGTTTCATCCCGTATTATTCTTCAGGAAGGCATTCCAATCGGTCTTCGCTCCTTGTACGTCAACCCCTGTCACACCGTCTCCTTCGGTCCAGCCTTGCCACTTCTCCAGACCAAAAAGATGGCGCATGGTAGGCCGACCATGGGGGCAAGACCAGGGTTTGTCCATACTGCCCATGTGTCGAACAATCTCTCTCATCCGGGGCGGCTGAAGAGTCTTACCAATCATCACGGAACTCCTGCAGGCGCGGCTTGCTAGTAGCTTCCTGACTTTGGAAGGGCGTGGTATGTGCCGCGATGTGGAAGTAGAGGATGACGGTGGGTTCTCTAGAATGAGTGCTAAGAGCTCCTCTAAATCCGTGGGTGTAAATGTTACTTCCTTCGACATGGGCAGCGAGACTAGCTGCACATGATGATCCGCTTCATTCTCGTCTATGGTTTCCAAATCGACGACGAACCCGTTAGCTGTTAGCGAGTGCTTATTCTCGCGAATGATCTCTCTTTCCACAGCAGTGAGTTCGAGAGGATGTGGATGTACGAGTTTCTGTGGCACCAGCGTTGTCGTCGCAGACAGACGCTCGAAATTGTATTTCTCGTCGCTCGCATGCTGGTCGATAATAAACACATCTGATGTTGGCGATGTAGAAGTAGGTGGTCGCACGGCGATGATGAAGCCTAGATTAAACTGACCAATAATGCGCATCTCATTGAAGTCAGCCTTGGTTACTGTAAGACTAAGTCGTTCTTCGGGGTCTTCTTGATTCAGCTGGGTACTTGTTGGAAGCGCAGCCACCTCATCGGTTCCTGGCATAGAGGCATCGATAGACGCTTGTATGTTCTGTATATGCCGAGCAATAGCATCAACATCCGTCTCGACAACGCGCTCAAGATTGATGGTCCAGTACTTCTTCTGACTGACTTTGAATAATTTGTTGGCCCGCTTCAAGTTCATGTCAGTGGGTCGGGAAGCGGCTTCTTCGGCTTCAGCGATGAGCTGCGCAATCTTCGTTTCTTCTCTTTGCTTCTTCTCGGAGTCCTCGATGTAGTCGTCATCTGTGTTTTCCGCTTCTGCTTGAGCCTCGGCTTCGGCCTCTGATGTTGATTCCGCTACTTGATCTTGTTCCGAAACAATTTCTAAGTCGGGCGCTGGGGTGCTGGGAGAGACTGTGATGTCATCAGTTTGGGGCTTTTCAAATCCTCGAGATGGCAAGCGCTTGGTTGGAGGTGGAGAGCGTATAGGTGCATCAGACATGTTACTGTCCTGAGTGACTTCATTGCCATCCTCTTCTTCTTCTCTGTCCTCCTCTTCATCTTGATCGTCCTCGTCGCTACTTTCTGCTTGGGTACCCGGTGCCGCAAAGCCACCTAGACCGTTCTTGAATAGACTCCTCTTCGGTGTCTGATCCAATGGCTTGCCAGAAAGAGAGAACTTTGGCGTGTGTATCCTAGCTCGTTTGGAGGCTATCGATTGACTTCTGGTGCCGATTGTAGAAACAGTCGTCGTGTCGCCCACAGTTATCGTGGCTTGTTGGATCGGGGTACGCATGGGACGCATGCGGTCAAATGCATTTTGAATTGTACTCTGTGACCACGACTTTTGCGGCGTTTGTACGATAGCCGGAATTGGCTGTTGTTCATTCTCTCCATCCTCGACAGGTTGTGAATGCTTGCTGCTGGGCTCGGGCTGACGAGGACTCTGAGACGCTATACGGGCGTTGAAATCTTGAACAATCTTCGGAGGTTGAGAAAGTCGGACAGGCACGTCGGTCATCTCTTCCGGTTCGAACAATGGCGACTGTGACCTTGCAAGTGGTGGATGGACAGAGTCTTCATGCTCAGGTGTAGTGCTACGTTGAGACATGCGAGAATTCGACACACGATCTCCAGTCACCTTGCTGTCCTCAGGCGTGCTGGTTCTCCTGGACCTAACCGCTGGACGAATTTTTCGGTCTTCAGGGTCCCGATCAGCGGATCGCTCGATGAGACTTGCTTTCACAAAGCCTGGAAGATCGCTTGTTCTGGGCGTTTCTGTAACAGAACTCATGTCAGGTCTCCTTGGGGTCTCCAGGCGAGACTCAACAGCATCTTCCGATTCGCTTCGGTCACCCTCCATTACTGAGGTAGTGCTCTCACGAAATTGCATGGTCGGTGGCTTGAAGGTAGACGTGGGCGTTTTCTGGCCTAGGAGTTGAGCTTGAGGGACACTTTGATCATGACCCTCAAATAGTTCCAAAAGAGCCTCTTTGAGGTTCTCTAACAGCGCGGTCTGATCATGGAGCATGATGGTCCGTTTGTCTGGGCTCACATTGACGTCGTAGGCGTTGGTATCCAGCTGAATATCTGCGAAGACAAAAGGTGATTGTGTGATGTTGTAGGACTTGTAGACCTCATTGAATGCCTTCGCAACCTGTGGCAGATTGCAAGGCCGTGAGTTCACAAAGAACATTTGTCTGTCCGGCGTTTGGCGGCCCTCGCCCACAACTGGGCGGGAGATGTGGCCCACTATCTTGACAGTTCGTGAGCCCGAATCCTCTTGCGTGCTCCAGTTCCTTGCGCTTTGTGTGGCACCAGGCCGACTTGAAGGGTCCATAACGAACTGGAGACTAAGAGGGATCAGGGCGGCAACCGTCTTTGCGCCGTAGACGTTGGAGATGTTGTCGCGCGTGCTCGCATTAGCGTTCGTGGAGAAAGCTACTGTCTTCTTTCTTGGACCATGTCAGTACAGCAGAAGAATGGTGGAAATGAGTATCCGTACTCACCCTTTCGGTATCTGATTGCTTACAGAGAACTTGACGCCTACGCTTATACAAGCATATGCGTTGAGCAGCTGCAGCACTTTATTGTACTCCCTTTTGACGTTCTTCTCGAGCTCCTTCCGCCGTACAGGCAAATTGTAGAATAGTGTCTCCACCACCACCGTTGTACCCTGCTTAGCCGCTACCACAGACGTCCCCTTCAGCTTGCCTGACTGCTCAAAGTCTAGCCGTGTGCCTTTCGGGCCGTCGGAAGGTCGAGTAGTGATGATGTGGAAGTTGGAGAGTGCACATAACGACGACAAAGCCTCACCACGGAAGCCGAATGTCTGGAGCGACTCGAGGTCATCGTAGCTAGCGAGTTTGGACGTATAGTGCTTGAGGGCGATGGTGTCGTAGTCGTCAGGTGCAATGCCAGAACCATTATCTTGAACTTCTATGGCATCAAGCCCGTGGTTCTTGAAGCGCACCTCTGTGTCCCACGTCAGTCATCTCACATCAACCAGGAATCGTGCAGCGAAGACATACCAATCGATGTGGCGCCTGCATCGATGCTATTCTCGACGAGTTCTTTGCATACCGATTCCAGCCCAACAATGACCTGACCTGATTGGATCTGATGCACAGAGCGGCCCTCGATGGCCTTGATAGTGGCCATGTCAACCCATGCCGATGTTGAGATGGGTGAACACGAAAGGCGTGACTACGCGACGCGTTTACGACTGGCCAATGGGCGGGGTGCGCTAGAATGTGGGGTTGCAGTGGACTCTCCACAGCATTTGTGATCCCAAGCTCACTGGCTCTTAATATTATCGCGTGAATATAGCGAAATGAATGGCCTGAATGATCTCAGGCTTTTACAAGCGCCTTTGCGTCACATGACGGCGCAGTCGCAATCCCAGCATGAGAAGTGAGTCCACCAAGTGTACCTATTTCTGTGCCGTTGCGCACACATGTCCAGCGCGAGCAACAATAGTCGAAAAACCCCATGTATAACCTGCACACATACTTGAGTGGCTGACGTTATAGTAGAATTGCAAAGTTGCAGCGTGAGCTTCGAGAAGCTACAAAGGAAGTGCGCTCCGCCGATCTCATCTACCGGAAACATGTACTCTACTATGCAAGGAAGGACTGCCTGCAACTTGCGACCATGATGCATCAGAAACTTCCCGTTGAGCTGCGTGAACTGATTTACGAACTCCTCTGCGTCGAACCTGACCGTCCCATAGCTGTGGGCCCGTACTACCATTTCCGTAAATACGATCGGCCATTGCACGACCCTCGATATAGGTTCGTCCCGACTAGTCGTCACCCATACGTCGTGTCCACCTGGCCGCTACCAAGAACTGACCCAGCCTATGCACCCCATATTGGCGTTAGTGCGAATGTCGATGTTGAGATTGGAGAGGTATCTGACCAGCAGACTGGCTCGTCCCAGCCTATCGACAGTAATGATACACGGATGACTTCGGGCCTTACTGAACGTGTCATGGAGACGATATCATCAACTCCAGCCGACCAACTCAGACTCAATCACGAAGACGAGGATACTATACTTCCTGATGGCCGGATCAAAGAAGTGCATACCCACAAGCCACCGAGTGATATGGCACTTCCATACAGCCATTTCCTGGACCCTAGATACATGGGCCCAGAAATCGCATTTGAGATACAGAAGATGTATTATGCGCGAAACACCTTCTCCGTCTGCAGCGTCGAGCAGGGAATACTATACTTCTTAGAGCGCGATTCTGGCTACAATATGGTGGGTTGTAACGATGATGGCACCCCTAAGGAAGTACCAAAGGACCTCCAGCTACCACTACCGGTTTACCCCAGAGAACATATCCAAAATCTCCAGGTTCGCGTCAAGTTCGAACAGTTCCACTCAGACATGCCAAAAGACGATATGACCGATTACGACAAGTATGCATACGAACAGCGTTTCCTACGCTTTACTGAAGCCAACTTGCGAGGTTTGAGAGTCTTCTTAGAGCATCGCCATGAGCACGGAATCAATGTTGAATTCATCATTCTCACTGAGTTCCCGATTGCCGGTGATGTGAGGACCGGGCTCGCCGCTCAATGCAATTATGTCAACTTTTTGGAGTGCATCAGAAACCCAGTCTACACAATGATGCACGATTGTGACCACATCTCCGTCAAGATTACGCACTACGACGAGGGCATTTCGGCCTTCCCGCGCGATATCACTGGAATATTCGGGTTGACAAAGGAACAATGGGAGCACGTAAGTATGACCCATTACTTCAACCTTCCCTACAACATATGCCACCTGCCTCAAGGCTGTCTCTTCAATCGTAAATTAACCGAATTGCAGGAAAAGAGTGTTCACGGGTATTTTGCTGAGGAGATGAGGAGATTCCACGTTGCGATTCCGGGCATTATAGAACACAAAGCGCTCCGGGGTTATCCCGTTAGTGAACTAATTCCTTTTCTTCGTCAGCGATGGGGCATGGATTCGTGGTTAGCTACCAGGGCGACGCACCCTGTCAGTGACGGGAGATATTGGCCTGAATTTTTCAAGGCAACCTCGCAAGAATAAATGATTGAGTATAGAAGCGCACAGATGCGCTGGTGTTGCAATCTTCTCCATTGTATCGGAACTGTCGTTGTTTGAAGAATATTACTACACCAATCCAGGCTGGATGCAGCCTTGTTACTATGTAGCAGAGATGTTGCACCGACATCCACTACTGCGGTTCTAGCGACCTTGATCTCGTTATTCTGTGTATGCGTGGGGTCTACCACCGTATCATGCGATGATATACTCATCAAGTGGCGTGGCTGACATGCGATCTACGAACTGGAGTTCCACAAACAGTGCTGACAATGCTCACAGTGCGGACGAAAGCGCCGATTGGCCGTGTGCCTGAAAAGCTGGGCAGGCACCAAATGGGGCGGTCCCTAGATCTCGAGATCTGAGACATAGAATGGATTTCTAACACAGATCACGACTTAGGCTTAGTTTCCGACAACGTTTCCCGTCGACATGCATGGCTCGTATGACCGTATCGGCCGACCAACAATGCCGTCCAGTATACGACAGCATCATCCATGCGAGACCGGTTGTCGCGCGCCCGGATGCGCTAAATCCGAATCGCCGTGCAACGCCAGGCCTATAACGCACTAGATTCCGAAAGTTGATGTGATTGACATGGCTCCTTTTGCAGTGGCCACCGCTTGCGCCAAGCCCTGCAATTAAACAATTGGAGACCCTCTTTGGGCCTTGTTCTCGCGTGGGAATTTAATACGGCTTCGATTGACTCTTCGTGGTTTCCCTACGTCTTCCCCTCCGCGATCTTCGCGCTTTCTTCTGTACATTTCACGGCGCGGCGCGATCCTAATTCTTCAACATGGCGGTCAACGCGAGTTTCGTCTCGCCCACGGCGGATGCAAAAGTTGCGCACGTCATCCAGCAATTCGACACCAGCGGCCTCCTTTCCTCTGTCTTCACCGGTTTCAATGTGTGGAAGCTCCTCCTGACGCTCATCATAACGGCTGTGGCGTACGACCAGTGTACGCACCACATCCATCACGTTTGCGCCGGACCCTGCTGACCCTGCTACAGTCAAGTACATCTGGAACAAGGGCTCAATCGTCGGTCCATCATGGAAAATACCTTTCATCGGCCCATTCTTGGAGTCCGTTAACCCCGACTTCAAGAAGTACCACGAGAAATGGTCCTCCGGTCCTCTGAGCTGTGTATCCGTCTTTCACAAGTACGTAACTCGTGCGTCCGCTCTGAGATTGTCCATACTGACCGCTCTTCAGGTTCGTTGTCATTGCCTCGACCCGCGACATGGCTCGTAAGATCTTCAACTCGCCTACCTTTGTCAAGCCCTGCGTTGTCGATGTCGCCTACAAACTCCTTCGTCCCGAGAACTGGGTCTTCCTGGATGGTCGTGCCCACGTCGACTATCGCAAGGGTCTCAACAGCTTGTTTACTCGCCAGGCGCTCGAACAGTATCTCCCAGGCCAAGAAGAGATCTACAACACATACTTCAAGCGCTTCGTGGAGCTTTCACAAGTCGAGAACAAGGGCAAGCACATTCCCTGGATGCAAGAGTTCCGCCTCATGATCACGGCTCTGAGTTGCCGTACCTTTGTCGGCCACTACTGCTCCGATGAGGCTGTCAAGAAGATCGCCGACGACTACTATCTGATTACCGCTGCACTCGAACTTGTCAACTTCCCCATCATTATCCCTTTCACCAAGACTTGGTACGGAAAGAAGTGCGCCGACATGGTTCTGGACGAGTTCTCAAAGTGTGCCGCAAAGAGCAAGGTCCGTATGGCCGCCGGTGGCAAGAAGGAGTGCATTCTCGATTTCTGGGTAGACAACATGATCCAATCCGAGAAGTACCGTAAGAGGATTGAGGCTGGCGAGAAGGTCGATGACGCTGAGAAGCCCGCGACCGTCATCCGCTGGTTCAGTGACATTGAGATCTCTATGACCATCTTCACCTTCCTCTTCGCTTCCCAGGACGCTACTTCTTCTGCCGCTACCTGGCTCTTCCAAATCATGGCTGACCGCCCGGAATACCTTGACAAAATCCGTGAGGAGAATATCAAGGCCAGGAACGGCGACGTTCACGCGACGCTTTCGCTTGATGCCATCGAGAAGCTGCAATGGACCCGTGCTGTCGTCAAGGAGACCCTCCGCTACCGTCCTCCAGTCATCATGGTTCCTTACCTTGCTAAGAAGGATTTCCCTGTAACACCCGAATACACCGTCCCCAAGGGTTCCATGGTCATTCCTACCACATACATGGCGCTGCACGATGCTGAAGCATACCCCAACCCTGACTCGTTCGAGCCCGAGCGATGGATCACTGGTAACGCTGATCAACAAACCAAGAACTGGCTCGTTTTCGGTACAGGCCCTCACTACTGCCTTGGTCAGACATACGCGCAAGCCAACCTCATGTTGATGATTGGCAAGGCTAGTATGCTGCTTGACTGGGACCACCAGGTTACCGACCAAAGTGAGGTGATCAAGGTGTTCGCTACTATTTTCCCTATGGTAAGTCTGGACACATGGCATAGTACGAGGAATTGTTGCTAACCAACCATAGGATGACTGCCTCCTCACATTCAAGGACCGAACTACAGCATAATAATTCACGCTTCATTCTACGTGATGCGCACTTTGAGCGATCTTTTCTTGCATTTGCAGCCGTAGATTTCGGTGTTCAAAATTTGGTTCGTCCAAGACAGAGTTGCATTTGTGCTCTGGTCTTGCATCTTTAGACTATAATGATTACGGCCCTTGGCGCTTCTTGAGAAGTGGCCCGTTGGCTTCATGAGTACAGTGTAAGCTGGGATGAATTAATAATGGGACGAGAGGATGGGCTTGGGAGGGAATGGTTCATATAGGACACTGATAATTGCACGAAGAACGTATAATAGCAACGAAGTCTTGTTGTGTCTTGTCATGAAATTGTGCCTTACAAGTTCCGCGCGTGTTCACCAGCCTCGCGGCCAGGGACGAAAGCTATGACCAGGAACTTTTGGTCTACTCCACATGCCGATAGTCTGCAACCTTCCACCGCCAGCTTGCCAACAACAACTCGAGCTTCGTCCGGCCCTAGACAGTCGTCGTGGATCGCAAATAATTCCTAGGATTTCTCGAGCGACTTTGCGACCGGGACGAGGATACATTCCAACTGCGCACTGCCACGCATCATTCGACCAACGCCCACACCCGCGGCCACAACGAAGTAATAGTTTCACTGCAGCATCCGCACCCAAGCTCACGTCATGGCGCCCGCCGCCTCTCCATTGGAGCGCGATAATGAGCGTGTTGGACCACACCCATCGTATATCGAAGTTGCGAAGCCCTATATCCTGCAGTCGCGTATGCAGAAATGTCTGTCAGATATACACATGAGCGATGCCAAAGAGGATGCTGTCCGTCTGCAAGGCGTCGCCTGGATAGACCAAGTGCGACGCGCACTCCAACTGCCCATCCGCACCTTTAACACTGCCGTCATCTACTACCACAAGTTCAGGCTGTTGCACGCGGACAATGAGTACAATTGGGCAGATGCGGCAGCCGCAGCACTCTTCACAGCGTGTAAAATCGAGGACACCTTGAAGAAGAGCAGGGAAATCTTATGCGCTCACTGGAACCTCAAGGTTGGCCCTGGCGAGAGCCTAAGTAGCGACGATCCGGTAGGCACCTTTCTTGATAGGAATGGCCATTGCAGGATCAAGGTTAACCTCTCAATAGCGCTTCGAGAACCACTCCAAACTCATCATCGGCCTTGAACGGCTCATGCTCGAAAGCGCCGGCTTCGACTTTCGCAATCGATACCCCCAGAAAGTCATGGTCAAGCTTGCTAGGGCCCTGCGATTCGACGCGAAAGACGAGGCCAAAACAACCTGGAACCTGAGCATCGATTCATACAGGACTTTTGCACCGCTGAAGCAGTCCACACCGACTCTGGCTATTGCGTGTCTAGAGCTTGCCGCACGGCTGCATGGAAAAGACACTACGAAATTCGTGGATGCGGGACCCGTAAGGTACAGCAAGTGGGCTACTAGTCGAGCAGAGATTATGGAGACCCTCCTTGATCTACTCGACCTGTACACCCATCACCGCAGCGCAACCTCGGTCGGACCCTCTTACACACTTGAGCACTTCATCAACATCCGCATTGGACTCAATCAGGAGGCTTCGGCAGCGAATATACCACGTTATTCTCGGTACAAGTCGGAGTCTGTCGCCGATGCCGGAAGCACCACAAACGGCGCCAAGCCTCGCAACGGCATCGACCCGACAAGCCCATTCACACCAGCTACTCCCATCGCACATTCGCCTGCCGCAGATCAAGCGCCAAAATCTGCAATCGGAATTCGCGGTCAGAATGGTACGGTCAGGTTCATGCTGGACGCAGCCCGTGCACACGATGAACGCGCCGAGGTTGAGAAGTTTCACAAGCTCGAGGAAGAAGAGTACGAAGTAGAGGTGCCAATATCGAGTGAATCAAGGACGGATGATAGGGAGAGAGAAAGAGCAAGAGTTGGCAGAGTGCGTTGAGTATAGATATGGAATTCGCGTTTGGATTTTGCTGTTCAATTTTTGCGCTGTCTTATCACGCATGAAAGGAACGAAGCTAAATTTCACTAATAGGATTTTATCAGCGTTGCCAACGACGAGAAAAGCAGCGCGGGCATTGGTCACACAGAAGACTACTGGGATAAATTTCGCAAGCGCTCCAAGGTGGCGTCAGATAGCGAGCCAGCTTCCAGAACGGATGGCAATGTTCACACATCCAGAAGAGCTGTAAAACTCGATAACGTCTCGGATAAAGGCAATGTACAGAGGAGGGCCGATGACCATGTCAATGTCTCATTCGATGATGGGGAGTCAAATGATCGAGGACGTGGTAGAGACTCACGCAAACGACCTCGCCTACAGGATCGAAAGAAACGTGGCGACATATATCGCAGCAAAATTACGCAACACCGGGAATCGAGTTCAGAGCGTCTGCCACCAAGGTTATCGATGTCTTCTCATGGCGAAGCGGATCACGAACGAAACTTCGATTATACTGGTCAATTCACGCCTCTAGACAGGAGCAGGGGCTTTGACGATCGAGGACATAGTGGTCGGCGCGAAGGCAGGATCATACGCCGTGGTAGAAAAAATCACCATCGTGGATCCGACTGCGGTAGTCACGAACCAGGCGACACTGGATTTCCCCCAGACGATCAATATTGCACACCCTCTGCTCTGAAAGAAGCCCACGTTGTTGTACCACGAGGCGAGAATGATGTTTCACGACAGAGCACTGCCATACGCAATAGTTCCAAAAGACGAGAAGAATTACAGGAAACGACAGGTTTCGTCCTTCCGGATCGCATGCCAGTTGTCTCGTCAGCAGGAGAACTATCTTCACTTGCAAAACCCCAAGCAAGTAAAGAACGACTTCCGAAAAGAGACGTCTATAAAGAACAAAGATCCAGTGCAAATAACACACTGTCCGCGAATGACGGACATCAATGGGCAAACATTGGTGACAACTATGGAAACAACAGAGGAAGAGGAAGAGGAAGGGGAAGAGCGAGAGGCGGTAGGGGTGGCAGGTGGAACAACTACCGTGATGGTAGAGGCAGAGGTGGTGGCTCTGGAGCGTGGAACTCGTGGCCTGACCGCTCTCCTCGGTCTCCTCGGTCTCCTTGAGGAAGGACATGGCATGTCTTGAAGCAGTTCTGTCTTTCCTTGTTAGAACGAATTACATAGACAAAGTTAACGCAGTGACTTGCTCTTGTCAACTGAATAGTGATCACATCCGGAATATGCCTTTAAATACGATATTTTCATATCCAGCTCCCATGTGCTCATATGCATATCACAAACCTGCAATACAAAATGACCTGGAATACTAGGCGCAGATGAAAGGTGGTTCTGGAGTGACTGCGGGGATACCGGGGATAAGCGCAACATCACACCAGCCCGCAAAATGGTCGCCTTCAGATTGGATTTCAAAGCGCTCACTAGCAAAGCGTCTGATCTTGATCCAGTTGCCTTCACCAGGAAGCAAGAGTCAAGTTGATATGATTCATAGAGGGCGCCAAATCTCCCAAAATGCTCAGTCAGGTTGGCGTGGTCATCATTCGACTGTGGCGTCGGCAGGAATTCCGTCACCAGGCGTCTTCGTGGAAAAGAAAAGATGTAGCGGTAGTCATTGTAGTGATGCATGATGATTCTTGTGAGTGTTTGTGCTTTTTCAAGGCGTAGACTTGCCAGAAATGCTTAACTGAGGCACATGCAGCCATGCATTCTTCCGCTGCAAGTCCAAATTTGGCAGTCGAAATTACCAGTGACGATATTTCCCCCGATCATGATCCACACTTGTCGCAAGCACCGCCCAATGACATGTATTGGGCCGCTGCATTATAATCCCCAGACAAACAACTGGCAGTACCACAACAGATCAGTGGAGTCATCTCCCTTGGTTCTGGCAAGACAGCAGAAATTAGAGCTGGATGTTGTGCGGAGTGCAGAGGGAAAGGGCGCCGCAGCATAGCCAGTTTGGGCATTAAAGGTTACTTCGCGCCACCAGTGGGCCGAGCTTTAGCGAGAAAGCGCGACTGACCCCACCACTAGCTCTACTAAAAACCTTCGCTCCCCCTCGCAGAACTCTTCTCAACCAGACGCACGCCTGCCTCTACGGCCTATATCAATCTCCGTCTGTCTGACTCTGGTCGACTGCATCGCCAGAGACATCAGCTCAACCCGCGACCTATACACCGAATCCGCGCGCTCAAAGCGGGGTATTCGACATCTCCCCACCACTGAATTTTCGTAAAAGAAGAGCAGTACAACACCGCAAAGATGGTCAAGTAAGTCGCTGCCGACCCTTCCCACCTCGCTCCAGACACGAGCATTCCGTCTCTTGTCTGTGAAATTGGTCGAACAATGGCTAACATGACGACAGCTTCACCGTCGAGGAGGTACGTTCCGCGCACACATCACCCCGCATCACACTTCGATACTGGGAACATTGGAAGGATGGATACTGACTGCGCGGCTAGATCCGTGGTCTCATGGACGACCCTAAGAACATTAGGAACATGTCCGTTATTGCCCACGGTAAGCGCTCTCGTGGGACCCCGCAGTATCTGACAGGAAAGATGGCTAATATACCCCACCACAGTCGATCACGGAAAGTCCACCCTCACCGACTCGCTCGTCCAGCGTGCCGGTATTATCTCGGCCGCCAAGGCTGGTGAGGCTCGTTTCACCGATACCCGAGCTGACGAGCAGGAGCGTGGTGTCACTATCAAGTCGACTGCCATCTCCCTGTACGCCCAGCTCAAGGACGAGGAGGACCTCAAGGACATCCCCGTCCCCACCACCAAGAACGACTTCTTGATCAACTTGATCGACTCGCCCGGTCACGTTGACTTCTCATCTGAGGTCACTGCTGCTCTCCGTGTCACCGATGGTGCGCTCGTTGTCGTTGACACCATTGAGGGTGTCTGTGTCCAGACCGAGACTGTCCTGCGTCAGGCTCTTGGTGAGCGTATCAAGCCCGTTGTCATCATCAACAAGGTCGACCGTGCTCTTCTCGAGCTCCAGCTCTCCAAGGAGGATCTGTACCAGAACTTCTCCCGTGTCATTGAGTCCGTCAACGTCGTCATCGCCACCTACTTCGACAAGACTCTTGGTGACGTCCAGGTCTACCCCGAGAAGGGTACCATCGCCTTCGGTTCCGGTCTTCACGGCTGGGCTTTCACCATCCGTCAGTTCGCCACCCGCTACGCTAAGAAGTTCGGTGTCGACAAGAACAAGATGATGGAGCGTCTCTGGGTAAGCACATCGATCGAGACAGTCTCCAGCAGTTGCTAACAGAACGTAGGGTGACAGCTACTTCAACCCCAAGACCAAGAAGTGGACCAAGGTCGGCACCCACGAGGGTAAGAACCTCGAGCGTGCTTTCAACCAGTTCATCTTGGACCCCATTTTCCGCATCTTCCAGGCTGTTATGAACTTCAAGACCGACGAGATCCCCACTCTTCTCGAGAAGCTTGAGATCAAGCTCACCTCCGATGAGAAGGACCTCGAGGGCAAGCAGCTCCTCAAGGTTGTCATGAGGAAGTTCCTTCCCGCCGCTGACGCTCTCCTCGAGATGATGATTCTCCACCTTCCTTCTCCCGTCACCGCCCAGAAGTACCGTATGGAGACTCTCTACGAGGGTCCCCACGATGACGTTAACGCCATCGGTATCCGGGACTGTGACCACAACGGTCCTCTCATGCTTTACGTCTCCAAGATGGTGCCCACTTCCGACAAGGGTCGTTTCTACGCTTTCGGTCGTGTCTTCTCCGGTACCGTCCGCTCTGGTCTCAAGGTCCGCATTCAGGGACCCAACTACCAGCCCGGAAAGAAGGAGGACCTGTTCATCAAGGCCATCCAGCGTACCATCCTCATGATGGGTCGTTTCGTTGAGCCTATTGACAACGTTCCTGCCGGTAACATTCTTGGTCTTGTCGGTGTTGACCAGTTCTTGCTCAAGTCTGGTACCCTCACCACCAACGAGACTGCCCACAACCTCAAGGTTATGAAGTTCTCCGTTTCCCCCGTCGTGCAGCGTTCCGTCGAGGTCAAGAACGCCCAGGATCTCCCCAAGCTCGTTGAAGGTCTTAAGCGTCTCTCCAAGTCCGACCCTTGCGTCTTGACTTACATCTCTCCATCCGGTGAGCACGTTGTTGCTGGTGCCGGTGAGTTGCACTTGGAGATTTGCTTGAAGGATCTCGAGGAGGACCACGCCGGTGTTCCTCTCCGTATCTCCGACCCCGTCGTCCAGTACCGTGAGACTGTCAACGCCACTTCCAGCATCACCGCGCTGTCCAAGTCGCCCAACAAGCACAACCGTCTCTACCTTACTGCTCAGCCTTTGGACGAGGCCGTCTCCCTGGCCATTGAGGCTGGCAAGATCGCTCCTCGTGACGATATCAAGCAGCGTGCTCGTATCCTTGCTGATGAGCACGGCTGGGATGTCACCGATGCCCGTAAGATTTGGTGCTTCGGTCCCGACACCACCGGTGCCAACTTGCTCGTTGACCAGACCAAGGCCGTCCAGTACCTGAGTGAAATCAAGGACTCCGTCGTCTCTGGTTTCCAGTGGGCCACCAAGGAAGGTCCCATTGCTGAGGAGCCCATGCGCTCTATCCGCTTCAACATCATGGATGTCACTCTCCACGCTGATGCCATTCACCGTGGTGGTGGTCAAATCATCCCCACTGCGCGCCGTGTCCTCTACGCCGCCACCCTCCTTGCCGAGCCCACTCTGCTCGAGCCCGTCTACCTCGTCGAGATCCAGGTTCCCGAGCAAGCCATGGGTGGTATCTACGGTGTCCTTACCCGAAGGAGAGGTCACGTCTTCGAGGAGAACCAGCGTGTTGGTACTCCTCTCTTCAACGTCAAGGCTTACCTTCCCGTCAACGAGTCCTTCGGTTTCACTGCCGATCTCCGTGCCGCCACTGGTGGACAGGCCTTCCCACAACAAGTCTTCGACCATTGGCAACATCTTCAGGGTGGCTCGCCACTTGATGCCACCACCATGGTTGGTAAGATCGTGTTCGACATGCGTAAGCGCAAGGGTATCAAGACTGAGGTGCCCGACGTCTCCAACGTAAGTTCATCCGCAGATCACAACAAATCATCAGATGCTAACAGATTTCGCAGTACTACGACAAGCTATAAGGGAATGCTAGCAAAAGCGTTAGATTTCCTTTCCTCGCAATTCTGGGTCATCCGACAGTCATGGGCAAGCTCGTGGCCGCTGGTCGATGTATGACGCAAACGGGTCCCCCTTGGAGCAACCAGAACTAGTAAATGTCGGTCCGGGCGGTTTCGCCCTTGATGTTAGTCAGGTTTTTGGGGCTTTGCACGAAAGATACGGATAATGACCCTTTTCCTTACCTGTTCCGAGTGTAATATAGTTGGAGAAAATCAAGCTATATCGCACAATATGTTTTGTCGGTTGTCATGATGATGCTGGTGATGACATGCGGACACAAGCTGTTGATTGAGCGTTAGTGGTGGTCACGCTATGAGTCTGTATGATTCTCTATACGTGGCACATGTGTGAAACGTTACGGCAAGGGTGAGGTTGTTCGGCAGTGAATGTAGCGGGGCATTGATGTCACGTGCACACGAGTAAGAGAGCTATGACATTGTCGTCGCGCTAAGAGCAACGCGAAAGAGGTACGTTCTGCTCGGTCTAGGTCCCACCAAAGACGTCAACAACACAGTACGGAAAGATTGCGACGCAACCTTGATAAGATCGCGCAACGTGGGGGAGAGCGGAAGTTGACCACAAGAGCTATAATGTTGCTCGAAGAGAAAGACCATGCTGAGTTCAAGGGCTGGTTACTACCGAAGCTCGAAAACATGTAAGCCAGAGCCAGCCATCGCTCCCACCGAAGTCGTTGCGCAGTCGCAAAATACTGACAAGAAGTGCAGTTCCGATGCTGAAGCTGGGGTTCTTGCCGACTATGTGGCCGCGCTCGTCACCGTTGATGATACAGATGCAAACGTTCAGCGTACTCTAGTCGAGTCGCTGGAGGATTTCCTAGGCAGAGAAAGTAAGCGCATGAGAAAGCCATGGCATGCCTCATAGCTGACAAGTGAAAGGCACCGAACCTTTCGCAAAAGATATCATTGCAGGACTCAAAGCCAAGAGCTACCTCCCAAAACCGAAAGCGAACGACGCGCAGCCATACCTCTCGTCCCAAGCCTTACAGTCAGAGCCAATACAGTCTATTGTTGGCAGTACGAACTTCGAATATGAACCACATCCGTCGAATGTGTCATCTGGAGCTCCTAGAGGTCCTGCCGCGACCAGAAATCTAAAGGCACCTCGCCACGTACCCGACCGACCGACCACGCAAGGCACACATCATGATGGCTCTAATCAGTCAAGGAAGCGCAAAGTGTTGGAAAGAGGTGATAGCCAGTCGCGAGAAGGCCAAGATCCACACTACAACCGCAGCGGTGGTGCGAATAATAGACCTTCGAAGCAGACCGCTCGCAGAGGCGGGAGAAGTGCTGGAAATGGAGAAGTGCGGTCACAGAACGCCTTCGGTGGCTACGGTGGTATGCCGAACTTTACCAACCTCCCACCCCCACCCCCAGGACCTTTGCCTTTCGATCCCTCAGACCCCATGGCTTTCTTTGCCATGGCAGCAGCTTTTGGCGCGAACCTGCCAGGCATGCCTCAGCTCCCTTTGCCCAACAGGCAAGATGGTGGCTCGAACCAAGTACGGCCAAAGACAAAGTGTGCTGATTACTTCGAAAGGGGCTTCTGCGCGCTGGGCAGCCTTTGTCCACACGAGCATAGCGACGCCGCAGTGACTGTTTCGCCTGACGAGATTCCCGAGTATGATCCAGAGCAGTCATTCCTTGCTGTCCAGCCGCAAGGGTTGTTTAGTAAACAAGCAGTTCCTAGTAGCCAGCGTCGTTCGACCAAGAATCGCAGACCGCGCTCATCGTTCTCCTTGCCAGGCTATTCCCATGATCGATCAAACACCACGCTTGTCGTCGAACAGATTCCACAAGAATACTTCAACGATGACAGTATACGGACCTACTTTTCAGAGTTTGGTGAGATTGCTAATATCGAGTTGCATCCTAAGAGGCGGTTGGCAGTCATTAAATTCGCCAACCGCCAGGCTGCTAATCAAGCCTACCATAGCCCCAAGGCCATGTTCGAGAACCGATTCGTCAAGGTTTACTGGTATGGCCCGGACACAGGGGAAAAACTGTCTCTTGAAAACAATGAAGATATTGACATGGAGGACCTGAAACACAAAGAAGAAGAAAGACTTGACTTGGAGGCTATTGCGATAAGACAAGCTGAAGCGCAGAAGGCATTCGAAGAGCGCCGTCGTAAGGCCCAGGAAGCAGATGCGAGAGCCGCAGAGATTGAGAGACAGCTGGAGGAGAAGAACAGAGAGATAGCAGAGATTAAGCGCCAACTTGCAGAACTATCAGGTGACCCATCGGACGAGTTCTCACAGACCCTTGCAACGCTTCAAGCAGAGGCTGCAGAACTGTTCGATCAGCATGGTCCCGATGAGCCCTCGCCCAGTGATCGCAGCCATGGTGCTTTCCGTGGAACTTATCGAGGTCGTGGATACTTCCCACCTCGGGCCAGAGGCTATGCACCTTATCGGGGCGCGTATCGTGGTCGTGCAGGTGGTTTCGCTGGTCGCGCTGCGAACAAGAAATTGGATAATAGGCCTAGGCGCCTAGCTGTCACGGGTATCAAGCCTGATTCACCGAGGGATGAATCTTTGAGACAGCATCTTCTTGTAAGTAGAGATTGTTCGTGTATACGTCTTCGTTTGCTAATGATATCTCTAGAACATCCCTGATTGTAGCATCGAACGTCACCCCGAGCAAACCGATGCCCTCATCCTAACCTTCAAAGAACGATATCAGGCTGAGGATTTTCTGGATCAGTCCCTCAGTATTCCTGACGTTGGTAAACTTGAGCTGGCATGGGTTCCTAACGACGCATTTGGTGGTCTCAAGTCTGTCACGACTACAACTGACGCTTCTGCAGCGAATTACGACGATGATGATGACTCTTCCGCTACCATCGGAGAGCAAGAAATCAAGGTTGAGGAAGATGAAGGTCATCAGATGGGTGGAGTGGACGCGGACATGGATGTTGCGGATGATGTGGATGAGTGGCTGTGAGTGATACCCTAGGTAGGTGCCATGCTCCAAAACGCCTTTGTAACGTCTTTCTTCTTCATTGTTATCACTATGCATTTTTGTGATGTTACGAGTTTTCGTGGACAAATTGCGAGGTGCCCTGGAGCGACCGTTGCTAGGCAACTTTCGAAAGTTCTTAACAATTTCGGGAAAGGCTTTTCGCATTTGTGCAATTTATTGATACACTGATATATCCATATAATGCATTATTTCCATGGTCTTGCACCACTTTGACGACGTCCATACTTTTGCTTCCCACCTCAATGCTGATATTACACTATTACCAACTCCGTCCCTCCCCTCCATTACGCCTTTCACCCTCCTCGGTCCCTCATGCCACGTGCCACTTCTTTCAAGCGTGTACTCACGACATAGCCTGCAACCTCTTTACTTCATCCCCCTGCACGCCACTGAACCAACCCACACGATCCTTGATGAACAGCTCACTCTGTGGTTTCAACTTGGTCTCTACTAGATTGAAATCATCCACCGTACCCAAGCGCAAGATGGAACAGCCTGGAAAGCCGCCGCCGACTCGGTACATGAGCGTACCGCAGGTTTTGCAAAAGTGATTCGCCATTGAGTGGCCTGAAGCTATCGTTGCAACTTGACTGTAAACGGAGAGGTTCTCCTGGCCGCGGAGGTGACGAAGATGACTGTGGTACGTCAGCTGGGCTGTTATTTTTCCACGATTCGGCCTGGGGAAGGACTTACCTATCCTTGACAGTAAAGTTAGAAGCAAACATACTCGCGGTAATCTTTCGACAGTCGGTGCAATTACACACAAACGTCGATACCAAGCCGGGTCCTTCGACTGGGAAAGCGAGTTGGACAGTGCCGCAATAACATGTCGCTGTTGCTTCCTCAGCGTTGGAGTACCCATCCTTTGCTTGGCCTGCGAGAGGGAAGTAAGGCACTGATTTATCGGAAGAGCGGACAGAAGACATGGCTATTGCTATAGGTAGTGTTGTTGCTATGGCTGGTAATGTTGGTGAAGAACCTCTAGGTTCATACGTCCCAGTGATTGTTGAAGTTCGTGTAGATGGCTGCGTGGAACAAGCTTGTGTGTAGTATGATGTCGCTGATAAACTTAGTGCCGGACCAGAGGAGTGTCGCGCGTGTGTTAGTAGAGGGGGCGTTGTCGTTGCCGAGGTAGTCGCAACTGATGTTGTTGGTGAATCGCCCCAAGTAGCAAAATCTTGTATGTTACTTCCTCGGGCCAGGAACATGGAACTTGCTTTCTTCCTTAGAGATGAGTTGGAAGGCGGCGTGGAAAGTTCCTTCCGTTGCTCTGTCACCAGAAGTGTCGATGAACTCTTCGCTTTTCGTATCGGTGATGGCGACGGAGGTGGGCTGTCGGTCCCAGGAATATGTAAATCGGGATTCAAGCGCTGGGCTATCTGCTTGATGAACTTCATGATTGCTGACCTCCCCTTATCTCCTTATAACCGCCCCTTCCCGCCGTCTCTCGAGTTCTGTTGCACAAAGATTTGTAAGGTGAGGATTACAAATTCGCGGTTGCTGTTCTTGTTGGTCGGTCAGATACGCAGGTCGTCTCTCCCACGTTCAGCTTGCTAGCTGACTGGTTGTTGTTGTTGTTGTGTTGCTCTGTCAGCTAGGTACATGTCATTTCGTCATCGATGTTATTACAACAAACGGCGGTAAATCCGACTCCGCATCATTACACACTGCAAATCCACATGTTAGTGACCGAGAACCCCTGGTTCTGTACGATGATGAAAAGGGATCCGTTGATGGGACTTGTTTTGGTCTCTCAGCCAGGAAAAACAATTATGGCGCGCGCCGCGTGCGTTCGTTGGGACGACTTCACGCTTTGTCCTGTTGATCGGCGGGGTTAGCGGCTTTTGTTCGTTCCTGGCGTCATGCAGGGATGCATGCTACGGATTATGGGGATTTCGGGGATTTGGTAAGCAGTATCAGCTATGAGCGTTGGCCACGTTTCGTGAATGTTGAGTATCAAGGCGCTACTCGATACTGCATCAGGGTAATTCTGGTGTGCACCCTTATTTCGTTAGACGACATCGGAATCCCCATAAGAATCCGATGATCTTCACATGCGAAACCTCGATTTCGATGAGCCTTCTGAGTGCCTGAACGAGCCGGTGCACGTGTCCTCTTGTGCTCTTTTCTTACTTCCAATACTCACTCCATGATCTCGCTCTGCCTCGCTCCTTCGACTCCATGGAACCAATTCACCCTATCCTTAACAAACACCTCCCGCCTGGGTTTCAGTACTCCCTCCATCAGACTCAGATCGTCCACCGTACCTGTCAGAGTCAGCCTGCGCCTGTTCAACTCACACGATGATAAGACTTACCCAATCTCAATAGACTGATATCTGGATGTGATTCACTGAGCCTATACATGAGGGACCCACATGTATCGCAAAAGCAGTTCGTCATGGCTTGCCCAGAGCTGATAGTCTGGGACTGCGAGAACTTCTTAAGATTCTCCTCTCCGCGGATGTACTTGACAGCGGAAGATGCCACAATGAATGCGGATGTAAACGCTGAAGCTGTGATCTTTCGGCAGTCAGTGCAATGGCAGACGAAGACATCTGTAAGACCTGGAGCAGTGGTTGGCTGGAGCATCTGTTAGTTGTCCGAGTGGTAAAAACCAATTACCGGGAGGAATATGTAGGCTCGTGGTTTCCTCTGTTTTGTTGTAATGGAGCTCGAAATGTTGACTTACGAAGGCTAATTGTACAGCTCCGCAATAACAAGTAGCCGTTGCTTCACCATCTCTAGAATAACCATCTTGTTTTAGACTGTTGTTCGAGATGTTGGGCTGTTTCTTATCGTAGGCGGACATGATTGTGGTTTTCCTTGTCGCTTTGCCGGAATAATTCGCGTTATGCAGAAAGAAAATAAGAAGATGATGATATGATAGAACGGAAACACAAACATTTGCAATGATATTTAAGCCGATTCAGCGTGGTCAAACTCATGTTTAATCGGGTGGATTTACGTGTTGATGTTTCCGGAGTGAGAGCATCTCCGACCCTCCTCTTTTTCACTCCGCGGACTCCGCCAACTATCACGCACTAGGAGCAGCCCGATTTCCGTGACACTCTAAACCCTCTATCAGAACCCCATCGGCGGACATCAGTACTATGACATCCTCTGCTAGGTAGAAGGCCCGCAGCAATAGCTGCAACTTGCTGTGTCTTGATTAGTAGTACTTTAGTCGAAACAACCTCGGACGAATCAACACGGATGGTCGATGTGAGTTTCGAAACGTCTGGCTTGTATGCTTCTAGTCTGATGTAAGGATTAATTCATGTTGGTTTCTATGCTTCGAATGATAGAAAGAGAAGCGTCGCAGTATTGAATTAGTAGGGCGTTCTAGAGTGGAGCGGACTCGACCGCCTGATTGAAACAACGATGTTGTTACACATGGTGCCAAGCGGCGTAGCAGTCGGATCATCATACCAACAAGATCATCGTAACTGCTTTATATGCTCTAAGATCCATAATCTTGCTCATCATAGCTTGCTCTGCTTTCCCTGCCCCAGGACAACTACCAACTTGCCAAATTGACTAGCGCTCTTCATATCATCAAACAGCGTCTCAATCTTGTCAATATCCAGACCCTGCACACTTCGGCTGACAACAGGCCTCATCTTCTTCTCCTTCACGAACTGTACCATATCGGCGAATTCTTTCCGTGAGCCCATGGTAGAGCCACGGACTTCGATGTTGCGCAACACAGCGGACATGAGGAAATCCATCTTGGGGGAGACGGTCATGCCGTAAATAGAGATGATGCCGCCAACCTGTTGCAATGTTAGATGATAGCCTGAGAAAAGGCGGGCGGGGAAGAGAACGAACCTTGAGTATTTTACTACCCACTTTGACCACGTCGCCTCCCGCGCCATCGACAATGGCATCGAGATATTGTCGGTCCTTGGGCAGCATAGCCTGCAGTTTCTTGTCCCAGTCCTTCTCCTTGTAGATTACACCACCCTTGGCACCCAGCTTGACCGCCTTGTCAATCTTCTCCTGGTTTCCGCTGGTCACGTACACGTTGCAGCCCTGTGCCACGGCGAATAGCAGAACCATGAGCGCGACACCGCCTCCAATGCCTGTAACCAGGATATTTCGCCCTGCAACTGCATTTCCGCTCTTGACCCAGAATGCGCGCCAGGCTGTGAGACCAGTCAGAGGAAGCGCTGCGGCCTCCTCGTCACTGAGGTGCTCGGGACACTCTTCTAGTTCGCCTGCGTCTAGCACACACACGTCTTGTAATGTACCTGCAGGGTTGCTCTTGGTGCCACCCATTATCGCATATCCCTTTGGATGTTCTGGGCCCTCGAGGCTGTCCTTCCAGCCTGTGCCGGGGTTCAGGAGCACGCGCTTGTTCAGCCATGATTTCGCGGAGGATGACGTGCCGGTCGAGCTAACGATGCCGACACCGTCTGCGAGAAGGGGGACGCCGAAGGTTGTGCCGGGGTAGAGGTGCTGGCGGATGAATAGGTCGCGATGGTTCAACGCGGCGCCTGTGATGGTTATGACGGCCTGGGTGATGATCGTTAGCTTGCGCACAACGGACGGCATGTCTCAAGTCCACCTACATCGTTGTCTTTTGGCTTTGGCTCGGGAACAGTTATCTTCTCGAGAGGGTAATAGACTTGTCCTGGCTTGCCTTCGACCTGTCTGATCACAATGGCTGAAGGCATGGCTGCAGAGCTAAATCGAATCTAGTTAAAGTAACACGCGTGAGGTATTATGACAGCGCGAGCAGGCTAAGGTGGATTCCCGGTTAGATATATGCAACCTTTATGGGAGGAGAGATCGCTCGAATGGCTATTCATGATTGTCGTGCTCGGTTGCATGACGAAAGACCGTCTGGACCGAGGTCGCGTTCGGAGCTGTGGACATGCTTATCGATCGATGCGGGGAACGCGCAGGACGGACATAACTCGGTCTTCACATATCATACATTGTTTTTTTGGGCACTCATTCGAGCTACATCACATTCCATTATCGACATTTCGTGCATACTTGGTAGAAAGTCGCAGTACCATATGTTGACCATTACTCGGGCTGCACGTCTTCGCTCACGGCCGCCACCTGAATGAGGGATGTCTCCAATCGAGATCCTCAATTTCTCCCTCTGATTTGCCAGCCAATTCCTGATCAACATCAATGCTTTCGCGCTGCTTGTTGCTTCTGTTCATCCAGAGCAAGAGGAGAGTGCTCGATATCAAAATCGTACTGCTGGTCGCCAGATTAAGCCCATTACCGATAGGGTAGTTGGGAGCATCTGTGGGTAAGAAGCTCCAGGTCGAAATCAAACCGCCTATGTTGCCAAACATGACAACGGTACCTGATTTTAAAGTCAGAATTCATACTGCTTGTAATTCGCGAGTTGAAGTACTTACCGATAGCGGATGCTCGCGCGGTATCAGATACAACGTTAGCCGAGCCTTGCGCGTTACAGAGAGCACCAAACGAGAATGCTCCAGACGCAATTAAGAAGGTAGCTCCGTATCGAACCATTGCTTCGGTGCTGGCCAAGAACATGATGTATCCGATCATCATGAGTGGAGCTCCTAGAATGAAGAAGATCGTGCGCCTGTCGTATCTCCAACTGAGGAAGGGTAGGAGGACCGTGAAGAAGGCACCTACGACATATGGTGGAACGGTGTGGAGCTGCTGCGAGACAACTGAATCTCGAGGGTATATCGTCCTGACGATGGTAGGCGCGAAGAAAGCAAGACCCTGCACCGTGATATTGTCGAGCAGGAAAATGAAAGAGGTCGTCAGTACTACAGGGTTGAAGATACCACGAAGCGTCTTCTTCGTATCTAGTTTGTCCAGCACCTCGTTCTGGCCAACACGCTCAGACTTGACACGAGCAATGGCCAGATCTTTTTCCGCTTGAGTCAGCCAGCGCGCAGTCTCCGGGCGATCCGTCAGCGTTACGAAAGAGATAAGTGCCAGACAGCAGGTGACTATGCCCTCAATCGCGAAAATCATCCTCCAGCGTGTAAGGGAGCCGAAGGAGTCGAGTGTGAGAATCGCTGATGCCAATAATCCTCCAAAAGCACCTGCTAGAGGAGCCATGACGATGTATAGCGACAGTCTGAAAGCAAGCTCAGAGCGCCTGTACCAACGGGACATATAGTATGCGATACCTGGTAGCATACCAGCTTCGAAGATACCCAGAAGGAAGCGAACTCCACAAATCGCACTGATATCATGGACAAAAGCCGTGCCAATCGATGCAATGCCGAAGCATAGTGAGATGATGGGAATGAACCATCCAGGACCTATCCATTTACAGCAGATGTTGGAAGGAATCTCGAAAATAATGTAGCTGATGTAAAAGATAGAGAGGACGGTGTTGTAATCATAGCCAGTGAGTCCGAGATCCTTTTCGAGACCAGCTAGGCGAGCGTTTCCGATGTTGGCACGATCGATGAAACAAAATAGGTAGAGGAGGGCCACGGTCGGAATGATGTACAGATCAATCTTCAGCCTGAGACGCGACTCAGCCTTCTTATCGAACTCCATCAGGGCATGTCCGTAGCTGTGCAATTGTTAGATGAGAGACGCGTAAAGGTGAGGGCGAAATCACATGTCTGTGGCAGCATGACCGTGTCCTGCAATCTGGTGCGCGTCCTCATTCTTGAGATCTTCATGATGGCTGGGCGTGTACTTTTCGGCGGAATAATCCGTCTGCGCTTGAGCCATGGCGGAGTGATAATGGGATCAAAAAAAGAAAGACAACCTTCGCAACAATGGCAAGTCGTAACGCCGCACCTTGGCTTTATACTCCACACTCTTCGGTGGATTCCCCTTCACACCGGACCGCACCTGGGCCCGGCCAGTGTCCTTGTCAGCGCGTACTTTGATGGAGCGCGTGTGCGCCAAGTGTGATGGCTGTCGTAACTAGCACCCAAAACGGAGACGCGCCAGATGCACGGTCACATAAATCTCCACTCGGCGTGGAGGCGGACCTACCCCGGACTCCACGATGATCGGCGACCGCATCTATCTGGAGGCGAACAGCCGTAGCGATTACTCCACATGCCGTCGGTTGTCAGGTTCGGTATCTGGTCGTGTTTAGCTGAAGATTTGGTACAGAGCTGAGTCCAGCTGCATCACCAGGCGAAGACTTTATCCTACCCCGCGACGCCACGACGCTTGGTATTCGGAGGGATCGGAAACTACGACATGTCAAGTTGTTGATAGGCTGATAGTCTATGGCTTGTTCAATATCCATGCGGAGACAAGGGGTGTATCTTGTTTGCGCATATGTAAGTTAAGCGGTCCAGCGAAGAACATGGTCTTCGCTAAATTTTGGAGTGCTTGTGGAAAAGCTTTCATCCGTTGAGTTAGTGTATTCGGCCCTAGTCACGTTAATGATAAGAATCGATGATATTTATTTGTAGAGGACGAAGAAAAGCTTCATTCTACGTTGTTGTCTACAAAGACTGGCAGAGCCTTAACACGACGAGGTAGCCATCTTCTGATGTAGTAGAACGACACAGAAAAGGTGCCACAATATCTAGATTCTAGTTCGAACTTGGATGTAAGTGTCTGTTACACTTTTGAAACTGACGTTCAATAATCAACCGGCGACTCCGAATTAGATACCGTGTGCTATAGATCCTGTGCTTCTACAGTCAATACGCTTCGGCATCAAAGTTGGCGCCGCTGCCAGCGCATCGAAGGTAGGTACGATAACGCTACCCAGCCACACCAAGTCAGATGTTTCTACAATATTTGTTTCAGATAGCGGTGCCCCTCATATCAAAATGTCATACTCTGTTAACCCAAGGCAAAGCATGTCTCGCCTTCCAACGATGCAGGGATACCTCACGAAAGCTTGACATGTCGTCAAGAGCTGGTATAGGAAACAGATGATGAACTGGAGATCCCAAGCGCTCTGGACAAGCAAGCCTATTCCTTTTCCATCAGTCCCTGGTCTATTCTTGAGTGTCAGCTCATCTCACCGTCTATGTTAAAGGGAGCCAAGTGTACATCTTGCCATTCTTACGCAGTGAGAATGAAGCGGGATGTAACATTCCATGCTTGAGGCCCCTGTGGTGCGCTACAACGTTGCGCTCTGCTGATGTTGTCCTTGTTCTTCGAAGTGATAGTAACGTAGATGCCGTAACTCATCAGCCTACAAACACACACACTCGAAAGCTTCCCAGCATGCTAACAAAGTGGCTCTCTGCATGGAATGGACGCATAGCAGACCGGATCGTCGCGATAGTTTGTTTGGATCTTGAGTCAAGTTCATTGTGAGGATGATGGAGTAGGTATCAGCCCACGCGCATGTGATGACACGGTAAGTAGGAAGATGAGTATTTTTCTTTTTTTAAGAATTCACACATAGATAGCTATCATTCCGAAGATATCATCGTAACCCTTCTACTCCATAGTCACTGGAGCTCTGTTCGTATGATGCTGTCTCTCCTTCTCTGACATATTGTCGATGACATTTTCTACTCTCCTTTCAGCAGCCAACAACTTCTCCATTTCATCCTCTTCGAACTCCAACATCTGCTGCGTAAGAGCATGGAACCCCGCCGTCCCATTTTCCATTTCCAGGAATTTGCCTGCTGCGCTGTATACCAGCTGTCCGTGACGCCTCTTATCAGCCATCAACAGCGCTACAGAACGAGCGACAACATCTGCCGACTGCACAATGGATTCGCCTAGAGCAGCAACAATAGTGCGAGGCACAATAGCTGTGTCGGTCCAAGACGGGGCGATGGCGTTGATACGAATCGGGAGTTTGGGGTGGAGTTGGGGTTGCAGAGCACGTACAAGCCCGAGAACAGCGTGCTTGGCTGAGGCTTAATGTGTGTTAGTCCCTAGACTTGATGTTACTTGGTAAGACGTACTATAATCCTCAACCGGGAATCGTTGGAAGCTTGATCCTGAAGCTGTTATGACGATACTTCCACCATTCGGGTTCTTCTGAATGTAATGTATGGCTAACTTCACTGTGTATATCACGCCGATCAAGTTGATGTTGATTGTGTCTAGCATCGGTGCAAGCAGGTCGCCGTTTTCGTCGACGCTATCGTCCAGCAAGGTCGTTGACTTTCCAATTCCTGCATTTGCAAAAACTTGGTCAATCTTCCCGTATTCCTTTTCTGTCGCTCTGAAAACATCGAGTTGCTCTTTCCAAGACGAGACATCAGCCTTCAAGAAAGGGACGGATGATGCCTCGGGCTCAGGTAGCGGATTGACGTCGCATGCAAAAACTTTGCCTCCGTGCTTGATAATCCTTCGAAGTGTTGCAAGCCCAATTCCCGAAGATGCCCCTGTTGTACATCAGTAGGCTGTAAGGAACGTCTGAACATGGTGTTCTACCTGTAATCACAGCCACTTGACCTTTCAACTCATCAAGTTGGCTGTCTGAGATGGTAAAGCTCGTCATTGTGGTGACTCAGGTAGTGGATTTGAAAAAATGATTGTTAGTACACTTGCAAGAGTGATGCCTGGACCCGAAACAGGTAGAGGTATTGGATGTAGACAAGCAAGCAGTGTCTTGTAGAGGCTGGATTAGACTGCCAGAAAAGAAGCAAAAGCAATTTGATGAACCTTGAAACGTTGAGCGTAAATCGGCTGCGGCGCAAGTCTTATAGCATAGCGCAGATGGAGAGTCGCCTGAGCAGACAACTACGCCGTACCACAAGCTCGGGACGTAAGGAGTGCCCCGCATTAACGTACGACTCCGCCGGACCACCATATTGTTCGGGTAACTGTATCACTGCGGCCAAGATGCATAGAGATAGAACCAAAGACTATGTACCTGGCGTTTTGTAGGGTTTCCTATTGGCTAATATGCTTACGCCTATTCGTGTCAGGTTGCTAGCTTCAGGTTGTGTCCAGGATAGCGGACTCTCTGCTATGCTTACCTAGCAGAGGAGCAACGAGTACTTAGTAAGGACGTACGGCTTGACAAGGAAGACGATGCTGCTCTCGCTGGAGTTGACAGTCGGGACAGGTTCTGTTCCAATGCAGCATCAAAAGCAGTCTGCTCAACTCGACGGTCCATAGTGGTGCCCTTTCGCTCCTCTGTATTCTTGCTCCGTAGTCGACGGTCGAAAATCAACCCGTCGCTATCTGTACAAGTATCGCGTGCGCAGGCTGCCGCTGCAGTGGGGTATAAGTCCAGCTTCAAGCACCTCCGCCTCCTCCTCTTCCGCGACCGCGTCCTCGGCCCCTCATGCCTCTGCCCCCACCACGGTCGCCTCGGTGGTCTCCACGTCCATGCATGCCACCTCCTCGGCCGCCGCGATTCGCTTGGTCCTTGGTTTGCTGTTCCTTTACGACGTCGACGATCTCGTCCGGCACTCGGAGGTACTTTATCTGGAAACCGTCAGCAAAGCATACCAGAGAAGGAGATTGGAAACTGACTGTGCTACCGCGAACATAGATCTCTGGTAACCTCATGAACTTGTCGCCGTCGGCACTCGTCTGCACGACCTCTTTTAACGTCAGGTTCATCCATGTGTCGCAGTTGACAAGCAGCCCGTTCAGAGTTTCGCCGCTCTTCAGCTCCACCAGCATAGGATGGCCCGTCGCGGCCGTCAAAAGGCCCAATGGAAGCTAAGTCGGGAGTCAACTAAGAAGTGGCAGTTGTTGGTGAGCTGGGTGACGTACCATATTGTCGCGCTATGAGTTTTCGCGATTGTGCCCGGCACGTAACCCAAGTAGTCTGGCGCAAGGGAGATGTCGCGACGCTGCTGAAGATATTCCTAGTAGTGAGTGGGAACAAGGGCGGAATACGTAGTTGGCTTAGTGAACATGATCTCCCTCGTTGCATCGCAGGCCGCGAAAGCTTGGACCATAAACTCTTGGCGGAGCAGCCCTACGAATTACTATCCACTTCGGCAGCATCTCGATACATCCAGATGCGCGCATGTTGCATAGCACTGGTAGAGCTGGTAAACCACTGAGCAGTCCATCGTCTTCGAGCCAGCCCAGATACCTCAAATGTGATACCACGCTCACATGAACACGGCCATCACCAGATGGCCGCACAGGGTTCTGGCAATCATGGCATTCATCACGACCACAACCACAATCACATACACTACACGATACGCACTTTTGCATGCTCACTCTAACTTGCCGTATCCCCGTGTTTCATCACGCTCCATCATGCATAGCGCTGCCAGCTGAATCGTGAGCGGACGTCTAAGCCACGCTCACGCTGACGGCAGCCACTAGCAGCTCCGCGCCCTCGTCCTCCAAAACGCCCTTCGACTGGTGCCTGATCCTCGAACCTTTGGGAACATCTGTCCCATAACCCGCCAAACTTCGCTCTCTTTGCGGGCCGGCGTTCTCGTGCGCTGTTCGAAATTTTGCTTTGTTGAAATCGTGTTCCTCGTTCTTTTCGATATGCGTTCCTTCAAGTCCAAAGTGCTGGCAGCGTGCGCGTGGGCGGCACCTGCATTCTCCGCCGTCATACCTCAACACGAACGTCAAGTTACTCGCCCGGACGGAAACCTCTTGCAGCTAGGTCCGCATTCTTCTTATACCATTCCATATTTGCCATCCCTAGGCAGCTACTGAACTTTGCTAGACCTTCAACAAAACTACGCGCAAGCTACCTTCAGTGTCCCCTGCACTGGATGTCTTGGCCACGATCACACGGGCCAGGATGACGAGTCTTTGGTAAGGCCACCTTCAGGCACCTAAATACCATCCCACCTGCTCACTTTTTTAGATCTTGAGCTTCGCAAGTCATGCCCAGGATCAAGCTTGTGGTTCTTCCAACATTACTCTAAACGGAGTTTATCTTCCCCAAGAGTGGAACGGTGACTTCGCATCTGGCTCCGGATCCTACCAAGGCCTCACCGATCTCACACAGAATGAATGGTTTCTGCAGCGCGATTTGGATCTCGAATGGGAGACGGCTTGTCTTCACGCCACTGAGGAAACGGAAGCTGCCCAGGTAGTGACGGTCAACATCAAGGCCATCGACGGCAAGGCCATCGACAGACCTTCCGGTTTTACAATCTCCTTCAAGCAGCAAACATCACCCCCTTCCCTACTCAGACTTGAGGCTATTCCCAACCCCTCAGCGAGCAACAAGGACGTAGCTGAATCCTGGCGTGAACCCCCTCAATCTCTGCGTCTCGCCCTGTCCACCACCAACCAAACTTCCAAAGGAGAGGACAAGGCCCAGTCACTTGAAGACAAAATCCGCGAGTTGAAAGCCCTTGAGATAGAACTTGAGGCAATTCAGTCTCTCATCGCCGAAAAGAAGAAGCAGATTCATTCGCACTTTCGGCAAGAAGCGCAGGAATTGTCGCACGAGTTGAGTGAATGTGACGGTATCTCGTGCATCGTCAAGACTATTGCCCACAAAGCTCACGGCGCTTGGAAAATTGTGTCTTTTCACTTCAAGCCCGGCCACCAATCGAAAGACATGGGTAGTTCTGAGGAAATGTTTGCGCAAGCACATGGTCATGCTGCACAGGTAGCACAGATGTCTGGAGACCACCTGAAGGTTGGATCGCCAACGCCCCACGTATACGAGGCGAAAGCGGTATGTGATCCCTTGCTCTGCCCTGTTGGAGACGAATAGCAAGTGGTTGATACTGATGTTGCATAGAATGAACTTCCACCCCGGCCATCCAAGACATCTCCCTACCTTCTCGCTCTCGAGATCACTCTGGGTGTTCTGTGCTGTGGCTGCCTCGTCGCCGTAATCCGGCACAAGTGTAGCAGCCTGAGAACAAGGACTGAGCGCGCCGCCGCTCGAGAAGAACGCCTCAACGCTCGCGCTTATCGCCGGGCAGCTCGACAACACGCATGGCGCAGCTGGTGGCGCGGCAACTGGGCTCGACGAGACAACCAGCGTATCGCGGACTACGAGGAGAAACGCGCGCTGATCTCAGAACAGGAGAGTGTGCTGGAGGACGCGATGCAGGAAGAGATTAGGCAGTTGAGGGCCGCGCATGACGTGGTGAATGATCTCGTAAGAGATGCTGAAGAAGGACGGGCCATCAATCGCACACCCTGCGATTGTCAACGCCAACAGTCGCGGGCACCATACTCGCCCCTCTCCACAGCATCGACCTACCCACCTACCTCATTACCCGAGATTCCCTCTAGGCCGCTTTCCCGAACAGAGAGCCTACCAAGCTATCGCTCAGGCACGCCCACAGAGCCCCCGAGTTACGATTCGGATCTCGAGGCGTCAGACGTCGTAGCCAACGGCTTCAGGCACTACGCGACTGCGTCTACCACGTCCGAACGAAGCTCGCATTGGACACCTGACAGCAGTGTCGTTGATGTAAGCCCCAGGCCGAGCGCGGAAACGCTCAGGTACCCAGTGAGCATATTGACCCTTGACGAAGAGTCTGATGCTGATTGAGGATGTAAATCCTCATAAACGCAAATGCACACCAACCCGTCTTTGGCAATTCATACCCGGTACCTACCAAATGGAAGTTTTGATCCTGTCGGCAGACATATTTCCTTGGTCTGCGCAGGAGATTGCACTTGCTGCACACTCATGCCCGCGTCGCAAGTAGATGCAGCAAGCAGCTCTTGGTGTTTCTCCTGTCAAATGTTCCTTGACTTGGAGACGATTTCCCTGCTTTGGCATTTTTCCACGCAACTTAAGCGCTTTGTCGGTTCGGCGTAAGGATTGGCCTACAGTAAGCATAGTTTTTGGTAACATTACCAGCTTCGTTTTGAAGCGATGTTGACGCAAAGCTTTTGTCGCGATCAACGGGTGGTCAGAGGACATCACCCACTAATATCTTCACGTCCTCATGTATAATACTAGGCCTATAGGCTCAGGGGGGATATATACAATCAGGGAGCGTTTTTCACGGTCAAAGTAGCAGCTACATGCGTAAGATTTGCATCACTAGCAAACTCAGTAATATCAATCCATTGGAACAAACACAATCTCCATGCTTGATATCGCAATATAAAAAATGGCGGTTATGTTATACAATTGTAATTCAGCTCCGCTCTGAGCGGCCTATCTACATAATGTACAAGTACGTTCCCCACAATCGCCCGCTTTACCGGTTCCGCAGGTACCAGTTGAACGCCAACTGACCTGTCTCAATGTGGAACGGCGTCGGTACCTCAGCCAAACCCGGTCTGGCGACCGGGTGTCTCAGGTACACAGCAGCGCAGATGTTCTGGTTGACCTCGAGATACCGCGGGATAAAGGCAAACGCGCTCATGTAGTCCCTAGGCCGCCATGGCGTCGCGTAAGGCGCTTGAGCATCCCGCCTGTTCCACGCCGATGTGTGTTCAGTTTCTAGTCTGAGTTTCTCGAAGGCGGAGCGGAGACGCGCTTGGTCTTCTTCTGAGATGAGGGGTTCGGCGATAGACGCGTCTTTAGGAGAGGACGATGTAAGGGCAGCGGAGCGCTCGGCGATTTGGTGTTTGAGGAATTCGAATTGTGTGTCGAGTGTGGAGATGGTCTCTGGGTTTGCGGTGCGCCATAGACTTATTGCTTTCTTAACGCTCTGGCGGAAAGCTCGGAACTTTTGCTTGTCTTTGGCTTTGACGTCTTCGGCAAGGACACCGTCAACTTGCTCCATCAAGTCCTGTAGCTGCTTCTTCAGCTCGGTGGGTGTGGGTTCTTCGCGTGTGGACGAGGAGATGACGATGTCGTCATCTTTCTGTTGCTTAGGCGTCTGTCCACCACTTTGCTCGCGGGCTTCGGCACGGGCGGCGGCCTTTTCTTTAGCGATACGACGTGCAGTCGATGAGCGTTCTTTTGGGGCACCAGTTGCGAACATGACGGAGGAGGGCTCGACTTGGAACATGTCGCCTGGGTTGAGTGCGTAACCGGGGTAGACCATCTGCATGCGAGTTAGCTGCGAGGACATTCAACATACGGAAAATGACGCACCTTCTTGCCATTGACCTTGACTAAGCCGTGGACAACGAATTGCCTGGCCTGTCGGACACTGCTTGCGAACAGCGCCCGGAAGATGGCTGTGTCCAATCTCCTCTCCAATGGGTAGTATGCCATTTGCATGTATGGTGTCATTGGTGGTGTCCTCGCCTTGTCCGGCGAATCTGCACCCATTCCTCGTCCAGCCGCCTGTTCTGAACCATCGTGCCGGGCAAGATATCTATGGTCCATGGCCACTACCGCTGGCAGGTTCCGCTTGAACATGTGCTTCCACTTCTTCTCTCGTATGTGTTCGCCATGGTATGCTCTTGTAGATGCCTTGGCCGTCCATTTTTGCTGGAAATACGTTCGACTGACGACGTTTGGAGCCTTAAGTTGTGATAGAGCGTATAATGACCATCGTGACCAGTTCTGGCGGACGTTCTGCAGCCTGTCAGCTCGCCACTCTATCCGGCTTCAACGATAGCAATCATACCAGCTTCTTCAGCGAATGGAACCTCGGCTTCTTCCTCGGCATGGTGAAGGCGGATCAAGAATTGGTGATATTGTTACAATAGCGGCCCACGCGGCGAGCGTAAATCTGGACAGTGGTCCGTGCCCGGCTGCATCGAAAATTCCCCACTAAGAACCATAGCTACCTCTCACCTGGCGCCTTTTTCTCTCCAACAACCTCCAACCTCTTTGTCGCAAACTTAAAACCGCCCTTCGCAGCTTCTAATCACATACGCGACTCAAGCTGCACACATATTAATCATGGCAGACCAACAGACTACTGCTGCGCCAGCCGCAAATCCCGCTGAAGTCTCCAAGACTGAGAGCACAGCCAACGTCCAGTCTGAGTCCAAGACTGAAACCTCCGACTCCAAGCCCGAGGAGAAGGCCAACAAGACCGAAAACGGTGAGGAGAAGTGGGAAGTCAATGGCAAGTCCGAGGACAAGAACGGCCGTCGCAACGACCGTCGCGACGGTGGCCGTGGAGGTCGAGGTGGTCGCGGTGGTCGAGGCAACTTCCGCGACAACCGCAACAAGAGGTGCGCCCAGTCGTATGAGTCTGCGTCTTTTAGTGTTAATCTTTGCGCAGGCAGAACAACCAAGAATTTGACGATCTTCCCGAGTCCGACGACCCCAACGAGATCCGCGCCCAAGTATGACTCCCGATTTCCACTCCATGGTACGCCTTACTAACACTTCCAAGGTCGAGTTTTACTTCTCTGCACAGAACTTGGCAACCGACGAGCACATGTTCAAGGTGCTCGAAGGTCCCAAGAACACTCCTGTTTCTATCCACCACATCTGCACCTTCAAGCGCATGCGCCACTTCAAGCCTTACTCCGCTGTTGTAAAGGCACTCCGCGAGAGCAACGATCTCGACGTCGTTGATGATGGCGAGTACAGCAAGGCTGGCAGCGAAGCCGTCAAGCGCAAGGAGCCGCTTTCCGTCCCCACCAAGGAAGGTGACGAGAAGAACCCACCTACCACAGAGGAGCTCTTTTACCGATTGAAGAACAACTCATCCAACAACATGGAGCGCAGCGCCTACGTTAAGGGCTTCGGTAGCGAAGACCAAGCCGGCCAGATTGCGCTTGAGAAATTTTTCCGTCCTTACGGCGCAGTCATGGTCCGCAAGCGTCGCGAGAATGACGGTGCCTGGAAGGGCAGTGTCTTTGTCGAGTTCGACTCTGAGGACTCCCAGAAGCAGTTCCTCGAGCTTGACCCCACACCCAAGTTCAACGACAACGAGCTTGTTACCATGGGCAAGAAGGAGTACATTGTCATGAAATGCCAGGAGAAGGGCATCAAGCCCGACTGGGAGCTGACCGAGGAAGAGAAGTACCAGCAGCGCAAGGCACAACGCGAGGCCAACGGAGACTTCAGCCGCAGCGGCCGTGGAGGAGGTCGTGGAGGTCGTGGACAGGGTCGCGGTGGACGCGGTGGACGTGGTGGCAATGACCGTCGCGACAACCGCCGTGACCGCAACCGATCCCGCTCTCCCCGTAGGCGCCGCGATCGCAGCGCTTCAAACGGCTCCGTCGACGCTGACGACTGGAACAAGCGTCGCGACCGCTTCAAGGATGGCAAGGACGACCGCGCCAGCCACAAGGAGGACAAGAAGGAGATTGAGCGCGACGCTCACGGTGTTCCCATCGTCAAGGACACCTCCAACAAGCGCAAGGCCGATGACGGCGAGCCCCAGGGCAGCCCCAAGAAGAGCAAGCTTGAGATCAAGCAGGACGAGTAAAGATGATTTCTCTACTCACTTCCTGTGCATTCACAACATCTACTTCACTCTATGGAGATGATTTGAAGTATGTCGATGGGATATTTTTGCATTTGGCGGCGTTGAAGGACTATTATATTTCTACGGTCATCGCTATGATACCTACTGGGTTTGGGCAAAAGTTTCTTTCTCTATCTCATGGATGAACCAGTCCAACTGTATATGGTATTCGTAGATACAGTGTCTTCGCTGTGCAGACATGTAGTTGACGACGCATGAGTTCGGTAGGATGAACGAATAGAAACATCATCATCACATCGGGTTTTTGTATAATGATTCTTATGACTAGTGATGTAATGCTGTGTGATTTATCTCACTTGACCCCATCCCTCTCAGCCCCGCACACTGAACCTTCAACCCAACCTTTAACCCAAGGTCATGATCTTCTTTCCCCCATTCGGTAACTTAACCCTCAACACCGCTCCTGGAAAAGTTCTCCCATCAACACCCTCATTCCAGTTTGGCTGATACGGCAATTGGTTGATGTTCATGTAAAGGTAGCCGTCTTCACCAATCGACGCTCCATCCGGCCAGATGATACGTGGATCTCTCACAAAAGGCTCTGTACGCAGCGTTTCCGGGTTATAAACATAAATTGCGTTGTGCTCAGGCATGCACTGATAGACCAAACCGTTGTTATCGCCTTCGAAGCCATTTGCGTTTCCGCCCCGCTGACCAAGATTCGTAACGTTGTTCGCGGCCATGATTTCTGCAAGGGGATCCGAAGAGGGTGTGAGGAGGTTTGCGGCGGGGACAGAGTACAGATAGTTTGATGTCAAGGGGCTGTAGTAGATCGTCGAGCCATCGGCACTGATCTGAATTCCGTCAAGTCCCTCTCGTAGCGTTTGGATGGGCTGACCGATTGTACGTTGGTAAAACGGGTTGCCTTGGTAAGAAGGTACGTCGCGATCTACGCGCAGTGTAGATGGGTGTTGTGTGAGTCTTCTCCAACTTTTACCAGTACCTAGGTCTAGGATGATGAACCCAGGTCGTCCTTCGTCGCTGCTGTCGACAATGTAAGCGACGCCTGATCCGGACGCCGTGGTGTTTGGGCGCAAGTCAAAGCGGATGTCGTTCATGTAGGAGTCCGGGAAGTGGACGCTAGGTGGAAAAGTGTAAGTCGCGTAAACGCTGTCGTTTGATAAATTGATACCGAGAATCTTGGGTCCGCCGAGTTGCGCGTATGGCATCGATGGTGCGCCAGTTGAGTCCATAATGGTGGGTCGTCCTAAAAGTTACGTTTACGGATTCAGTGTATATCTCACATATAGTTAGTACAGGAACATTTCTTACCTGTGTCTACTACCCAGAGTGTCTCAGGTCTTCTGTCATTTTCTGGAGTGATGTACAGGGCTTGTACGCTGATCAGCCCTGTGCTGTTCCCACTACCAAAAGGGATGCCATTCCAGCTCGTGTTCAGCTGTGAAACAGGAAGATTGAGGCCCGCGGACGGATATGGTACTTCGGCAGTTTTGTTGACGACTTCGCCGAGTGTATAGGCGTAGCTGCCGCGTGTGTAGGTCGCAAAGAAACGGCCGGCGGATGAAATGGCGAGACCTATGGGCCATTGCGAGTAGTAGTAGTGGTACTCTTCTATCTCCGGGCCGTATGACCCTGTATCGACTCGCAGAATTGAATCGCTGCTGTTTTGAAAAGTGACTTGCGCAGCTGCACTTGCTGTCAAGGCAACGACTGAGAGGATTGAGGATCGCATCTTCCACGTGATGCTCTCTTAGTGCTGTAATGCGGTGGCTTTCTTCAACAGTGGACATGGGACAAGCTTCATATATAAACAAGCATTTACAGCTTCCTCCCGCTTCTGCATCGTGATGTCAGCCATTAACGAACGTCATACCTTACACGCTCCTTACGTGGATGCCGGGTGGTACATGCTAACAGCAACGGCAATTAGGTTCCATGACGTTGAGCATTTTCGGGTTTAAGCTTTCCCCGGTCGTACCTGCATGAAGCGGCTCTGCCGATCGTGGTGATCACGCAGATAAATGATTAGATGATCACCAGAGTTGTGGGTCAGAAAGACAAGTTGTAAAATATGCTGTTTACTTTGATTCTCTTGCTCTAATGTAAAACTGCGGAAGAAATTTGAGAAGATGATGCGGTTTTTGATATCGTGCTACTGTACAACACAACCAAAATTCGCGCCTACCAACGCCCTTTGAAGAAAGCTTAACCTCGGCGGCAATGCTTTAGAGCCAGAAAGAGAATAGAGAGGTGCTGAGCCAACAAGTAACCATGGCTTGCAGAGTCAGACCCAAAAGAACAGAATATGAATCAACAGGTGTCGAGTTATCGAACCTTAGGAAGAAACTACAGGAGCACAGAGTGAAGAGTCACTCTACCGTCCACTTTTGCTGGCCCTCCTCTGGCTAGGGCTGCCCACAAAGCTGCCTCGTGGACTCCGGCTAATTGCCGGCATGAGGGGCTGCTTCTCCATACCCAGCTTCCTCTCAAAGATGCGTCCGACAAGCGCTTGCACGCTTCTTTGTACATCGGGTGCCATTTCCGTACCTAGAAGCCCAACGACGAGCGGCGCAAAGAGGTCGATGTTCTTTTCGAAATCAGTGTCGGGCAATCCAGTGTATCCGTCCAGCACGGTGACGACAACGGGGCGCCAAGTGACGATGTTGCGTTGTTGTGTTTCCTCGTCAAGATCGACATAGGAGGCAATGATGTCCTCGCAGAGCGGGATTAGGGCGGCTTCGGTATCGGCGCGTGAGGCGGCGCGGTCGTTGGATGTGTCGTGGTACATTCTAAATAGAATGCTAACGTACACCGACGCCGATCCGCTCTCCTGCTTGAGCAGGTTTGGCGGTTGCTTCATGAAACCTTCCCTAAACAAACGTGATCGCAGATCGCGATTCGCATTGAAGCGCTTAGCGAAGTGGTACGACTTCTTCAGTACGGCCATAAGGCGGAGGAGTTCACCAGAAGGTATCTTCTCGTAGACAGCCTCATTTGTGAAGAGCTCTTGTACCGTCTCGATCATGAGAAGTTGTAGGACGCATTTCGTGATGATCTGATTGAAGAAGCGACGGCGAGCGGCGGTGACGACCACGGGTGGTTGCTGGAGGGTCTGATCGTCGGGACGATAGTCTTCCAATTCCTGAGTCTGGCGCTTGGGCAGCGGCGATGGCATACGCTGCTCAACGCCGCCACTGATGCTCGCAGTGTCTGAGGTCACTAGGGATGGTCGTCTTGCGCCAGATAGGCCATTAATTCCAAGCGCGTTGTCCATTTTCGGTTCTTCAGCAGGTGTTTGGAGCGAGAGTTCGCCAGGTGGTCCGTCACTAGTGGGAGTTGTCAAATCTGATGTCTTACCAGTACCGTTCGTCGAATTCGTCTGTGCAGATGAACCGCCGGTCGCAGCAGAGAACAGTGCTGTTGCTTCAGTCCTTTGGAAGAGGTCGACAAACGCCTTGACGATCTGACTCCAATGATCAGCCTGGAATTTCTGAACGTTTTGCAAAATCAACTGTTGCAAACAGTTGCTGCCGATGCGCGCTAGGGTGTCGTTCTCTTGACATATACAGAGGGCAAGGAGATCCAGGAACCGATCGAGCATGTACTCCAGCGAATCGAAAAAGTGGGTAAAAAGTTTGATCATGTTGCGAAGAGCTTGGATCATAGTAGTCGAGAGCCATACTGAAAGCTCCTCATGATTCAAAACCTTTGTCATCTCCGACTTTGACTTCAGCACCATGAAGATGGGGTACAGAAGCTGTCGCCAAAGCATGTCCCAGAAATCCCGTGGAAAGTCGCCACCATAGCTGATCAGAGTATCGAACAGGTATTGCAACGCCCTTGATCGGACCTCTAGATCCTCACCAGTCATCAGGACGTCGTGGAAGGCGAAGAGAACTGGGAACCAGAACTGCTCTTCCTGCGTTTGTCGGCTAGGTTGCTTGGGTATCGAAGAGCCCTTTTCTGAATCTTTCAAATACCCAGCACGGGCGGATAGAGAGCACTCGGGTGTCCGTAACATCTTGGGCACGGACGACTTGAGCAGTTCTATTGCTTGTAGCGATTTCTTCTGGAACTTGAAGTTCTTTGAGAATTCCGTGAGACAAACAATAAAGTCTGCGAACGCGCCTTGCGAAATAACTACGCCAAAGCGCGTATTGTATACCTGAGTGACGTTCTCGAATGCGAGGTTGACGATACCCTCTGCTATGTATCAACAGCTGTACAGACTAGAATGGAGGAATAACATACCGTACGGTTCCCTGGCGGCCACAGTGAAGACCCCGAACATCGTCTTCCAGCCAGATCGAATATTCTCACCTCGCGCTTGTATCATCTGAATCAAGCAACGTAGTACCATATCCTTGACTGAGACGACATTTGTGTTGTTAATGATGTGCTCGAAGGGTTTGAGGAAATCCTTCTGGAACTTGAAACCAGGCAGTTCTTCAATTTCCATGAACTTCATCGAAAGTTGCCGTAGTGAGTTGAGAGCAAAGTAGACGACATTAGTGTTGGTGTGGCATCCGACCTCATTGAAGTGAGCGCCAAGCACCTGCCAGATGTTGGTCCACTCAAAACGAACACGCGTCATGTTGTAACCACTAATCTCCACGAGCTTCTGCAGACTGTAAGTGCGAGGTGACTCACTTTGCCCAGACGACTGGATCTCTTGCCAGCTGACTTGAACAAGCGCTTTCACAAAGTCTACGATAGCTTCACCAGACAGGTTCGCACTATTAGTAAAGATGCGGTCCACTCCTCGGACGATGTCGGTGGACCGACTCTCCTCAGCTACTTCGGAATGGAAGCTCATGGTGCTCGCTTGTGATTTAGGTCTTTGACGATTGGCCGGAACGTTGAGATTCTTACGCGACTGTGCCGTGCCTGAATTCGACTTGAGCACGTCGGGCACGGCACGTTCATCGATACCAGAAGAGATGAGTTGGAAACGGTCCAACTGTGAAACACATGTGAGAACCTCACGCCAGGATTCTCGTAGAAGGTTACCCTCGGTCTGGGCAATTTCGATCAGGGCTTTCAACGCTTCCATGTTCCTAGCTTTCATCTCGCTCACATTGTAGAGGTTGGTGAATCGCGAGAGGAAAGCCACGAAAGCCTGTCGTGAGCTATCGAGGTCGAACAAGCACGATATTCGGATTGCTAGCTTGATGCCTTCGATACACAGGCGAACGATTTCAATGTTGTGGTCTTGAGCTTGGCCAGAGAGCGCAGTCAGGATTGGCATCCAGCTGACTTCGAACATGGGTCCGACATGC